TTTCAAATATTTTGAAGCAGAGGTATAAAGTAGTATTTTAGAGTTTATTTTTGCCTCTGCAGACCATTTTCATGCAAAAAAAACCTATATAACACACTACAGGAAAGGAAAGCATAACAGGGCCCCTTATAACTGAAGCACAAGTACTTCAAAAGTGTACTTAAGTACAGTACTTAATAATAAGTAAATAGGCATAGTTGCCTTCCACCTTGTAGTTAGGTTCTGGATGCCCTTTTGGTCATTTCTATTTGTTTACAGCCCTGTGAGGCTATATATTCACAGTATTGCCATGCAGTTGTCTTATGCGTATCCAACACGTGTACATCTGAGTGGAAATCAGATTTGTTCTGCACTGTATATAAAGATGTTGGGTTGTTGCCCTGGACACAGCCTGGAACAGCTTAAATGAAACCAGGCAGCAGTTGATCCAGTGCAAGCTGGTGATAACAAAGACAAATAGGAAGCCATACTGCCAGACTACTGTTCAGTGATCAGTGGGCGTGTGAGATCCTCCCTAGGAGAGAAATGGGGGCAGACAGAAATCCTTTCCATCAGCTGTGCACTCGAGTGATAACGCTGAAACTCACTTTCTCTGGGATGTCTTTGTGTATTATTGGATCATGCTGTTATATCAGTCTACAATCCTGACTACCTGATCTTCGTCCCCTGTGATTTGTGTAATATTCACTTAAAAACACTATGATATAAAAAACGATACATTTTGCAGCTGGCTTTCTCTACTTTTCTAACAGAATGTTGATTTCTAGACACAATATTACAGAAAAATAGTTCTAAATCAAAAGTTGCATTACAACGTGTTTCAATATTGGCTGATAGCACAGATTTTGAGATATTTATACATTTTTCAGTCAATTTGAGACAATATCATATGCTCGTTTGACCTAATGAGTTGGCTTTATATCAGCTCTGAAGAAGCAATTAAAATAGAATTTGACAATTTTAATACTTGGCTCCTAAGAACGAAGGAACTTGGACGGATAAGGTGTATTGATTATAAAAAAATAGTTGTATCCAAAGATGATGATATGTTGACGTTTCCTTTTTAAATGAATGACAATTAGAAAGTGAATCATTTAAACTGCACATCATTTCAGACCACCATTGTTGTTAGAGTACAATGCTAAATCACACAAGTTTAGAATATTGTTATAAATGGAAGCCAATTAGTGCTGCAGAACCATGCAGTTTGCACCAAAACAAACAAAAACCTGTTTTGAAATGTTGAAGTAAACAATCACAGCAACACAAACAAATCATTCATTCGCACAATAGCCCTATAAAATGCACGATGTGTGTTAAATGTAGGAAAGCTTCTTTGGCAAAGAGAAGCAGCGGCCATACGTAAACCCATGCCAACATATTAACTGAAAGGCCCTTGATAGAACATTAGCATAACAATGCTACGAAATGCAGGCTAAAATCACAATTGCCGGAGTAAAATCAACCCGGTGCAGACATAATTTAAAATAAACATTATAAGCTTCACAAAGGCTGTATTTATTCCGTTGTTGCTGAATTGCATTATAGTACTCTTGTACTTGTCAGCATAAGCTGTATAGTATGATAGCCACATCAACTTAAACAAATAGGGTTGGTTTTTCACTGGGAAAAGAGTTGTTTATGGTCACAGATATTGATTACTCTGCAGCAATGTATGAATTTTTAAAGTTGATGCTATGGCCTGAAGGCAAACACTAAGGCGAGCGCTCTGACAGGTTGAGGCTACGGTAATTACAGCCTCATCCCTTATCCAAAAACAAATAGAGTCCAGCGTGCAGAGCAGAGGGTGATATAGGGGGAAATATGCTGAGGCCTCTATTCTGTTTTTTATTTGTGCCATGTTGAAAAGCTTTCACATTTTCAGGGGCTGAAACATTTATAATTACACTCATGCTTATCTTGGGAGCTTCAACATATCGAGCATCTGTCATCATCCTGATTTGATGTGAAACACTGCATTCTAGGGCTGTCTTCAAAGAAAGTAGCCAGCAAAGGTTGTTCAGTTGTTCTATTGCTTTTCCAACCCAGTTTAGATTCAACCACATTGATGTAGCTCTGCACGACTGCGTCATGGATGAACAAAGAGAGCGTCATTGTCCCTATCTAAATAATAATAATAATTCAAGTAATATTACATCTTTTTGAATCCATTGGCAAATTAATATTAACCCTTAGATGCATAAGTGGGTCTTTTTTGACCCGGTGAGGTGGTTTTCTTGAAGTATCTTTGTAATACATTTTTTTTATCATTTCATATTCCAGCTATTCCTAACAAACATGTTTTGGATATCAAAGCTTCCATAAGTGGGTCAAAAATGACCCGCATGCATTTCCTATGGAATCCTCTGGGAACCTTTGATTCTTATCACCTGTTGCTGTCAGGAATACATTCACTGTAGACCACACAGACTACATCACAAGTGACACCTCTCAGGAAGATTATTTTATACAGCAAGATCTGATACCTGTCAGTATAATAATAATAATAATACATTATATTTTTATAGGGCTTTTCAAGGACTCAAAATCGCTTTACAATATAAAGGAAGGTTAGGGTGGGGGGTATAGGACTATCAAACTTGATCAACCGGCATGGATTGATGGGGGGTGGGCTATGAGTAGACAAGAGGAGAAGAGATGAGTTTTGAAAAAGGACTGGAATACTGTGAGGGTCTCAGAATAGAATAGATCTTTGCATCAATATGTTCAAAACGTTTTTTTTTTTTTAAATGTAAAAAGAATGTCTAACATTATAAATAGTGAAAAATTAAATGTATAATATTTAGTATTATATTTTGGTTCACACTAGAAATATTTTATAAGTGATTTTTCTTAACCAAAAATGGCATAAAAACACATATTATTCTAATACGGGTCCTTTTTGACCCACTTATGGAAGAGGGTCCAGTCACTCGTGCATCTAAGGGTTAAAAGATTAAATGACATTTACTCAGCTCTGCATATCTGTGATCGTCAGTTACATTATAAAAGAGCTATTTTCATCAATTTACTTTGAAAAAGTTTCTCTATTAAAGGTGGGGTAGGTAATTTTGGAGAAACCAGCTCGAGATCGCTAGAATTTGAAAATACACAACCGGAAAAAATCTGCCACTTCCTTACAGAGCCCCTCCTCCAACACACACGAACGCGCACATGACCAATGAGGGCACAAGATAAGTTTGTGCCCCGATGGAAGGCTGACAGGCAGGTAGGCCATCCAGTTATTTTAGCCGGGCCGGCTAAAATGATTGGTCGTGCTTTTTACAGTATTACGGCTTCCACAGATGACATTTTTTTATGGATTTTTTGTCAAAGCACTTAAGATATTCATTGCTATCGGGATGTTAAGAGCATTCCATGGAATATAACAAAAAGTGTATCTCGAGCCGGTTTCTCAAACTTACCTACCCCACCTTTAAGCGACTGTGGCTGTCAAATTCATATTTCACGGGAGGAAAAACGTCAAGTACTGTAAACACGTTTTCAGCTAATAAGCACTACACCTACATTTGACAAACTCATTGTGAGGTTAATCATTGATTTAACGAATTATCCATATATTATCTCTGCGCTCTAAAAGCATCGATAGACATTTGTGTAGTCTCAGTGGACTTTGTTTTACTTCCTTGCAATCATTATGTTTCTGCCACCGGTGTTTTCCAAGGTTTTCTGGAGGACCCTGTTTCATGAGAATGTCCCTGTCTGTGCAATCAGTGCAATTATGAATGCGTTTTTGGGCTAATCATTTAGTCAAACTGTGAAGATGGACTTCTACTGTGAAGGACGCTGGCATCTGTCATTATAGGACTGTATAGAAGGATGCAGGCTGTGTCGCTGTGCTTTCCTTCACATTTCCTGTCAGTAAAATCGCATGTGGAAGTTTGAACAAAATCAAGGTGACAGTGGTGAACATGTTTTCATCTACAATTTATTATTATTTATTTACATTTCTCTGAGATTTCGAGCGGCAATGTTGTCCTTTACTTGCACTGTTAATCTTTGACAGTGTAGGCCTTAAATAGGTGAGCAATGTGTGATTATAGAGTTAATGAAGTAGAATTAGTCATCCACACAATAGTCTAGTAAACTGGATTGCATTGGGTCAAAAGGTAAACATTATCTTTTGTATTTTTACATGATTGTTAAAACTCAAATCCACATCATTACTCTCTGACTGAACAAAAGATGAGAAAATCAGGGATCAAATGGTGTTAGACACTCACACAAGTTAGGAGATGTTGTGCTGTTGGTCTAGATTCAGCTGGGTTGAGTGAAACCTGGGGAGAACAGGCAGCTGATCCAGTGCATGCTACTGATAACAAAGACAAATGGCAAGCCATGGCGCCAATGGAGTCGGAGACTACCGTCCAATGATCAGTGGGCATTTGAGATACTCTCCGAGAGACACGGGGACTGACACAAATCCTTTCAATCAACCGTGCAATCAAGTGATAGCGATGAAATCACTTTCTCTGGGGCGTTATCATTGTGGGGCCAGTTCATCCATTTTATGCTCATTCCAATGTCTGCTGGTGGTTTTGTGGGCGCACAGACGCGTGTGTGGCTCCGCTCCAAGCCTCACAGGCAGCTTTTATGGCTTTCTGGGAAACAATGCAAGGCATGCCGAATGAAAGCTCACTGTGGTTTAAAGTGGTTTAAACACAGCATGATCGCTGTGAAGCTCTAAGCCTGCAACACACAACCTACATTTAAAATGTTCAAAATGTTTTTGCTGCAGGAAAAAAAAAAAATGTTTTTCATTTGTAATGAGCAACAGATAAAATGAAGATCTTGGAGTCTTCAAGAAATGTCCTTTCAGACTGTAATAATCTATAAAAAGGAAATGTTATTAGATCAACAATCGATGATGCAATACATGCTATATCGCAGTATAAATATACTGTATTAGCGAAAGCAATATGGCAAAGAAAACTCTTTAATGAAAACATATTTATGAAGTCAATACAGAGGAGTTTAGAAATGACATATACAGCCTTGGTACCCTTGGATACAAATATTACAATATGATTTGATCTGATACAATATAACGAAAATATTTTTAATTGATTTGAACTTTGTTATTAAATATAACAAACTTTTTGTGAGGAATGAAAGAGGATAGACCATAAGATAAAACATATCCTTAGAGAACACTTTTTCTTTGAAGCCCTTTGAAAAACCTAGAGTAGTTTGTTCCATGTTAAGTCCATACAGGTGGGAAGCAAACCTGTGTTTCAGGTCTGCGTTATAATACAAATATCTTATGCCTTGTTGTTGTAAATACATTTGTAAAATAAGCTTTGGTATTTAGCACTGCATTCTGATTCCGTGCCAACAAGACAGCTGCACTTATAGCCAGTGTTGCTATGACCACAGCCTTGCTGGTGCACAGGTAGCGGAGTTTGGACGTTGGTGTTTGCTTGGCTGCACCTTCAGCAGAGTGTTTGTTCTGCACAGCGTCCTGCTCCTCCTGGGTCAGGCTCGTTGGGCAGAGTTCAGCCAGAACCTCCAGAGCTGCTCGTTGACCCGCCTGCACCGCCCCGCTCATGTAGCCGCACCAGAGGGTGGCCGTCTCCGTGCCTGCCCAGTGGATCCTGGAGACCAATACAAGTGAGAGATTTACTAAACACATGGCTTTGTCTTGCTGTTTGAAAAGGCTTTGGTTGTATGCTCTATTGGAGTGTTTACATCCCTTTTTAGCACATGTATACAATATTTGAAGCCATTTACATTCCCAGTTACCAGTGTTCACATATGAAGCTGTTGACCATTATGATTTATTTTTTAGCAACTGTTTTGACCCTTTTCTGTTTGTCTAGATGCTCCATGTCTTTGTTCACAAAACTCTGACATAACAAGCTCGCTAGAAAAAGCAGAAGAGCCACAATGCTTCTGTTCACTTGTGTTCTGCGCCATGTCATGACATTGAATTCAAGGGTGTCTTTAGAAACCTAATACATCTCTGCCCATGGTAACAGCATTTGTCCTCAGTCCACAGGGCTTTGTTCTTGGCAAGAAGCTGCAATCCTGAGTTTGATTGTGTTTGATTGTGTAACAGACAGAAGAAAAAGGGATAGGAGTCGAAGCTTCGGAGGGAAAATATGGAAGTGGATGTTGCTGCTGCCAACTGCCAGCCCCCCCCAAAAGGTTCAAGACAATGGCTGACAAACTGAAGATGATGAATTAGTTTTTACCAGTCACATTGTGAAAACACATCACTACCATCTAAGGGCAGCTTAGCAGCATGGTATCTGCTTTTTCTCAAAGACCCACTTCAATGGCCGCAGAGGCAAGAGGTGAGAGATGTAGGGCCGACCTTCTGGCTCGTTCCTATGACTCATAACTTATTGGTGAGGTGGAGCCGAGTCACAGCGCCACATGAATAATGCCTTTCCATTTCATCCTCCCTTGGGCGGCTACTCTACCTGTAACGGACAGAGAAGCAGAACAAAAGGCGAATATGAGAGATTCAAAGCTTCATCCGACCACCCTGCAGCCTCTGATGGATATGATCATATGTAATGGCATGGTCTAATGGAGCCGAGGGACACTTTGAACGTGTCATTTCATGTAAGGAGTCGCTAACACCCTCTAAAGAAAGAAAGGGGGTTAAAGTATTCTACCGTGCGTGCTGGCTCCCCTGTGAGCCCCTGCGACTTCCGATTACTCACGACTGCTGTGTTGAGTGTAATCACACAGTATGTGGTACATGTGTCCCGGGAGATCCATAATCCTCGCCTTACTATAGGAAGCTAAACGAACATGGCTACCTAAGCGTCAGGTTCACAGCAACTATTTCTATATTCCACTAAAGCTGCCTTTAGGGTCTGTGGCTTGACCCTCTGTGCTTCACCTCAATGTTCAAATGATGTAAACTGGGACCCCGATGGCACTGTCCTTTCAAAGCGCAATGACCGAGATAGATATGTTGTAAGAAGCGAAACAGGAAAGCAGGCAAGGTAACCATGGAAACACAGCTAACTAGCTGTCTTCACAGCAAGGCTCTGCGCCCTACGTTGCAGTGAGCACAAATCTAATCTCTTTTAATGTGAGGGAAACCAAAGCTCCATGATGTTCCACTCACTTATCATCCAGGGAGCAGCTGAGGCTCAGAGCCATTGTCCAGTCTGTGTTTCGATCCCCAGCCTCCACTGCCCACTGCCCACTGCCCACTGCCCACCTTTACTATCTATACTTGATGTCAGGGTGAACAGTGTATGAACGTGTGTCACTTGTGTAGAAGCGCTTTGGATGGTTGCAAAGAGCGGAAAAGCACTTTATAAATGCAGCCAATGAACATGTGGATTACAGCTCATGTACTCACTAACCCATCACTCTTGCTTCAAGGCTCCTCTGCTATACCACCCCCTCCCCACCCCTGACCATCCATCAGAGCAAGGGCTCTCCCTTAGCACCTTTAATCTGGCCAGCATCCTTGATGATTAATTTATGTCATCTGAACAGCAGAGTCCTCAGCAGCAAACAAGTTTCCCCGAGTACCCAATTCACACACTTCTCTCATGCTGTAAGGCGGGATATGACAGCGGATTTCACAAAGGGACCCCTTACTATTCAAGGGTCCTAACCAGGGGTTAAATTGGGATTTGATATGTGGGGGGGCTCTGTGGGGGGGGCTTGAGGGCTATACTGTATATGAGGCCCTAAAGGAACTGCTCCATTATCTGTATCAAATGCACACATCGATGCCACCAAATGACACAATACAAATAGAAAGTACTACAAATAAATTGGAATTAATTTATATCTTAAATTATTAATGTACACACAAAAATGCATACACATATCCAACCTTCAAATTGCTCCTGATCGGAGCAGAGACACGTTCACTAAGCCGAAAAACTATATCCGGTCACAGAGATCTGCTATTTTAAAGTAAAGTCAACACATATCGACCCTAAATATAGTCTATATTAAGAACGAGAAAAGTTTTAACATATAGTTTTTTTAATACAAATGTGCGAGGGTGATGACGTCAGAGCATCGTCCTATGTGCCGGGGCTTAGCCCCGGACAGCCCCGGCCCAATTTAACCCCTGGTCCTAACAAGAAATGGATGAGCGCTCAGAAGTGAAGAGTTGTGCCAAAGCTGCGATGACAAATGCTCAGAAGTATGTTGAGTGTACAGACCAGCCTGCGAAAGGATGCCACTTGAGACTTCATCAGCAGAATATCCCAGAAGATGACCCCAGACTGAAAGGCTTTTTGGTAACATGTCAAGAAGCTCTGAGTTCCCTTCCGATCCACTGAGGGTCTTAAGGGCCTGATTGATCTCCTCAAACTGAAACTTTAAAAAAGTAGAGATTGTTAAAGTTGCCTGATGTTAGTAGGATCTGTATTCAACACATGGTTATACTCTGTATGGTGCCATACTTATACAGCAGCTAAGAGAGACCCAATATTGACTCAGACATAATGTACACAAATGATAATGAAAAGGGAAAGCAATGCATTTACCAAGTAAGGAAATCAAAACAACAGGCAGGAGTGATGCAGGGAGAAATCAATCAACCCAAACATTACAGCAACCCACATATCAGGTGGCAGGGTAATGAGCAGCAGCGTTATACTGAGAAGAGTGAGAGATTACCAGATTCAACAAGACTGCTCTAGGAACTGCAATGCAATAGGATTTCCAAACCGGAAATGTCAAAATGCTAACCCATTCCCAAGTGTTAGGACTCATTCCTGCACCATTCTTAAAAGTGAAACGGCTTTAGTTCTCAGTCAAAATAATGTTTGTTTTAATACGTTGCTTTGGCACATATGCCAATATGTTCTCCACTTTGGAGGATATCCAGCAAATGCAGAAGTAAATGATTAATCCCTTCTCTAAAGCGGGGGAATAAAGATAAAACAATCCCTCTGAGCTCGTGGAATATCATTTTGACCTCCGCTGTACTGTATACAAACTGTTCTGCTGTGTTCAATTTAATCTCATTTCCCAGTGGGCTGAGTCAGATACTATAACAGCAGATGAACACAATGCATTTAGAAGGAAACTGCTGCATGTTGTCACCTTAAGCGCAAATAAAGACTGTAGGAAGATGAAAGCTTTCTTTCCTTTCTGTCAAAAACCTTCACAAGCATTTGATCAGTGAGTGAAGCGTTGTCTGGAATAAACTGCCCTTTTCTTGGCTGTACTGTATCTGGAAATACGAAGTTTTGTGTAAACTGCCGGACTGACTGGAATTGTATTTGCCTAAATCTGCAAATAAAGCCCAGAATACCTAATGGTTTCTTTATCCTTCCTAAAGATGACTTCATTAAACATAATAGGGCCTCTTTAAAAGACGCTCCTTTTGGTTGCCTTCACTGCACAGTCTTGTCAGTAGTATCCCATATGAGACATGTGACGATCATCTCCTCTGTTTGATGTACTTTCTAAAGTCCCATGATGTTTCTGTGTGGTAGTGTCTTAGTGTCATGATCATGAGTAGATATTCAGAGATGTTTAACCAAATTAATTCACAGCCCCACACACTGCATAATCTTTGTGTGTTTTGGAAAGCTTCGTTATTCCCTAGGATATGAGCGGTGGTACTGCAGTTCACATCTTTATGCCTTCCTTATAAAAGAAAATCAACGAGGCACTTGTTTTTTATTTTTTTATTTATGTCCTTGAATTAACAAATGCGTTTCTTTCAGCCTCTGTGCTGGCATTTCACAATCATATTGAATGTGTTGGCAGACAGGAGGAGGAGATCTGTGTGAAAGTTCTCTGTGTGGCCTGCGTTCATCACTTTGGACGCTTTGGAAGCTGTTGCTTTGAGTTTATACCTCGAGGCAAATGTGTTGTAGTAGAGTAGAGTAACTCATGCTGCTCAGTGCTGCTCAAAAACTAGGGCTAGGCGATAATGCAATACAATCATTTATCTTTTATTGGAATAATATATCCAAATAAAAGTGTAGATTTACATATTTTAATACAGAATGATGTCATCTACATTGGTGTTAAATGAAGCACGTACTACTCTTGTTTATAATTCCAAGAAAAGTTGATGCAAAGTATTTTGAGGAAATATCCTTTTAGGATTGTTTCTACAAAACCAATCCTTGAAATATAAACTTCACTTTTTATCCTTATTTTCATTTGAAGCTGATATGTAAATGATGCACTGATGTTCTTAATAACATGATAAATAATCATGTATCTGATTGGACACAGGTGTTTACAAAAAGAGGCTTACCGTGCGGGTATTTCCTATAGTCTCTGTTTTAATGTAACTCTATATCGTGGTTTATATGGCAATGGGAGATATGACATAACCTATATCAGGATAGTAGATTGTGGCAGTATCACCCAGCCATAGTTGTAACCTCATTGAACTTGGATCCATGTAGCTATTGACCTTACTTAATCCCTGACTTGACCAAGAACCTGAAATCACTTTTGTTGGCAACCAGGGGACAGCAGGAACAAGTTGAAATAAAAAAAACTGAAATAATCTCCTTTATAATTTATTGACCAACTTGTTATGAAACCATTGCTTATTCAGCACTATAGACCCCATTTGTACATGTAGATCAAATATTAACTTACTTTATCTACATTTTGAGCTTTTACCATCTCCCAGAGGACATATCTGGCTCGAGAGCTGCTTTATGCTCCACTTTGTTCACCAGCTAGTCACTAATTTTGTCTCTCTGCTGTTAAGTAGGTTGGTTTTTATAGCTGTTTTGCAGAAAACAGCTGAATGTTATGTCTGCAAACTAGGAGAGCTGTGAGCTTGCAAGGAGGATAACAGTAAAGTGCTTTATAGCGAGCTAAACAATGAAGTGAAACTCAATTCTAAAGGTCCATAAAGCCAAATGGAGCAGCACATTTGGTATAGACCTGATCCATTCATATAGACACCCATTAAAGCCGCCTTTAAACAGCGAGAAGTAATCTACTCCAAAGAGGTTATTGGTTGTTTACACCATATGTTAATCATAAGTAAACTCAAGTTAATATGTATACCATAAATGATGTAGACAGTGCAGCTCAGAAACCTAAGAAGAACCTTATCGACTTTAAACATGATGAACCATAAAGAAGACCTGCACATGTTTTTAGTACAAAGACTTTAGTGCTGTGACCTTTTGTTTGGGATAGATGTGTTGGTGTTGATCAACTCATGCTGAGCTGTTGTTAGTTGGTTTATAATCCTTTTGATTCGCGCAATGGGGAAGTAACCATCAGTCATTGCCCTTTAAAGAAGCAGGCGCCCTGGTTTAAAGAATGATATGAACATATTGCAAATCTACGGTTTTAATAACAAGGGGCTCACTGAGGAATCATTCTGGTGTTTCAGGATGAGGAGCAGAGCTGCTGCTGCTGCCCTTTAAAGGAGAGCAGAGAAGGACTAATCCTGAAATAGCTGGATGGATGCAAACCTGACCGTGTTGACACAGAGATCAAAAACCCTAAGCCCCTCCGAGATCCCCGATTCCCAGTTATAATGATCAGAGTAAGGTGTATAATGGAACAACGTTTTTATAACATTCAACATGTATTCTGCAGCAGCCTGTGTATCATGGGTTGAATGAGCTAATCCTTTTCTCTTCGTAGTAGAATCTAAATATTGTGAGGAGCAGCCAAACTTATATTGTATTTTAGTTATTTATTACAGCTTAAAAATAAAACTCTTGCAATTGTGAAGAGTTTATTCCAACAGCATTTTGTAGCTTCAAGCTAAGTAAAGCATGAACCAACTAGGGTCAATATATTCTTGGCAGCTTTTCTTTCATTCTCGTTTCTACTCTCTCTACTAACCACACCTACAATTTAGTCTGGAGCTCCTTTCTGTAAAGATCTCACATACTGAGCACTCGGGCATGGTATCCACCTCGGAAAATTACTCTAATTATATTTAACGACAGTGGGTCAGCATTGAGATTCATACCCCTCACAAAATCCCATCATTCACCGGACTCTCCCTTGCTGTTAAATACAACTCGTTGAAACACCAGCAGCATTTTAGCTTAACCAAAGACGGGCTTGCCTTCATGTCACGTGCTGGAATCGTGTCAAGGTCACAACGTGTCCTTGAGGATCCATTTTCTATATGGCGTAGGAGCGTGGGCCGCAGCCTAATGCTGCTGTTTGAGTAACGTTATGTAATGAGCTTCCTCTGCTCCCCGTGGACTTAATGTCATTACTGAAATACATTACCTGGATCCCCCCCCTCCTCCCCCACCTCTCTCCCTCCCCCCCCCCCCCACCTCTCTCCCCTCCCCCCAGCCGTGTGCTTCTCAGAACAGCCCATTAGAAATTGATTACTGGACACTTTTTTTTCTATGAGGACACCACTGCTGACCACCTCGTGCTATTTCTTTAAATATTAAAGTGTACGGTGAAGGCAGGATCACTCCCATGACTGCTTGGTCTAAGACAAGGGTGTCCAAACTACGGCCCGGGGGCCAAATGCGGCCCGCGGACCATTTTGATTCGGCCCTAAGAAAATTCAAAACGTATAATGGAATATGGCCCACAAATAAAACTTGTGCTTGCCTTATATTGTACTTCTTAAATATAAATGTAAAAATATATTACACAGTAGTATTCATGTGTTAATAAGAATGCTTTTCACATAAATTCAGTCAATTCAAGTTGGAAACGTTTTCTATATGTTAGTTAGTTGATAAGAAAAAAGCCCAATGACTTATTTACATAGCAAGCTTGAAATACACCCTTCTTATTTCTCCTTATTATAATCAATCTGAGGCTTCTGTTTTAAGGGATGAGCTGCCAACACTCACAAGCATCATTTACCTACATCTGATTGGTTTTGCTAACTTATAACTGAATTTATGAGGCAATATACCTCACCTCTAGTGAGGGGCCCAGCCCCTTTGTATATTTGTCTCTATGTGGCCCTCGGTGAAAAAAGTTTGGACACCCCTGGTCTAAGGCATTCGGTGGTAGTAAAGTAATACCTGGTTGCAGTGTTGTAAATACATTTAATCTAGTACAAATTTGAGGTACTTTTAATTTAGGGTTTCCATTGTATGATAATTCATCATTCTAATCCTCTACAATCTTGAAGAAAGTATTGCGCTTTTTACTTCATAGGTTACTAGCTACTTACAGATTAATCTTATTGATGAAAAAATATAAAGCAACTAATGAATTATCATATATAATTGTAGATTATTTTACCTTATTTTACAAAAATAAATGTAATTCATTAAAGTTAGCTCCACCTTTACCAGCTGCAACATTAAAATAATGTTCACTATAATGGATAAATAAATATATTATTTAACATAATAAGTATACATTATAACAACATTTGCCATTCTGCATAATGAGAACTTTTAGTTTTGGTACTTTAATATATCTTTGGGGCGGTGTAGGGACTTTGCTGGGGAACCGAAGGGTCTCCAGTTCGAGGCCAAATCGGACCAAAAGTACAGAGTTGGACTGGTATTCAGAGTGGTGCCAGTTCACCTCCTGTGCACTGCTGAGGTGTCCTTGAGCAAGGCACCAAACCCCAAACTGCTCCCCAGCACCAGAACACTAGCCCTTTGTGGTGCATATCTGGGCCTATGTGTGTAATTGCAAAATAAGTCAAAAACAGAATTTATCCTCTGGGATCTTAAGCTTATACATAGTTCTTATATAATATTAAAGTATTGATGCTAATACTTTTGTATTTTACTCATACATAAAAAAAAAAGAATGCAGTAGTTTTACTTACAATATTGTGGTATTCGTACTTTTACCTGATTACCTTTTTCTAAGGTATGAAAATAGCTTGAGTATGCAGCAACCACAGTAATTACCTCATTATGTCATGTAGTTTACAATTACTGACCTATGAAAATGTAGCTCTTGAAAAGGTCGGCCTGCTGGTTTACTCCACTACTCCCCTCACTACTTAACCACTCTTTCCATTGAGAGCCTGGAGGAAAGGTGTGATGCTGTATGTCATCAGGGGGTGATTACCTGCCACAGGGCTTCCTCAGGCTGGGGTGGTAATATGTTAGCATTCCTGGCGCCATGACATTAACAGGGCAGCCGCCGCTGTAGTCCTCCTTAGCCCAGTCCTGTACAGCAGAAAAGTGACGTTAACATTGTTCCATTTCACAACACGGCACAAAGGCAGGGCTTGTTGAAACACACTCTTCAAATCTAGTTTGTTATTATAAGATAGCACAGCTCATGAAAACACACCTTATTCCAGGGCCTCTGTTAGACACGCCTGACATCTGTCCCCCTCCAAACGCCTCGTGATTCGTTATCTTTAGTAAGATGTCAGTACAATCGTATATTATGTAAAATAGCCATTATTGTATTTCATCCACGGCTTATTTGAATACTTCTGATTGATCATTTTGGACATTTCAGAGGTTGTTAATTCTCACTATCAAACCGACACATTTGATCAGATTTACCGACATTTAAATCGACAGAATAATGTTTAGTTTCTCCTCATTGATTTTGTTTGTTTCACTCTACCTACCAGAGTCCTTTATTTGTTTGGTGTCTCTCTCACAGACACACTAATAAACATATATTGCAATACATGTACTCTACTGAAAGTTGAATACATGTATTTGTCTATGTATATGACTAAGGAGAAGTCATATGCATATCAATGGACAGAAAGACATCTGGTAAATGTATCTTTAGCTGTGGACAACAAACATCCCCGTGTCTCTGCACATTATCCCATACATGTATTTGTCCAAGTTGATTCTAAAACTGTAGCCTGCTTACTAAAAATCAAATGATTACATTTTTACTCGACAACACAAATACTTTTCTTCTAACGTGGAGATACACACGAGTGGAATGAAGCCAGACAAGTTGTTAGGGGAATATATGCTAAACCCAGAGGAGCGGCTTGTCACTGCAATGACAAAAGGGGGTACACCTTAAAGGTCAGACAATGGTAAAGTGACTCTGTGGACCTTAACATGGTTATGAAACTGTAATACTGATGCCTCTGTATGACCTACATAAGGACATCAGTGAGGAAAGTGGCTATTTCTGAATTTGCTTATTTCGATGAATACGCCAAAAACTCCTTCAGCTCAGATTCCAACCTGCTGCTTGGATTTGACCCTAATTCATTATTACTGTACTAGTTAGAGAAATCAATTGGCATCAGTGCAGCTTCTTTATGTAAGGCAAGGCAAGTTTATTTATAGCACCTTTCAACACAAGGCAATTCAAAGTGCTTTACAAAAATGAAAGACATTAAGAAGCATATTATAAAATGGCATTTAAAAACACTCATTTAAAAGCAAATATATAAAATGGCATTTAAAAACACTCATTTAAAAGCAAAGATAATAAAACATGAATAACAAAGATACATGAATAAAAGTTACAGTGCAGCCTGAGATACACACATCTGAAATGTTTAGGTCTGACTCTCAATCATTGCTAACTTTTTAGCAGAAATAGTTTTCTATGACTTCACTTTCTTTCTACTTTCTGTGTTACCTTATCCTTTAGTTATTTCAAGTCTTTCATGCTAAACGAACCCCCATTTGGAAAATTATATTCTGACCCCATAGTACCTTTTAGGTTTCGCCGAAACTATTCCTCTTTTTTATGAATGCAGTTAAAGTTTACCTCGTCTTTCTAGCCAATATAATGTATGCTAAAGTGATGTCGGAGAACATTGCATGCCCCAGAGTACCAAATAAAATGCATCCAGTCTACTTTTACAGTCTCACACGGTTTAGTTGGCAGCACAACACACACCGGCTGCATCATGTAGCATTGAATATAACGTTTAACTACTACACACGATGTTGCTCTGAGAAACCCAGAGCTCCTCATATGGAAATAACTCCAGCATGATACACAACATGAATTAAAATTATGTTTGAGACTTCTCAGACATGTACTTTATTATAAATAGTTGAAAGAGTACAAACCTAATTAGTATGAAATATTAAGACACTCACTTTGAATAACGTTAAATCAGGCCACTTGCGTCCCTCAACACTATACTGTCAATTCTACCGGGGTTTCTTTTCTCTTCGCAAAGCTCTGAGTGGTTCTTATTGTATTCTTCAAATGAAGGTTCCTGTTGAGTCTCTACAAAGTGGAATCGTAATGTCTCCCTTAACATCCATGCCTCTAATTTCCTCAGGGCAATTTGCCTTTCAGCGATGAAGTGTCCGGGGACTGAAATCATATGTCTGCATGACTAATGTGCTGTTTCACAGTCTACCAATGTGTGCTCGGCATCATTTAATGGGCCAAAGTAGCACTTCTGTATTCAGTGTGTGTGGCGCAACATGAATATATATGTTCTTTTCACACGAGTTCTGCTTCTCTATCGCAGATTTGCCACGCCAACTTTTTAGTCATTTGGTGTTCTATTTGTTTTATTATTTGGCATAAACGGTTTAATGAGCCTCCACTTTTGGGAGGTTGCTGTGCTACTAGCAGGAGAGTAGATGTATTGTTTGTTTCCCACACTGTGCTCCTTATGGGATGCTGCAGCAAAGTCACCTTTTTGTTGTTTGTCTCTGGCTTTGCCTTCACAACCGTCGTAGGACATAAATGGCCTTCTGTTGTGTCCCTGAGCAATTCCCAAATATACGATTTTTGAACCCATGCTACCTTACTATCAAAACTATTTAGGATGTCATTTATAATCTGGTGTACCCAGTTGTGGTAATAACCATTTTTGACATTTCAATGGAGCCTTTTTTGCGTATGGATCTTGTTTAAAACCTTGGTGCGCCACATGTTGATGAAGGTGGATTAAAGCTTGCATTGCGGCATTTAAAAATGAGAAGCAATAGTTTTGTGATTAACTCAGGTCTGTGCTAGGGGTGCTACCAATATCTCGGTATCAAGTTTATGCCAACATTTGGTGATGGTACTGTACATTATAATGCATTATAATGCATTAAATCTCCATCTGGTAATAATTAGTACTTGGCAAAGATAAATAATGTTGAATGTAAAGTGAATTATTTTAAGTTTTGCATGAGACAATTGAATAAATACAGTTGTTTGAAGGGTTTATTTTATACTGCAATATAATATGGATATTATAAAGGAATTATGACCCTATGAATTATTCAGCTTCCTAATGCTGGCTCTCAGTAGCTTCCAATACATAATTAAAGTTGGGTTTATTTTTGTTTTTGGTTCGCTACGTATACATAACACTACACTTAAGGTCTATAAATACTCTGACAGGTTTTCAATCTTTTGCTACACAAAATAGCTTTCCCATTTTAAGAATGCAGAAAGTCGTGAATTACAATTCTGCCTCAAACTTAAATAGCATTATTCTTTTTTTATGTTGGACATCTCTCACTGAACTACTTCCTTTCTCTTCATAGTGGAAGAAAGATGCGGCTTCTGTATTTGACAAGACTGGAAAGCACCTAATATATTGCAAAAATGAATGTTGCTTGTAAAACTTAATTCTTGGCGGGACACTTAAAGAAATACAGTTGTTTTGGAGGATTTGTTTTCTCAACAATATAAAATGAAGGATTTATTTTTACAACAATATAAAATGGATATGAGGGAGGGAGGGAATTATGACCCTATGAATGATTGAACTGCCTAACACTGGCTCTAAGCTGCTTCTAATACATAATCAAAAAAGTATATTTTCTCATTTACTTTTTTGCCAAGTAGATAAAACTACACTAATGAGCTATAAATACTCGGACATATAAACAAACAAAATAGCCAAAATGTCCCTCCCATCTGGAATGCAGGAAATAAATGACAATTACGTCATCTGTCACTTACTTTCTCTTCGTAGTGGATGAAAGACCTGGCCTCAGGTCCCAGGTATTTGACCAGGCTGGAAAGCACAGCTTCTCTCCTCTCGCCACTCTGCAAACAGAAGGACATGCACGTGCGTTTACACTCATCACTGTAACAGCAGGCTGCGAGAAATATGAATGCATATTTAAGAAAGTAATCCAGCTGGACAAAGCAAGCAGCAGTCCATTTGAATAACTCAGGCGCTGTCAGCACATGCTCCTGGTCGGATTAGTTCACATTGTGAGTTATGTACACAGCAGCTGAGAGTCCTGAGGATCAAAGGGACGGATCACCATGAAACATGCTGACAGATGTTGCAAAACTGTCTCACATTCCTCATCTGCATGTCACTTTACCTTTGCTCTCAGCATACCCTTGGACAATAATTCATAGCTCAAACTCTCTTAATGCACTCTCTCTGCCGAAGAACAAACAGTGAAATCAAGCATGGAGCCAAATTGCTTCCAATTAGAAATGTATAAATACAGAACTAAATGTTATTTAGCTTCAGCACTGTTTTGCCATCTGTAAATCCTTAGAAATTACTTTTGAGAAGAGGCTCTTTAATATGTGGCTGCACCTGTGCAATACATCAGCCCTAACCATACGACACTCCTATGAAAGCCAAATGAGGAAAATAAATCATAATTACAACGAAATATACAGCTGGATCTTACCTAAAAAGCTAAACCCTTGTATAAGTGACACACTGATGTCCATGTGGCTCACACAAATGGACACTATAAACCTTTATTTAGCAGTGACGCAACAAGCAGAGGTTAATTATTTAGCACTCTAAATGCTGTGTGGAACAGCAGGGCGATGACTACCCTTGAGCTATGTAGCATGTCAGGCTAATGACTGAAATACCAAAACAACAGTAACTGAGAGATCTTTCCGGGTAAGGGGAAAGTACTGAAGCCAAGTTAAAAAGTCAACACTGAAAGAAAGGAAGGAACATGGGAGGATGTGGGCGAATTGTGCAAAAAGTGTGTTTTATTTACTGAATTAGAAGCAGATTATGTGAAATGTGACCTTTATAAGTTGCATCAATATGTTTGCGTTTTATATTTACCCATCTACTGTTCTCCTCAGTCTAGATGCTCTGCTGTTTTTGCATAACATTTTCATAATGCTGCCTGTGAGCCTTTTGTTTACATAACTTTAGAAAATGCACTCTTCAAATCTAGTTTGTTATTATAAGATAGCACAGCTCATGAAAACACACCATATTCCAGGGTCTCTATTTCCTTTGTGTCCACACAACAGGTTAACCAGGCTTAACCCTTAACATGCATGAAAAAGGATTTAAGCTCTATTTAATGGTAGAGATGGAGATGCAAAAATAAGTGTGTTCAAATATAAATGTAGAGTTCATTTAAATTTGAACACATAGATGTACCATACAACTTATGTGTAATGAATCTACCAGACATTAGATAGTTACGTTTTGAAAACCATCATTTCTCACCAGGCAACTTGCAAATCAGCAATGATGCCCGTAAGAATATCTGCTGTCATTGGACTGACGGCAAACTCAAATTCGGAGGTCTTCGCCAATCCGAACCAAAGATTAAGTAAAACATGCATTTGAATTTTTTTATTTACAGCGGGCCCAAATATAAGTGAGTCAGGCAAACAATTACAAAATGTCATTGGAGATTGATGATCAGCATTAATATATGGTAACATTAAAAGCTATAGGGCATCGATTTCCTTTCAATCTAATGTTGGACGAGCACTAAATCTGTGACTTTTCTTGGCTTGTCAGTGTTTTTATAATTTAATGCAGCTTCTACAATTAGCCTGACTTGTAACATTACAAGAGTTTAGTTTGACGATTGAAGTTAACCTCATTAGCATCACAATCGAGTCCCATTGATTCAGAATTAGTCCCACAGTGGGGACATTTACAACGTTACAGCAAAAGTGGCACAGTAGGTAAAAGAAGGCTTGCAATAATAATTAAAAAAAAACAGACATTAGTAATAAGACAAATAACTACAAAACCATGGCTAAAAGAGATTTGTAGCAGCAATTAAACTAAGTGACATAAATAGCAATTAGGCTCTCCTTTCTCTCAGTGGAAGGCCTGAAGCCACATCACTTCTCTTTCACTTTCCTTTTTTCTGAATAAAAGAAAACCCAATTCTGGATCCTTGTTGTTGTTTAACGTGAAATACACTGCACAGCAGCTTTAGATATGAAGAAACGATATTCTTCCCCTTGGAGGCGATCCTTAGTTTTCACCTGAAAGTGAGCAGCGTCTTCATCGTGTGTGACATAGCGCTTATCTCATCTATAACTCTGTTGGATAATCCTAGCCTTCCTGCCTTTCATTTTGTGCGAGCAGTTTCTATCCGTTATCAACTTAAATATAAGAACACCAATAATAGAAAAAAACCTATTATTCCTAATTTCTGTGGGATGGATTAACATGAGATTTATAATGAATCACAATGGGAATTCAAACCAATGGCACAGCTGTGATTAGAAATGTTGTTTACATTATAGATAAATACTAATGAGTGTATCTGCTTGCCACATTGATAAGACATTACCTCCTTGGAGCTCCATTGTGAAGCCTGCTGGCCGGCGATGAAGCCCACCAAGGCAGCATTACCGCTGGGGCTGGTGGCGTCAAAAGTGACACAGAATGGACACTCGGTGGAGGATCCTGCCACTATTTCCCCTGAGAAGCCTTTCTCCCTCCAAAAAGCCTGTAAAGAAAAAGTGGAAGTTCACACCATCAACCTTTATCAACAATAGCAGCAGCACATAACCCAATCTGAAAATACTTGCACATAAGCTACACCGTGTTCCATGTCTTTCAGTGCTGACATTTGCCTGGAGTGATTGAGCAGCTGTATAGAAAGCTAAATGGAGCCACTCAAGAGCCACATTCAACAGCTTTCACAACTGGACCCATTACCTATACCTACAACACACATTTCACTCAATTGATATGCCCGCTATGACATGTGCAAAGCCGCCTGAATACTTTACATTGTACAGTATTCAAAAGACTCTTGACATAGACCTTTATTATACATACAAATGTGAGTGCAAAGCTTTCTGCCAGCTAACCAATCAGACCAGACTGGGATCTGGTTTCAGACAGTGTGAAAAGAGGTGCTGCAGCCAGGACAATATGAGAAAAATAAAGACCTTTTTTGAATATCAAAGCATAAAAACAAAAAAATGGCTTTGTCCATTACACAATTCACTTTTCGGTATTACATTTTATTACCCGGCTCAGTTTTGTCTATAGTAGATGGGTCCATTCACCGTTATAAACTGAAAATAAACCCCCAATGCTTGTACCTAAACAGTGAGTGTGAAGGAGCATCCTACAAACTGAATTCTGTGCAGTCTATTAGCCCTATCATTGATATGCAGTCAGTGCATAAGAGGCAGTATTGAACGCTGTGCACCGAGTTGAAGAAAAAAGAAACAAAATCACAGCATCAGATTGTTCTGTGTGAGGCAAGGATGCCATTTACAAAATAAACTGTGTACTATTAATCTAAGCTACCATATACAAAACAGAAAGTATAAAAACAGAATTATGTATATTCTTGTATGAGTTATTTATGAAAGGCAACAATAATGTATACTAAGTGTTTTGTATTTTGCTGGCATAGTTTATAAGAATACATTTAATGTGTGCAGAATTTCAAATGTCATAATTAAATGCTGAGACAATTCTTCTGTACTTCCTAGGTTGGCACAAGACCTATGGTTATATAATATATTACACATGTCTCATACATTATTAAGTAGTTAGCTCTGTTGCACGCTGTTTGTAACCTGCTGGCAACCTTTCTGCCTACCGTAACATGTGACTGTAAAGAATGTTAAACTAAGGCAACCACATTTCTTATTCATACATGCATACAATTCTTTACGTGCTTGGCTGTTACAATACAAAGAGAATTACAATGACAACCTTTGTTTCACTCCACCTGTGTGTTTCTTTTGAGTTCATTGTGAGTATGAAACCTCTGATTGTTACATTGTTTTTATTTTAAAGGGGCCCTATTACATATTATCGTCCTCTACTGTGACATGACATGAGCCTCTTTTCACCCTCTGTCTGAAATGAGATCTGAGTCTGCTCTAATTGGTTAGCTGGCCAACCCTGTTGCGATTGGTCAACCGCTTACAGATGTCCCGCCCCTTTTAAAATCTACCGACTCTTCATTCATCTTGTCTACTCATTATTTAGAAGACGAGGCTAAAAACAAATATTAATGTCAGTTGCACTGTGCTTGCACTTTCCAAAGTAGGGCTTTTAAAATAATGAAGGCACAACATTTTTGCAATATCATTTTATTCTATAATGAAAAAAACTGGCAAACACACTCTACATCAAAACTAACACTGCATCCTTTTTATTTCATTCAAGCTATTTCTTTAAAGCCACACCAATCCACTCTCTGTACAGCACATCAGTCCTGAGAGCTCAGAGAGGCTCATTTGAGTAATCAACAAGCTTGAAGTATGAGGCACATTTCCAGCCTGCTTTACACCTCAAGATGGAGGAGGAGAGGCACTCTCTTGCAGAACAGGTGCACATTCTTGCTGTGTTTTCCCGCCTTTCTGATTGTTTACCATACCGCCCTGATTCTGTCTACCTGCATCCTGCATCCTGCTGCCCTTGTGTTTTTTACCCAACCCTTTTCAGCTGTGACTTGTCAATGTGAGTAGTCCTGTGTTTCTTGTTTAGTTTTGCCACTTTGCCTTTGAGCTTTACTACCTTCATATTTGACCTCTTGTTTGTATTGGCTTTATTAAAAACGAGCCCTATTATGCTTTTTGGAGTGTCTTCCTTCCTGTGGTGTGTTAAATAGCCTTCTTAGTCATGCAAATGGTCTGCAAAGTGCAAAGGCTAAATCCCAAAGTTCACAGCACATAGTGGCTTCACTGTAAAACACTAGCGCTCCGACACATTGTACATGATTTGCTAAGGAGCAGACTGGGCTCTGGTTTCAGACAGAGGGTGACAAGAGGTGCTGCAGTATGATGAAAATAACAGTAGAGGCTCTTTAATTAAAGCTCACTTAAAGGGGACCTATCATGCAAAATGCACTTTTGTACGTCTTTTATACATGAATATGTGTCCCCGGTGTTCCAGGGAACTCACCAAGTGTCAGAAAACACAACCCTCTCTATTTTCCTCCATACCCAAATCTCTAAAAAAGGGGCTGCAACGGATCTGATACAGACTGATCCAGATTTGAACACTGTCCTGACGTCAGGAAAGTGGCGCTACGGCTATTGGGCCAACTCTCCACCTATCAGGGGAATGTGGGGTTGGGCCACGGCCGGCCATTGCTGCTCGAAAGCGCTGTAGTACATATGCCAGGCCTGTAAGTGGCGCTGTAGTCTGCCACAAAAGCAGCGAAGAAGACTTCCCGCGCATGGTTACCATGGTTACCCTTCTGTTTATTCTCCGCTGTGGCTTTTTTTCTCCCTCCCCGAGGCAAGCGTTTGCTCCCGCTGCTTTAATTCAATGCAATCCCTCCCCGTCGAGGCAAGCACTGCAATTCTCTCCGGTTAGTCCACCAGCAGATGACAAACACCCACCTCTCCGCCTCTTCCAAGGAACGAGGGGGCCGTGCGGCAGAGTTTCAGTTTCAGTTTCTTTCGCCGGTCAAGATGTCCGTTAAAGTTTAAATCTTCCGGACAAAATTAGAAAAGTGCCGGTCAAAGGTCTTCTTTGTTATTTATTGAGCTTTAAAACAAATGAATAACGACTCTATATAATAATAGGCTATAATAAAACACGGAAGACGGAGATCTCTTTTTCTCCCCCTCTTCTGACAGCCCAGCAGCTGTTCAGAACGCGCTCCCCTCTCCTGCAGGGGGGCGTGGTCAGCTGCAGCTCACAGAATCAGCCCCCTGCAAAAACAGTGCTGGAGAACAGCAAATAGAGCGAAATGAGGCATGGCTTAAAATCATGATCTGTTTGGTATTTTGAAAACAGAAACGTATAAATATACCTTATATAGGTATGGCCCTACAATATATCATTTAAATATAGCATGATAGGTCCACTTTAAGTAATATATACCTGCCTCCCTTTTTGTCTCTTAGTTTTGAGTCCTACTGCCTTCCTCACCCGTTACAGTGTTGGATAGTAGTCTCTTCTGTCCGAATGACCTCCATCAGCTGTATTTGCAGCATGTTGTTGAAGAAGGCATGGACAGTACACCTGCTTCCATCCTTAGCCTAACCTAAAGGCTTTGCAGTCACACCATGCACAAACAGGCTCCTTCAGGATATACAATTTGCTGATGTTGGGTCTTTTACATCCGGAAGCTCCATATGATTCTGAGATACAGCTGCTGTAGGCGTTAGCCCTGACAAATTACCTAACATTGGGGAGTGTCGGCAGAGGTAAACAAAGTGACAGATGTGATGCCCACCCTGAGGCTGCCTTCAAGGACTTGCATCCTGTGAGGGACACGCTGTGTGCTTCTGGGATTGGCCTCCACCGTGGAGAAGATAATCCAAGGCAGGAATGCAGACTCGACTCTTTAGGCTGAAAATGTAAATTCCTTGGGATTGCACAAGCGATGTGGCTAGTGTTCTGCTCACTCAGCTCACTGTTCACTTGTATTATATCTCCTTCTAGAGAGGTGCCTGCCGCCATCTGCTATGAAAGTGTTTCAGGGATTTCCCGTGGTCATGGGTTTTTAGCGAGAAGTTGGTTTTTAGCCGCTCTCCTCTTACAGGGAGTGAGAGAGCCATGTCCTGCGCTCACTCTCCCTCTTCCTTTTGTATTGCAATGGCATTGCTGTTGGTTCTTGATATCCTTTCAACAGAAGCTTTGTGTATGCATTATGCATATATATTATACCTCTCAAGCTGTTTCCAATCTAAACAAAGAGGCTGCTAGCTTTAATCTCAGCTAAAAGGATGAGCCAATTGCATGCCATTTCAACTATAGTAGGGACTAAGTGATAGAACGCTCGAAGCTTCATTGCAAAGAGTTTATTTTCTACATGATGACATGATGTCATAGTTTTAATTAAAGATGAGGCCATTCAAATCTGGATTCATCTCATTGAAGGACATTTTTAAACACCTGCAACCCCAACATATTGTGATGAACAACCATAGCAATAGGTGATAGTTATGCCCCTCACGATAGCTGAAAATGTGATTTCAAATGAAAGTTTTGTTAGTGTTTGGCGGAGAGCAAATAAGAGCCTGGGAGATTCTAAACATCTTACACCTTTTATCACTGGATGATGGTTTGTCTGGTTCAAATCACACAAGGAGATTCTGACTTCAAGTGGGGGCTCAATCTTAGAAATGTTTATGTTTTTCTTATAGCCTTTACAAATAACAAAACGGATAGGGTGCTAAATAATAACCAAAATGCTCAGAACATAAATGTATAAACAGACACATCACATCATCCCATTTTGCATTTCATTATTGCCACAAGTTATATGAATAATTTGTTTCCTGTAGAAACCGAGTCTCCACACAAAGGTATTTGGCCTGTTCTTCCATGTGAGACCTGCTTCTTCCATGTGAGACCTGCTTCTTCCATGTGAGACCTGCTTCTTCCATGTGAGACCTGCTTCTTCCATGTGAGACCTGCTTCTTCCATGTGAGACCTGCTTCCAGTCAATAACATTTTTGGGTTTTCAACCATGAACACCTTTTTTTCAGATCCTGAAAGTACACCCTAAAGGACTTGGCCTAGATGACAGGCCCGCAGATCAGAGGATCTTGTTCTGCTCAATAACACTTTTACAAGTAGCTTCATACCAAGGCCTTCTTTACCCAGCATACTGATACTTACAATTATTCATAAGGGCAAAGGATTGTAAGGTATACCTTTGGGAGGACTTGATCTCATTGTTAAATCAATGTATTCAAACAGCCCTAATTATGTTTAACTGTGTTGAGTTGAAGAGGGATTAGGCTGCTTTTTTTTCTCACCTTAAGATGCATGTGTAAAAGGTTTTGCAACAAATGAGAGCCTACAACGACTAAAAGATTATGAGGCTAAATTTCATCAATCTTAGAATGACACACGGAAATCAAAATGTGATGCTCTCAACGATGGAAAGGATCTCGCTTCCAGGAGGAGTATCAGAGAGACACAACTTCCTTGTGTTTTCCTCTGAGTCATTAAAGAGCTTTTGTGACATGCATATTAGATCGGTAAAACACTTTGAAGTGCAACTCTCAGAATAAAAACAACGCAAGAGCAGTTGTGAGGCCCCCATAGAGACAGGTGCACTCACAGTTCAAGGTTGATTTTAAGGCCCCTTGTGTTCAAATACGGTGACACGTTAGCGTCTATTGGGGTTACAGATGGGGTCCAAAACTAGCAAACTACATGAATGTCTGGGAGCAAATTAATTTTATATGCTACACAAATATGTCCAGGATCCGTTGAATTTTCTGAATATTGGGTTGCGGATTAACATTTTCAACAGTGGGGTTCGTTTAGCATGAAACACTTGAAATAACTAAAGGATAAGTTAAAAGAGAAAGTAGAAAGAAAGTGAGGTCATAGAAAACTATTTCTGCTAAAAAGTTAGCAACGATTGAGAGTCAGACCTAAACATGTCAGATGTGTGAGATACACACTGCACTGTAACTTCAATTCATGTACCCTTTGTTATTCGTGTTTTATTATCTTTGCTTTTAAATTAGTGTTTTTAAATGCCATTTTATAATATGTTTCTTAATGTATTTCATTTTTGTAAAGCACTTTGAATTGCCTTGTGTTGAAAGGTGCTATATAAATAAAGTTGTCTGTCTTGCCTTGCCTTACCGTCATCTCGTTATGTTGAATATGTACGATAGGAAGGAAATGAATGACACCTGCATTTCATTTAGATAAAGCAAGCTGCAAGGTCTTGGTATTATGGATGCTACCTCAATGTCATGTCTAACACAATGTATTGAATCCATGCTTTTGTTAACTTGCCTCTATAGCTATTCTATAGCTGTGTCAAATAGTTAACTTCTACAATTTGTGTTGAACTGATACGTTTTGATAAATATTAGTGCTACGTATCATATACTGTACATGTCAAACTTTTGGATAATAACATGGGTAATCCTTCAAATTGGGGAAGTCTGCGATCAGATTAGAGGTGAACAGTGAAGTGTATTCTGGCACTTTATTGTAAACAGGCTTGTAAAGTGTGTGATTTTGATTAATAATCACACCCTTCATTTTCACCTTGCTATTTTAATAGGAAATAACTGCATGTTCCAAACACACGAGCCACGCTTTTGGCAGAAAAAACACGTCATATTTATAACTGCAGTTAAGGCAGCTCTCCAATAATGACTGAAATAAACAATATTCTAGATCTGTGACGAATGCGTTTGTTTGTTTAGAATCCATATGTCTCTTGGCAAGAAACCAAGGCAGAGATCTAAGCACTAATTACTTTGTGTTAATTACATTAGACACATTGATTCCAATAACAAGTTAAACACACATTTTGTTAATTAATTTTGTGGTTGTAAAGTATAGAATGGGAAAAAAATAAACAAATTAAATTCCATATGCAAGAAGCTCTTTTGTAGATCCGTGTGTGCCAAATGAGATGAGAGCTGTCTCCATAGGCTTTCTATTTTATTAACCAGGTGAAAGAAAATCAATATTTTATAACTATTTTCACTCACTTCTGCTGTTGGGAGGAATTTTTCAATTTCACACGAAAGAAAATGTTGATATTGATAGACTTTCAAGTGTTTTATAAGGTCCTGATTAGCTGAAACATATGACTTGATAAGAGTTTATGTGGGGTTATTGAAATTCAGGGACCCATTTAGCAAAATCTGCACAATGAGGTAATTTTGATTATTATTAACACCCAATAGTGTCAACCCATGCATACGCCTTGCAGGACTCACACTTATCTGCAATTTGCAAGCAGAAGTCAATTGTGAAACTTGACACAGCCAGCACTCGCTTGTAAGTACTGCTTGCAAATTGCTTAGGTGAAATGGGCCCCTATTAGCCGCTGTGAAATGTTACAATTGACAAGCATATTGTTATTATTATAAAAATTGTATTGACTGTTTCGAGTGCACTCTAACCCCTCACAAATGCTGTTTTCTATGTGAAAATATTTACAAAACAGCCCATGTGTCAGTGTGACCAATTTAATAATCCACCGTAACAATCTAAATCGATGTTACTCTTTATGGATGTGAAGTATAAAACATGTTGTTCAGAGGAAAACCCTTTGGGGATGAACGATATGTGAAAATATGTAAAAAGCTGCAACAACTGTTAAGAAAAACAAAGTCGTTGTTTAAAATGAATGTGCCTAATTTGCATCCTCATAACGTTATGCAAATGTATGTTCACATTTAGATTTGTCTTCTGTTACTCACCGTCTGGTATGTTAATATGAATTTTATCATGTGGCCCACCGGCATGTTCTGGGTAAGGAATTCTCTCTGGCTGGGCAGGGCTGGCTGGTAGTGGATCTTTGCTGTAGGGAAAAACAAGAGCACACCATGAATCTCAAAAACAAAAAACTCCTTTCAGTCTCCTTTAATCCATCTTCCCTCTTCTCACCTGGTTAACTTTACACTATAACATTCCAGACAAATCAATACTTTATTTATAGAGACCTAATAAAAGAGGGAAATTGAAATAAGTGAAGAACGATGGAACACTTGAGCTAATGCCTCTATTGATCAGGAAGGTTTTATCTTGAAACATTGACTTGCATTAATGGCAAAGAAATCCCCATGACCTAATGCTACTCTGGCTGTGGCTGGGCTGCAGGGAACTAATCGCGTGTCTTACATCTGTAAAAGCTCTATCTGACTGATGTGAGAGCAGTCAAGTGTCTTCATCAGTACCGTTGGAGGTACTGTAAGTCGTGCATGCAAAGGAGCCAAACCGTTTCTCGCTCTGGCAAGTGAAGCGACATCTGGCCAGAAGCCAGGCTTTTAACAAATGACCGAGTGGAAGATGTGAAACATCATTTAGAAACTGTCAAGGGCCCGTCAGCAACCTCAAAATAATGCCCTTAATGCTAAACAAAATTGATGAGCCCAGAGCAATAAAATTGAAAATCACTGACATGATAAGTGGCTCCAAACTAATTTGACATGGTCGCTTAGACGTCTGAATGACAGCAATGTACACATGACTTAAGACCTGTCAAGTGGTGTCATAACCATAAAGCGACTTGTTTTGACACCAAAGCTGAAAGTAGGAAATGCCTTCCACCTCATTATTTGCTAAACGCGTTGATGGCTAAATTAGACGTTTTCTAGCATCTTACTCATTTGAAAGCTAGAGTGCAATACACTGTCCTCCACTCTAAAGTGCACACATCTGCTGTGACACTTTTGTGGAACTCAGCATCACAGATAAAAGGAGATGACAAGAATAAACAGGTTCAACAGAATGGCAGTTTGTATAAATACGATCAAGCATATCAGTCTGATACCCTGATCTCCAAAGGTGGCTTTATGATAAAAAAGTGACACATCACTGCCTGTAAACAGACATCAGTGACAAGGCGGACTATTGTCATGCATTCTTTCTGGCATCTAGCAATTTCTACAGAGTTTGACTTTGCTCTTGAAGCAGCCACAGGATAAATACTGAGGATTTATTCTCTCAATAGAAGTGGAAGAAGCACTTTAAAAAATGAAAAATCATCAACATCAGTCCAGAGTTTGTTGTTATGTCGGCATTCATTCGAACCGAGCACACAACACATAAAAAGGGATACACACTTTGTTTGATGCTGGCAACAGACAAAATGTCAGAATTCTCCAAAAATCTAGCTTGGAAAAGGTTGAGGAGAAGCATATTAAATGTAAGCCATGGTAGTGATTCGGAAGTTGATCTAACGCTTTGATCCAGACTGAAATATGAATTCCTGCTGCTCTGTCAATCCCCCGACTCTTCGTGTTTGTCTTTGAGTGAAAAAAGTTTGACGGATATGTTTAGCTGTGGGTTATAGGGTTAGGGTCCATGGTGCCAAGTTGACAATCCTGCTAACTTTATTAATCTATTTGAATTTACACTAGTGTCACTATAATTTATAAATGTAATGTATTATTATTATTATTATTATAATGCCGAAAATAGTGTTAAAATATCTGAACCAACTGTGGGAGAGATTTACAGGACATTTGATATGCCAACCATGTCTCCTTCAGGATACATTGAAATTACTTTAGTCGCCCCCTGACTTCACCTCCAGGGCAAATCGGCTAAAAATGTCTATTTGTGAAATATATTGCACTTTTTTGTATTACCTGCAAATCATTCCTATCAGCTTCAGATTAAGCATGCTAAAATGCTTAATATAATTAAACATGGAGGTGTTGATGTTGGTAATTAGCTCAATCCACCACTTTTCTGCAGAACCATCCATTAGCACACAGGGTCAGAACCTGCTCCCAGATTGATGGACAGGTCTTTGGATATGCAGACTAATGCTACAAGAACTAAATGGAAGGTATTATTGTTATGTGATGCATCTTACTTCACTTGGATAATTTTATTATCCAGAGTTAGACACATTTTGCTTGAATTACAACCTCTATATTAGGTATTTAATCAGCCATTTTATTTATAATGATGTGATTTATCTCTTGGATATCATCAGTAACCTAAATCATTCGAGGAATAAGTATAATTTGACTATAGTGGATGAAATGTAATGAAAGTACAGGACATTGGTTTAGACATGTCTGAGGACTGAGGGCTCCCACACAATGTTTCCTACACACGCCTTATCTGCACCAGACTGAATTGAAGTACTCTTATTTGACATTTCATCAGGCAGCGTTGAGCATCGCTGTGTCATCTTTGGAAAGTGGCTGCAAGTTCAAGCACATCTAATGCCTCCAGAGCAATCTGTACAACTACTGGGTCCTGACCCTCAACACATCCCCCGTTCCTATAGTGGTTTCCTCGAGTTGTTCCACCATCTTTCTGTCCGTCTCAATCTCACTTTCTCCTTTTAGCATCCTGTGACATTTCCATGCTCCCTCACTCCCCTTCTTGTTAATGCCCTACAGGACACCGTTGACCTTGCTTTCTCAATTTCCTGTCACCGACCCGCGAGTTACATCTGGGCCTTTAGCGAGGGGCTTTCGAAATGTCCATTACGTTCTCACTCAGAACTTCCACCGTAGCACACAGGCACTTTCAGCGTCTTTGACTGTCAGAAGGATGAGGAAAGTAAAAAACATGACAAGCCACTCAAATCAAGACATGACATCAAATGGATGACGATTCAGAGATGCTGCTTCCAGATTGCAATTTATAAAGAGCAGTGCAACGACAAAACACTTTAATGGTATGACAATAACTAAAGCTAGCCAGAGCGGAAGTTTGCTTCGTGGCTGTTCCTGTGTACACTGTGAAATTGGTTCGTCTCTTTCATCCCATAAAAAGCCAATAGAGCACATGATGTAACAGCTTGTTGTGAAAGCGAAGACGCAGAGGCAATGACATGCACAGCCTCCTGCTAGGTGTTCATCAGAGTCAATGGTCATGTGAAAAGTGAAAAAGCTTTCACGTTAGACTTCAAAGTGTCAACATTTTGATCCAAACAATGATATGAGAACCACTTACAGTATGGCATAACTCTTAGCAAGTATACAAAAGCTGTAACCACAGATGAATACCAAAGGGATGAATAATAAAGGAAATAGACTTCACCGGCTTCATCTGTAAAGCCATCAGGAAGCGGCAGCAATATTCACCATCCACTTAATCCACGGTAACGATGGATTCCTGTATCTATGGACATGGTACATCACCGATCTTTTATTGAATTATGTGCGTAGACCCTTGACACTTATTGAAATTGAATGCTATTGCTAGGTGCAGCAGACACACACACACACACACACACACACACACACACACACACACACACACACACACTGCAGCTCTGACGTAATCTAATCATTCTTGCTCTTGGTTCTGGACCAAAATAGACTCGAGGAGGATGACCCTTTTGGCTAAAAGTTCCCTTATTAGTTCAGGAATTCATTTAACTCTAGTTTAATATTGGATGGCTTTTCTCTCCTGTGAATACATGGCCAACTAAACGTACTGTCACTGGTGGACCACAAAGAGAAAAATGCATTTTATTTTTGAAAACGTATAGGCGCTGAACACATTTTTCTTCTTAATATGTTACAAAAGCAACACTGCTGCCAATCAAATCTGATCAAACCTCACCAAACGAGGTCCCTTATGAGCTGATCAATTGTGTTTTAGGTATTTACTGTTAATTTATATCCTTTTTAATGGTTGCTATTTGGACACAATCAATACGATTCTATATATTTTTCGTTGCAATTTCTGATAAATAGTTGGGTGGAAAAAGAGCTAGCACAGGTTTTTCCTCTGCATGTTTAAGACAAACTGGAACATGCAACTGTCTGAATACATTGAGAAGAAGATTTGATAGTCAGTGAAGCATGACCAATTGGACAACTAGGATCCAGTTCTCACCAGACACCAACTATAAAATCTCATCCTGACTGAGTACAAATTGTTTTTAGTCCCAGCTCTGGTTACAACTCTTCCACTAAAGATATCCTTGACACAATTAGTTTGTGTCAAGGATGACACGATGACACAATTCTTTCATGTCAAAGGTGTGTTTTACAAAACAAATATTTTTTTGTTGAAAAACCCTCAAATATCAAGATTGTTATTTCCTCAGTATTCCATTATTGAAATGCTGAGAGCTTTTGAAGAGACTATTGAGCATGGCATGCCCTTTTGAAATTGGAAAATGTGTCCTTGCCAAACTAAGTATTAACAAGCCAAATGTACGGTGAGACTGTGGCTAAGGAGGTAGAGCTGCAGCTGCCATCATTAAGAGACCCTGATGTGTTTATGGGCAAGATATTTAACCCCAAATGTCTCCCGATGGAACGGCCATGAATGTGTATGAATGTTACGTATGAAAGCCTCCGCCTCTGTATAATTTGGTGAATGCGATATGTATATTTAAAAACTGCTTTGAGGGTTTGCAAAGACTGGTAAAGCGCTTTATAAAAGTAGTCTGTTGAAATGTTCCATCATAGCCTACATTTCTAATCAGAAGAAATGCGGAAAACACACGGTAAGCTTATTCCTTTCTAAAGAGTTGAACTGCAGCAAGATAACAATCCCATTGCGTTGGTTATCTTCACAATCACTCTAGCTCCCACTTCACATTTAATCCCTAAATGAGGCTCCATTAGTTTCATTCACAGCACAGTAGATACTGGCCTAGAATGCTGGCTCACAGTGTCACTTGGCAAATCATCACCTAACCTGTTTTTCACCAGTGTAAACAAGCCTCTGGACTAAACGGTGAGTGGCAGATATAATAGTTTCCTCATCACTGCCCGAGCCCACTGTCATTACGCAGCTCCTCCTCCACGGGAAGACAGATAGCAACATCTGATAAAGTGTTGTTTGGCTGCCTGTCAAGTTCACTCGCAATCAGACGAAATGCCCTCTTTTAGTCAGGTTTGCGAGCAACATCAACAACTTTGCTTCACCCGCCATAAATATCCTTAGACATTCCACGCATATGTGCACTCGCAGCCAGACAGTTGGCATGCTCTGTCAGGAACTTGTCAGGATAAGGAGAGAGTGAAAAAAAACACTTTGAAACCAAATTTTAATTTAGTAACTGCAGAGCTGTCTCTGTAACTACTGCTGGATGTTAGACTGAACGCCTAATTGCATTTTATTCCAATTGCACACTGCCAAAAGCTTAATTAATTTCGTCTTACTGTGCAGTCCTGGAAAGAATCTACATGGGAACCGACTAAAATATGCCTATACTTCAAGCACATCTTCAAAATTCAAAACATGGCCAAAATGCGTATTTCCAAGCTAATCTGTTTCATGCATAACAATCTCTGCAGTGAAACCAAACACTTCATAAATCATTGAGGTGAGTGAGAGAATTGGTTACAAAAAAGGGGAAAAAACAAACTGACGGAGCTCATTATAAAAGATGGATGGATGAAAGGGGAGATAAATCCAGGAGCCAAGAACAGGACAAACGTGATATATTGGGGAACACACAGCTCATATCCAGCGTTCGTGTGCAATGGTGGATGTCTTTTGATGCCAAGCACCTATTGGAGCCCAGACAGTATTTCTTTGTTCATTCATCCATCCAATCATTGACTCAAAAGCAAGAGACTTGAGAATTGAATCCGCCTCTCTTTGGCTCCCGTACTGAATGGAAAGTACTCCGGTTTACACACTTCAAGCAGAAATCCTCTCTCTTATTCAAATCAAATCAAATCAAATCAGGTTTTATTTATATAGCACATTTAAAAGCGATTTTTGGTCGAGCCAAAGTGCTGTACATGTAATAAAAACACATTACTACAAATCACAATAAACGACAATAAATTACAACAGATATATCTTAAAAACAAAATAAAAATAAAACACACGGAAAAGTCACCACGGATCCTTTTGGGAAAGATGATGTCTCAATCACTGGCCCGACTTTGGCTTTTTTAAAAGTCCCTGTCAATCTCCCTGCACTGATTTAAGGCCAAAGAGTGGCACTGTGGCATCTGAGCCTGAGCAACCCATGCAACATTATTCAGCACTGTTCCCAAGCCTGTCTCATTAAGGATCCTGGCTATGGTCCATGCCTCTGTGTATGAGGCTTTCAGTGACAGATCTGTTGCCAGCTCAGTACAAACAGGCACAGGCCCAGTGTAAACCCCACTGAAGATCCCGCTTCGTCCCCTTCCAAACCTAGCAAAAGCAAGACTCCAGTGTGACAAGCACCAGCCAAACAGCAAACATGAACTCAACTCCAAGTCACCAGTGTTTTGCCCTCCAGATGATAGCAAGTCGGAAGGTAGGATTTGTTTTCTGACCTGGAAAAAAGTTGTCTTTTCTCGGTGGGTGGGAAAAGTTTTCTCCAACTCACTGATACGCATGATGTCGTATGCACATGGCATCAAGAGTGAACACATTTTTATTTTCCCTAATGACTTCCAAGTTCCAACATGGCATGTTTTGAAATGCTACATTAGTTTGTTCAATTAAACTTTCCGGTTCTTCCTAACAGTTACACTCTACCACAGGGGTCCAATTCCCCCCCCCTCTGCTGCCGAGATAATGACGTGTTTTCCACTTTCTACTGCCAACCATAGCGATAATGTCTCATTAGCCCCCGCAAGTTAAAGTTTTGCTCTGGTTAAAAATTCAATCCAGGCAATTCCCCAGCCCATAGCCCGACCTCGGGTGGATTTCATTCCAAACGAATTGACTGCCACACCCCAGAGCCCGAAAAGATTTAGCAAAATCAAAGATGTATCTGCATGAGTGCACAGTTTGCCACGTTTGACTGACGTAGTGCGAGAGGAGGCTATTTGCCTTCTGCATCAGTGAGAATTTCATTTAGCGAGTGGACAGAGGTGGGAGACGCACGCTGACCTGCCAAGTGAGGGGGGCAGGTGACGATCACGGCCCTGCACAGGAAAGTGTTGGTGGTGGTGCTAACCCGGGCCCACTCTGCATCCTGTTTGAACACATACACACAAATACAGCTTTGTTTAATAAGCAAGTTGCATGTATGTGTTAGTACATCACATCCCCTCTGCTGTGGTGGAGCTGTAAGTGTGATTGAGTGACTGATTTTGGACACATTTATTCTAATATGGTATGCACAAATTGTATTTAACTTAATTAGTACACTTTTTCGAGTAGCTGACCCCATATATAAGTATCTTAATTGTCCATATTTTAAATTGCATTGGCTAAATTGTTCCACTTTAGGGCAAACAAAATCAGCATTTCTGCATACCTTTCATTAAAGGTCCCCTATTATACTGTTTTTCATCAATATATTATAGGTCTCAGATATATACAAAACATGTCTCTGAAGTGTTTGGCTCCAAATACCAAACAGATCATTGCAGCATCCCATAATCCCCTCTGTTTCAGCCCTGTTTCAAAAGTGCTGATTCTCTGTCTGTTACTTTAGATGAAAATAAGGAGCCCCTCCCCACGCCCCTCCGAGAGATATTTGGTTAAAAAGAACACAATGGTGCTCTAGGAGGAGATTCAGGTGATAAGGTGGGGGGGGGGGTACCTTGGTTGGTGATTGGCTAATGGTTACACAAGCCAAAAAATCGTTATGACATCATAAAGTGGCCAAAATCTGATCAGCTCATTTTCAGACAGGTTTTTATAGAAATGGATCAGTACAAAAAGTGAGCGAAGATTTTTTCCTGAAACTTCCACAATCTCTTTACACAGAGGGGACACATGTTGATGTAGAAAAGACATGAAAAAGTGGATTTTGCATAATAGGTGACCTTTCAACCTTGAGCTTCTTATGAATTAATTCCTGACATGCCAAAATACCTTACAGCACAAATCCAGCTACTGTGTTAATTCATCATTTACTGAAAGTGAAGGAAAATGGCTTGAGATATTTATACATTCAACATAGTTCTATAACGTTTAGTATTTGAATATGTTGCAGCTAAGCAAAAGAGATATTGTAGTATTTTATGAAAACGTTAAAAAAAATAGTTAATGACATTGTGTTGGAAAGATGTTCTACTTTATTTCACTGGAGTTTTTCATCACCAAACATAAGCCTCTGGTGGTAATTAAAACTCACAACAGAACGTCGCTGTGCAACATTGAAAGCTATTATCTTTAGAGACGGCTAGATATTTTTGGATGCTGAAAATTATGAGTTTAAAATATTTTATTTCTATCTCTTTTGACTCGAATCCAGACAACTTTATTCAAAAAGGAAAATGTATTCAGAAGACATTAGACCAGTGAAACCCTTCTGTAATCAGGAGTTCATGTCGTCCCACCACTGTAACTGTAACTGCTCTTTAAAGCAGACACTGTTTGCTAATTGTAGAGATGGCGAAGCTACTGCCATTTGCTTGAGCTTTCCTCAAAGTCTCAAGGAACAAAATGTGAGTTAGCTTGTCACACAATAGGTGTTAGCCCTGTGATAGACTGGCAAAGTGTGAAGGGTGTCACTGCTGTCATCCAGTGCATGTCCGGACACGCTACAGCCTCCTGTTACCCTAGATATTATTGCATATAGACGTGTGCAACTAACTATGTTTAATATAAGTGATTCAACTGCAAATCATTTTATTGATGAATAGTTTTCCAAAAACATGGTGACTTCTTGTAATAGCTTTTTTTGTCCAACTAACAGTGTAAAATATAAAGATATTTTTTGATCACTTTTGATCAAACTGAGTACAAAGAAGATATTAACATTTTAAGTGCTAATCAACTACTTGTGTTATCTAGTTACATTTCAGAAAATATTTGTCTCACAATTCCCCAAAACAGAGGATGACATATGTTCATTTACATATTGCATCCTAATAAAGGACTAAAACTAAAATATAGTGGATTTATCAGTAAACGTATCAAGAGCCTGCAATCAGTTAATTCTCGGCATCTTTGCTTGATTAATGACACAAACTTAAAAATTGGTTAAAGCCCTTGACTTTAGGATGCATGGAGCACTCGGTCTCTCAGCTGAGGATGAGGCGGACAGTGAGGCAGAACAGCCAGTGCCTTCACAGCAGACCGCCTGTTCCTCAGTGAGGAAGCTGTTATCTCTGCGTCGGGCCTCATCAGTCCTTGAGTGAGCTGTTACTGTACTCTACCTGCCATATGGCCGTCACAGCAGAGCCCAGCCGGACGTTCTTGAACCCGACGCGTTCTGCCAGACACTGAGAAAGCTGCTGGGTGCCTCCCTGTGGAGACACAGAAACTGCTAATTAAAATCAATTGATACCTCCAATGGGCAAAATGCCTGAAGAATAATGATTTATTAAACTCATTAATACAACCACAAACCCATGATGGGGACTAGAGAGCTATGCAGATAATCCAGTTATATATGTACCAATTTGTATGCATCTTCACCTCAGACACCTGCCGACCTCAGAACTGGCTTCGAAGAGGATTTGTCAGTGACTTGTACCTGCATTAGCCTTGATTTGTTAACTGATAAGACTCCTCACATCTGATGCTGCTTCACAGGGGCCCTATTATTCTTATCGTCAGGTTACTATTTTTGTTCCCCTCGACTGTGACATGTTTCCAGGCTTTAATGTTCAAAAAGGTCTTTTATTTTTCTCATACTGCCTGTGCTGCAGCACCTCTTTTCACCCTCTGTCTGAAACCAGAGCCCAGTCTGCTCTGATTGGTTAGCTGGCCAGCTTAGACTATCATTTACAATGTTTTTGGAGCGCTAGCAAATAGAGGAGAGTGTTAGTGATGTCACTATGTCACGGCAGTAAACAAAGGAGTCCAATGGGAGGGTAACTGTGGGATTTTAGCCTTTACAAACCATTTACATGCACACAAACCTATTAAACATTACAGGAAAGGGAACCCCCCCCCCAAAAAAAAGCATAATAGGGCCCCTTATGTGTTTAACCTGCTTGTGTTTTTGTCTGTGTATACTGTTTTTAACCTTTTTTGGAATATTTTATGAATTGTAAATAGACCTTGGGTGTTATGAATGGCACCTCCAAATAAAATGCATTATTATCATGATTATTATTATTATATACCACATCTGTGTCATTACCATTCATGCTTGCAGTACGACTGCTAATATTTCCTTCAGTATATTGGCGAAATGTCCTAATAAGAAAAAAAGTAACAGAACTGTTCTAAAACGCAGTTATAGATTGTTGCCATTATCTTTGTCTTCCCTTTATGGCCTGGAGCCTTTCTTACACTCCAACAGTCTGAGAGAGAAAGTTCAGAAGCAATAGCTTAAAAAAAACTAAAACAATATGGAATCATCACTTCCATGCTGAGGGAGCTCATAGAAAATATGAAATCCAATACAAGTCCACAGGACCAAGTGTTTAAACTTTTCCAATCGATGGTGCGTCTAGGACAAAAAAGAAATGGTGGGACAGTGTTTGAACGAGATATATAGAGAGGCTGAAGTGATAGTCTAGAAAATAACTCCTGTCTCACAACAGCCCTCGACTCAACAACATGCACTTTGGGAAGGATAGACGCTGCATACCTTTATCTTTAGCTCTTGTGCACAACCTGGAGTGCTCTCCAGCAGAGCCAGTAGCCCCCCCGCTGCTGCAGCAAACATGAGGAAGAAGAGGAAGGACATCTGGGACGGCTCCATGCCAAAGAGGGACCTGCTGCACAGTCCCATCTCCTCTTTTAGTTCTGACAGGAAGGAATGAATGAATCACACATGCAGTAATGAAGTGTTCTGACAAAATGACAGTGTTACCTTAGCTAACCAATGCATTGTGTCAAAACTAATGTCCTGTCATTGACCTGTGAATAAACCAAATACATTGCATAAAGACACCTGAAAGGATTCATTCATTTCATCAAAACAATATTTAATTACAGTCTCAATAATTATCCCAAATTTGATGTCTTAAATGGATTAGGCTTAAATAATACTAATTTAAAGTGGACCTATCATGCTATATTTGAAACATATATTGTAGGGCCATACCTATATAAAACATGTCTGTGAAGTTTTTTTTTCAAAATACCAAACAGATCATGCATTTTAGCCATGCCTCATTTCGCTCTATTTGCTCTTTTCCAGCCCTGTTTTTGCAAGGGCTGATTCTGCTTTTGTGGCAGACTACAGCGCCACTTACAGGCCTGGCATATGTACTACAGCGTCTCCAGCGCTTTCGAGCGGTCTCTCATTCCCCTGATAGGTGGAGAGTTGCCCATATAGGCGGAGCTATATATTTTCTGACGTCAGAAAAATTCAAATAATAATCAGCTCCGTTGCAGCCCCGTTTTTAGAGATTTGGGTATGGAGGAAAAGAGAGAGGGTTGTGTTTTGTGACACTTGGTGAGTTCCCTGACACACCGGGGACACATATTCATGTATAAAAGACGTACAAAAGTGCATTTTGCATGATAGGTCCCCTTTAAATACTGAATAACTCTAAGGTAGAGATGAAACAATTAGTTAATCAACAGAAAATTGTTATCCACAATTATTTATGTCATTCATTCACATGAAACTAACTAGTTGAAGCCTATCAAATTAGCATTTTTAGTACTTTGGTACTGTTCTGTATCATGGTAAATGTACTATATTTTTTAATTTGTATTATCTTATTGTGAGGAATTTATGTTCTGACACATTGTTATAGTGGTAAAAATGTGTTGGTGAATCAAATTGCTACAATTACTAACACTCTTATTGTTATGTTAATTGTATCTATGGACTAACCAGCGTGGCTCGAAGAATGGCATGAGAACTTTAATCCACTCTTGAATATTTCAACAAATAATGAATGAAACTTTTAAAAGTTTCCAGATGATGAATGCTTATGATCACTAAATTGAAAGTCCTTGTTACTCACCATGATTCGCCAACCTTGGACACATTGTCAAAAGAGCAAAATGGAGTAAGTTTTGTTTGAAAGTACTCTTAAACCTAACCTGTAGTCCAGGCTTGTTTGTCAATGTACGATTGCAGAGTCATACTGTCCAGTTCCACAGCACCGGGAGTCATTGAAGGATCCTGGACGCACACTGTGGCAAGCAATCTGTCAATCTGAGTAAAAAGTAGAGTCAATACAACACACTCACACACAATGCTTTACCACTGTGAAGCAAAAATGATCTCATTGATCAAAACAAGAGTAGTCGGAGGCTGCCAAACATGGTTCTGACAGGGCTCCGTGCCCCACATTCTCTACCTCCCACTGCTCCTCTCAGCACTGATCCTGGGCAGAACATTTTGTAGTACTTGTCATGCTATGAATATACATGTGTCCTCAATCACACAGCACCCAGTATTATAAATGTTAAATACCACTATAACGTCCATTTTTAATGTCAATTAAGTTGATTGTAAAAATAAAGTGTTGTAACAATTAGCTTCAAAAGTAATGGTATACCTGCTGATGTATATTATTGTATACCTATACATTTACAATACAATACAACTTATTCATTCATAATAATGCTGCAAAATGTTTATGGTGCCAAAAAAGGATAGTGACCGAACAGTCTTGTCAACATTACTGTACATTGACCGAAATTTGAATCTTTAGTTGAAATGACTTGTATAGTTGTACCGATAAATGTGCTGGTATTCACATGTTATCCATCTGTACTTTGATTGGTCTGTATAGTTGTTGTTGAAATAGAGACTATGTAATGTTAGTGTAATGTTTTTATAATCTCTTTTGTTTTTTAGATCAATGGATTTGTATGCATGGTCGTTTTTTAAGTAAGGGTTATGTTCAGATCCTCCGCTTCACTTCAGGATCCTGATCTCCCTGTCGGCTTTTCTGATGGCGAAAATGTTTGTCTTCTATAGCTTACATTAAATTGCCTGACTTTTTTCTGCATGCTGATTTGACTGCACATAGTCCCTTTTTTCTCCTTAGCAGTGGTCTGTTTGCGAGAATGTACAACCTCTGAAATGTCTAAACTGACCAAACTGAGTATTCAACAAAGCAGTGTAATAATATAAACATTATAGATACTTTAACCACTTATCAACTATGTATGATATTTTGTGGTGTTGTATTGCTACCTATCAGTCATTTCTTGGTTTTCAAAGGATAGCTCTCTAGTCAGACGTCTGCTGCCTCACCTTCCACAGGAGCTGGGTCAGGTCCATCAGCACCAGTGGGGACAGAGTAGGGATACTGGTGTAGGTGCGAACTTTGGCGCCTGGACCCCCCATGTGGTGCACCTTCTTGCCAATACTGAATTGCGGATAGGTCTCTAAGCCCAGCTCCTTTATGAGCTCCAGGATGTGCGTTTGAGTGCTGAAAGAGAGAGTAAGTCACTTTTATCATGCTATTTGTTTGCCATGATTAAGGGTGTTATGTGAACGTCTATCCATCTATTATGATAGTAGAGTGTACACAACACTGCTTGAGTGAGCCTTTGCACAACGAAAAAAAGCCTGCCAAAATATTGACATGAAGCAACTGAGAGATGCTCTTTCCTCTTAAGATGTCTTCAAAGTGCTCTTAAACAATGTTCTTCTATTTGGGTTGCCAAGAGTAGACTGCATGTTTTATCCTACCAGCAAGACGCCTCCTAGATAAAAAGGTTTGATGGCTTGTTACTTTCAGAAACTGTCTGAATCGTGACTAAAACTTCCCAGAAACATCCTTCTTTCAAACAAGACTTTAGACGAGTAACTGTTTAATAAATTGTTCTATGAAAACTTATGAGAGATGTAACTGCTGTGAGATGGACTGGTAGAGGTAGTTGCTATAAAAGTGTTTTTACATCAGTTTGTCAGGCTGGAACAGCGAGGAGACAATGTTCCATGAGATAATGAAAATAGACAGGTTCAGCTGATGTACGCAAGAACCATTAGAGAGAAGCAAGGTTGCCGTGTTAGCAAACCTTCCATGATTGACAGACTCTGTAGTGCTTAATAGCTTATAGAGTGGATCTCCATTACATGTTGACAGTGGTGGAAAGTAACTTAGTACGGTACTTATACTTTACTTGAGTATTTCCACTTTATGCTACCTTATACTTCTACTCCACTGCAATTCAGAGGCAATATCGTACTTTTATCACTATGTATTTATCACTACTTACTTTTTACATCTAAAACACATTATATGCTCATATGAAACAATTCAGTACTTGTATACTTATCAATTGAATATTTGATAAAGTCTCTAAAATTGGCTCTACAAATAACGGGATCAAAATGCGTGTACATAAAACAGGATGATATAACATTATTTAATAATAAAATACTTTGAATGAGCGATTCTGCATAATTGGTACATGTATTTCTGATACTTTGAATACCTTTGGCTTATATAGTACTTTGACACTTTATGTTACTGAAAGGGGCCATTGTGCAAAATTAGTAATTTTTCTTTTTCTTCTTTGAGTACATTCTGATGCTGATACTTTCGTACTTTTACTCCATCGAGAGTATTAGTACGAGTACTTAATCCACCGTTGCCTTTAGCCATCATTTGTTTACCTATCATTGTGTAAAACTAACAAAGACAACAATCACATTACTTACATATCCATGTCATCCATTTATGAATACTTCCAAATAGAACAAATTAATTCCGGTAAGAGTTTGTAATACAATAAGCAGCACTGCATCAAAGCCTTGAAACTACAATGCCAACTTCCAAGCATTGAACAATACAAATCCCCATTATATTTGTTTCACAGTTAATTGTATAAACCATGTATTCGTCACTGTGCCCTTGAATCTATCTATGACTCATTTTCAAATATTTCCAGCTTTTACATTTTTGTTCACAAGTAACCCTACTTAAGACGTTCTCAAAAATGGGCAATTATGGTATACAGTAAGTGGCTATCATACATTTTTACCCATTTATCTTTGACTGGTTCCAACGCTGCCCCATTGTCCAGTGATAATGTTATCTGCTGCACCACTTAGCCTGAGTCATTAAGTACATTTGTTACATCATGTATTGTAGATTAGGTCCACCCTGATGATTTCCTCAAAGTTCCTATGCACTTATTCATATGATAAAAAGGGTAACAAGTATGACTTTATTTCCATTTGATTCTATCAACTCACTCCAGAATCTATGATTGTACATGTGTGCCATATTCAGTGGACCTCTGCACCATCTCAAGTGCTAATAAATCAAAGTCTTATTAGCAAATTGCTCTAGTCAATTAAAAAACATCCTTTTTTACAAATAAAAGATATCCTTGAAGTGACTCTAAAAAAGTTACATTAGCCTAGCATGCTAACATGTCTATGTCTCCTATCTTTGTTATTCCAGCAGTTTTTCTTCCTTACCTTCCTACCCACTGCCCTCCAAAGTCCCAGCGATCGACTCCATTAGCTGCCGGTATTTCAGTGGACACTGTGCGACCTCCCACCCGATCTGCATGGCATACCACGCATGATTTAGTAAGAGGCATACAGTACCTATTTTCAACAATTTCACAGCTGAAAGAATCCAGTATAAAATGACTCGCATTTCAGGTCATCAATTTGCTTTCAATTCCACAAACCTTTTCCTTCCAGTACCAGTATTCTGAACTTGGCATTCCTTTTTCTGAGCAAATGAGCTGCACTCAGCCCAGATAGCCCGGCGCCAACAATAATAACGTCCCAAATTTCCGCAGTCATAGTCGAGCTGGAGTGCCAACCTAAACGTGTGTTAGTAAACTGTTGAGTCAGAAACAGCAATCTAACATGTATTCCCTTTTCTTCTCCGTATCAATTAGGTTATCTTTCAAAGCCTGGGCTGCTCTCATAAAAAGTGCACTTTGGAACTGGGAACAACTGAGCTTTTGACCTACTTTAGAGAGTCGGCAGTGTAAACTCCAGTAATAAGAGACAGGCTTTTGTTATTTGAACAGTAAAGGCTCTGTCAGATGGGAGGTCTTGTGCGTTTTTGGCAAATCTGGCGCAGGGGATGAATAAACTTCTACCAATAAGAGGGTCAGCGTTTTGATCACACCCCCTGCAGTCAGCAAGTACTGTTTTGATAAAAGCAGGGGTGAAAGAAGTACTCAGGTCTTCACAGGCCTTACTTAAATGAAAGTAATAACACCACATTGTTGAAATACTCTGTTAGTAGTATAAATATTGCATTCGAAATGTTACGTAAGTAAAAGTAGAAAAGTATTAGCATCAAAATGTATCAAAACTAATATAGTAATCATTATGCAGAATGGCCTTTTTGGAATAATATTTATCATAAAGCTGGATTTTAACTGATGTAATCGCAATTTTAAGCGATAGCTTCAAACACTTGTTATACTACCAGTAAAGTACACAATTTTCTTTCAAATTGTAGTGGATTAGAAGTATAAAGCTCTTGGGTTTTGTTAACAAAAAAAATACGTCAAAAATAATGCATTTACCACTGATTGTAATTCAGTTATTCTGTTAACTAGAAATATATGTGTATTAGCAGAATATGGTTGTTCTATTGAATTTTCTGAATGGCCAATCTGGATCTTTTTGGACAACTTGAGCCCCGAGACAAGTCTGATGTTCCCAATCATCAGATTCCACTGTTTTGAAAAGAGAAACAAATTCAATTTCTGTCACTGTATAAAATTAGGATATTTATTAATTGATAACCCAACAACAACAACTGGGACTTACTTAAAAAACAATCATCTCCCTTTAGTAACCCGTACACAGAGTGGAGTAATTACTAGGAAATCAGCAGCAAATGATATCAAGCTGTTGCCAGAATGGCACCAGAGAGCAGTTCTGTGAAAAAAGACTCAACATATTGAAAGTAAAACATGGGAAGAAATCCCTGAAACATGTTTTGACACAACAGAGAGATACAAAAAAAATATGAAACTAACAACCATGCAAGAGGAAGTGTGAGAAACCATGTTGCCAAGTCTGTTTTTACAGTATGAAATCACCTACTGTTATTAACTTACCTTTAATTTACTTTATTCTATTAATTAAAAAAACAAAACTGTTTTACATTATAATTAGCCTTTTCCACCTTTTGTGCTTTTTGCCATCTGTGTTTGATTGAAATGAAAATAAATAAATATGTAAAAAAAAGAAAATAATAAAATATGCCTATGGACATAGAATATATTAAAAGTGTGAAGTGCAAATGGTTGTTGTTTTAAAGGGGGCCGATTATGCTAATTGTCGTGTTTCATAATTGTATTTAGTGTCTCTACTGTGACATCTGTTCATGCTTTAATGTTCAAAAAGCTCTTTATTTTTCACATACTGACTCTGCTGCAGCACCTCCTTTCACCCTCTGGCTGAAACCAGAGCCCAGTCTGCTCTGATTGGTTAGCTGGTCGGCTCTATTGTGATTAGTCAACTGCTTAGAGATGTCCCGCCTCCTAGCCTATAACGTAAAATGTGTTGAAGCGCTAACCACTAGAAGCGCCAGTATGTTACATGGTGATGTCACTATGTTATGGGAGTAAACAAAGGCGTACAGTATAATGGAGGCATTTACTTGCAATTCTTTGGCATATCATTGGAAAGAAGAACTACCGCCTTGGGTGTCATTCGAGTGGTTCACTGTCTTTGCTATCTTCTAAAAATGGATAATAAAATAGTGTAACACATTTGCATAAAACGCAAGCCAACAAAGGTTTTGTGGAACAAGTAGTCTTATATATTTATTTTCTAGGACTCGTGTATTAATCCAAGAAGTGAAAGTCCCTTTAGGCCTCACTTGGATTGCCTGTTTTTCTTCTGTCTTTGTTTATTTTCTAGCTCAAGAAACATTAATCCCAGGGAAGCCAAACTTGGCATGTTTTGTAAAAATACTTAGGCCAAAATCTGGTGTTGCATAATGGTTACACAGACCCAAATGACTTAGGCCCAATCCCAAACCACTCCCTCGACCCTACCCCTCCGTGACGGAGTGAACTCCGTCTGTAGCCATACTCGCAGCTCAACGAGGCTCCCTCCTGTCAGATGGAGGGAGTAAATACAGCGGCAAGCTTTGGGACGGCCTCCCCTCTCTCCGGCAGAAACAGGAAATGCCGTAACTGTTTGTAACAACGGTCTCAAATCAGCATCTCTTTGACAAAAAATGTAAATTAAGAACTCAAATAAAACTCCAAACATCTTTCATTGTGTTACTTTTTTGTAAAGCTCTTTTAGTTTTAAACCTGATGTTTATAAGCTTCTTAGTTTTTGCAACAGTCTGTAAATATACACAACTTTATAATAAAATGCACACATTTACCTTTTTCTAGACTAAACACAGGTATGATCCTAAGTTAAAAACATATGAGGTTATCATGAGGTTGTTAACATCGCAATTTATCAGTGGATGTTTGCTGGAACTGTTTGTAAACAGCGTGTTTCCTGATGGACACACACAGCGTGACTCCGGTCAGGTAGAGACCAGTCTCAAGTCAGCACCGATGCAGACTCGCTGTTTGAGGGCTTGATAACCCACTCCCCCTCCACACCTCTCCACACTCGTTGGTTTGGAACAGCACTTAATGTGGCGGACCCTCCACGCGAACGCGCAAACGGAGGGGTAGTGTGTAGGGGTAGGGTGTAGGGCGTGGTTTGGGATTGGGCCTAAGTCTCTGTTTAGTCGTTCATTATACATGTTTAGGAGTATTGTTTTTTAAGCTTGCCCAAACAGTGACAGAGTCATTTTTCTTTTGTATTGGTCCTGTAACATTATTCCCACCATCATATGGTGATAGGCCTCACAATGAAGACAAATAGGAATGTAAAAAGAGTTTCTTGCTGACGGGCAAACTCTCCAACTCTCTTAAAGGTGGGGTAGGTAATTTTGGAGAAACCAGCTCGAGTGAGCTAGAATTTGAAAATACACAACCGGAAAAAATCTGCCACTTCCTTACAGAGCCCCTCCTCCAACACACACGAACGCGCACATGACCAATGCGGGCACGAGATAAGTTTGTGCACAGATGGAAGGCTGACAGGCAGGTAGGCCATCCAGTTATTTTAGCCAGGCCGGCTAAAATGATTGGTCGTGCTTTTTACAGTACTACGGCTTCCACAGATGACAGTTTTGTATGGATTTTTTGTCAAAGCACTTAAGATATTCATTGCTATCGGGATGTTAAGAGCATTCCATGGAATATAACAAAAAGTGTATCTCGAGCCGGTTTCTCAAACTTACCTACCCCACCTTATTATTGTAAAAAAAAAATAAGAAAATAAGAAAAAAGCTTTCTCACACATACAAGTTGTTTGTTAATAATCTGCACAAAACGCCAAATTAAGATTTAACCTAGATAATAAATCAGAATAGAAATACAATATATATAACCTGTAAATGAAAGAAGCTCGTCTTTGCGAGTCACTGTGAAGATAGGAGGTGATTCGTGGTCCTGCTGTAAATTCACAGAGGGCCAGCTATAGTAACTCAACGAGAGAGTAATGTCAAATGACAGTACAATTGACCAATCATATCTCTAAATGGGTGGGCTTTATTTTCGTGGAATTTATGACAAGTTCCGCCTGCTGTGAAGTTTATGCATGTGTGGTATAGTGGTGCAGTGACGCGTCCTAAAACCCGGAAGTAAGCTGCGCATGGCTTCCCTCGACAAAAAAGCAATGGGATTTCTCCATAGGATTTTGGAAAATAGCTCGAAATAAGGTCTGTGTAACGAACCTGTTAGATAAATGCACGATTTGTTCAGCCGGATAATATCCACATGTCTACCCTACTTTTATAATTTTCTAATCATAAATCTAATCGATAGGTTTATGATTAGCATAAGTTTGTTCATGATGGCTCATGTCAGTGATAGTGATTACATCGTTGCGAAATTATTAACCGAGTCATTTTCAAGATTGAGTTACAATGATAAATTGGAGTGGCAAAGGATCAGCTGCATGACCCCGCCATCAAGTACTTCATCCAAAAGGACAGGAGGAGGTATAAAAGTCACTGCTCGCCACTGTGCCTGAAACGCCTCAATTGGACTTTGTATACTACTGTAACACAGTGACATCACTAAGTAGCACTCACATTTCTGTTGGCTAGCGCTCCTCACACATTGTACGTGATAGGCTACTGGGCAAGACATCTAGGCGGTTGACCAATCACAACAGAGCCCGCCAGCAGACCAATCAGAGCAGACATAGACACAGAAAAACCTGAAAATAAGGGCCTGCCGTTACCCTGCTGTTCATCACACTTCAGCTCTAAATAACTTCTTGTCAAAGTTATCTTAGGACTATTGTGAAAAGAAAATGTAATATATATATATATTTGTGGAGTCCACTTAAAGGTAGGGTAGGTAATTCACTTCAGAAACACTTTTTGTTATATTCCATGGAATGCTCTTAACATCCCGATAGCAATGAATAAATTAAATGCTTTGACAATAAATATATACAAATATTTCATCTGTGGAAGCTGTGGCGCTGTAAAAAGCTAGACCAATTATATTATCTGTCAGCCTTCCATCTCGTGCACAAACTTATCCCGTGCCCTCATTGGTCATGTGCGTGTTCTCTGTAAGGAAGTCTGAAGGAAGGGGCAGATTTTTTTCGGCTGCGTACTTTCAAATTCTAGCGCACTCGAGCTGGTTTCTCCATTCTTACCTACCCTACCTTTATTAAGGTTTTTGGGGGTCCATTTTTATTTGACTGCTGCACCACTGACTGTATCCCAACAAAAGTATAACAGTGTAGCAAACTGCAAAGAGGGAACATTACAGAGATCCATCCAAGGATACCTGCGAAGGGCACAGCGTATGTGTTCTGTGTTACATAACCTATGTTTTATTGTACTGGTTCTTTGTCCATTAACAGTACACTTGAATGTAATCTAATCGTATGTTGTCTATCTGCTTGGTGGTAGCATACAGTACACAATGATGTCCTGAAAAGGTTCAAATGGTTATTTTTTATCACATTAAAGGTCTATGAGTGACAGTTCCAATGCTCTCAAAGCACATCATTTTCCTCCAGCAAAGTACAATGCATCCCTAGACAACATTCTGAAGTGGGTGTCATTGAGGAAATTAGCTGGATTTACATGTATATGTTTCTGAAAACTGGATGTAAACAATCTAATCTAAAGAAAGAAATGCCCAAAGCTTGTGAAATAAAATAAAAAAAAGGTCACCTGAATTTTTTTCATATATTTTATTCCACAGGAGATAGAGCCTTTTATCCTTTACAACTAATCCATTTTCTGCATTTTATCTACTGAAGGACACCCCGCCATTTCTCATCTAAAAAGGCTGTTTCCCTGTAGATCTGGCACAGAGATAAGCTCCATCCCTTTTTTCTATTCCTTTTGCTTTTGTGCAGAAACCTTGCTGGCTCGTGGCTGTGGCTGCACAACCAGTTTCTCGTCACTTGAGACCTCATGAGTTCCCTTTGTCGTCGTGATTTGAAACCACGGACATCGGACACATGAAAGGTTCTAAAGTGGTGTATTGTGCGTGCAACAAATAAAGAATGTACAGCCACTATGTTTTTATACAAATAAATGAAGCTGAAGGTGGATGTAATATTGCAGTCAGACAAATATCATTGAGTGTAGAGACAATTGTGTTGCAGATGTAATGCTTTCAGTAGCAGTTCTCATCAGATGCATCATCAGAAACCCTATTTAATTGCAGGGTCCCTCCTCCAGTTTCACAATGGATTGCTCTCTATTGTTCTTCAGCTGCTACGCCTGAGCACTGATTTCCTCATGCTCGTTCCCATAGGTTTAACCTATCTTGATTACACTCTTATTTAACATCATTTACTAGTTGTGGCAGTTGTGAGGATTATAAAGAGCACATTGGGAACGTTGAAGGGTTTGAGAGGCAATATCAACAGCTGGATCACAACACCAAGGGAACCGACTTGTAAACAGGTGAAACAGGTGGAGCCGCCGTCCAATCAGGAGGTGTTATGGGAATGAGGGGGGAAGTAAACAAGGAGTTCTCTGTAAAGCGAGAGCTGCTGCTTCACCCTTTGTCAGACGTTTGGATCTGCATTCAGGTGATATCTATAGAAACAACAAATTAATATTCTGTTCTCTGATTTATATATGTTTGCTATAATCGTAGTCGTTTTGACCATCTTCATGACTTTATCTCATACAGCACCACTATGATTAGAAAAACCTTCACTGATATTTTCCTGCCCTGGTCGTCCGTCTACTTGTTATTCAGCGCAAGTCTCTTGAGCACAGGTAAGAACACGCACACGCACACGCACACGCACACGCACACGCACACGCACACGCACACGCACACGCACACGCACACGCACACGCACACGCACACACACACACACACACACACACACACACACACACACACACACACACACACACACACACACACACACACACACACACACACACACTGGGCTCAAATGCACCTTTTTAGTTTGAAAAGATAATGACTGCAAAGGGTTGCTTTTGTATAATACCATCAGAGTGTCTGTATTCATGATTTGTAAAATAGTACAGAACAGAACACACTAGATATTGAGTGCTTTTCCTCTAAGACACAATCCCCTTGAACACTTTAAAACAAGTCCATTTCCAACTTTTCTTAATATGTGTGCACTTATATATTGTTGAAGACATCGAATGAAACCACTAATGGAAAAAGTTCTTCATAATTCTAATGTTGCTATCATAACCTGGCTGATCGCTCTTTCCTTGCGCTTTCACCTCATGAAACCACTTGAAGATGTTTTCAATCATAACAAAACATGTGGTTGAACATATGGTGAAGGACACTGTAAACTAAAAGCTGTGTAGGGCTTGTTTTGCCGGACGTAAATTGAAGTGTATACTATTATGTTAATCATTATTCCTAAAGTGCTGCTTTTGGAGCTCTTTCTTATTGTATATAATATATGTAATTTTTCCTGCTCTTATAATTCATGTATTTCTTGGCAGCAACGATTATGTTTGTGTTTTGTAACTTATTAACAGGTCTGCTCTGCAAAACAAATTTCAATCATTATTAAAATCTAAAAGGATACATAAAACCGTGTATGGCAAGAGTATGATATATTACGTATGTTTGATTAATTTCAACACCTGTCTAACTTTTCTTAAGATTTGAAGTGTGCGGGGGGGATGCTGGTGACGTCCACGGGCCCGCAGACCCTTCAGAAGGCCGAGGGAGAGAGGCTGACTTTGGGCTGCCGTTACACTCCGAGCCTCTCGGACACCGGAGAACTCGACATCGAATGGTCCGTGGTCAGTCCAGACACCACGCAGAAAGACCACATGGTGAGAGGCACGCTTTGGGAGTAACGGATCACATGTACCGTGTTAACGCAATCAGGATACAAATGAAAGTAACTGTATAGCAAAACTGTTACATTAAGAACAGACATAATCACATTATTGTTATATAAAAAGGTATTACTGTCAGGATTACAGTGTGTCAATAAAGGTCAATATATTATAGGTTGATTTACATTACTGCCTGGAATTTCATTTTCGGTTTTCATTTAGGCTGCTTTCATTCTTCTTTTTTTAAATATGTTTTTTTAATGCAGTATTAGGACACTTTTGGTAATATAGAATACATATGAAGGGCTGGGCCCCTACAGGTGAGGTATTTTGCCTCGTAAATTAAGTTATACATTAGCTAAATCAGTGAAATCTTTATCAAATAAGATTTGTGAAAAACATGTTTTCAATAAGGTTACATTACTTTCATATTGTGATACTCAGATGAGACTACTGATTATGTTTTACAGATCACATTTTTGAGGTACGGTAACCTTCCCAACCCTGGTTACAAGATGGCTCAGCTCAACACTTCTTTGGTTCTTTTTGGTTGGATCCACCTAGATCAAGGATCCAATCGTTTTGAGCTGACTCTAGAAGTATTTGAAACTCTGTAAATGATGGCCAAAAACAATCGTGGCTCACTTGGCATATATAAAGTATTTATATGTAGCAGCGTACACTATGCCATACATAGAGGCGTACCATTTATTGAGTGCAGACAATCTTATGTTTGTTGTTCATGGCATTTTCATGTGCTGTTGCTTAGGCTATCAGCAGAGCCACCCACATCATTTTAGGGGGTAAAATCTGCGGAAACCAATTAAACGAATTGAGTTGAGCCAAACTATGATTGGAACCTCTTGTGACCTATCCCATAACGGAAATTACATCTTTAAAACATCTAATTTATCTGGATTTCACACTTCTTTTCACATTTTTTAAATTCTATTCCCCATAATGTACATTGTTTGTTAATTAAAATCAAGTTCAGGAGGCTGGTGTGTGCATGAGCTCCTAGCACCTTTTTAATTTCACACAAATTAGTCATTTATCCCCTTTTTCATTAAAGGGCCCATGTCATGCTTTTCCGGTTATTACCCGTCCCCTTGTGTGTTATGAAGGTTTTTATGCATGTAAACGGTGTGCAGAGTCAAAACCCTCAAAGTACACCCTGTAGCGAGTAAAACTCTAACACAGAAAATACCTCCCCAAAATGCCTCGTTGGAGATACGTCACTGTCCATTTCATGCCGTACCCGGAACGAAATGGACCAATCCGTGGAGCCGTTACGTTACGTCCGCGGAGCCGTTACGTTAAGCCCCCGCTGATTGGTTCAAATTGACCAATCCACGGACTTCCTCACACACACACACTCTATGTGCAGGCAGCAGCTCTGCTGATTTCTCCTCCCTGGCTGCACGCTGATAACAGACAGTTGGGATCGCGGCGAAATTCTCTCTGCAGACCCATTCTCACAGCGTTTATCAACCTTTTTCTTACTCAATATCAAGCCACACTTATTGTTTTTACTTCGGCTGTGACTTTGTGTGTGCTCAGGATGAGTTTGGCTGTGTTTGGCTGTGTATCCTAAACAAGGAAACAACACCTCCACGGAGGTCAGCTCGATTCACAACGTCCCGACCAATCAGAGCACACTGTGCTCACAGGGAGGGTGGGGGCTGGAGCTATTGGAGCTACAACGAGCCGTTAAAGGCAGAGAGTGATATTCAGTGAATACACGTAGTTTACAGAGATGCTGTATGAGAAACCAATGTGAGTTTGGAAAATTGCACAATATAAATCTATTTTAGTATACCTCAACAATGGAAATATGATCAGTGGAAATGGCCATGACATGGGCCCTTTAAATCAGTCATTTCTGTCAGAGACTTAAGAGCATTTTTTCCCTCTGCCTTTTAGAAATCCTCTTTGTGGAACTTTATCCACTAGGAAGCAGAGGGACTCAAAAACAACCACACAGCTTTTAAACAATCGTCACATAATGTTATAAAGTTATATGCTAATGGCAAACAATGGCTCATTCATCATCCGGCAGACAGGAAATAATATTATCTTCCCAATAAGAGATAGAGCAACATTAGCATTCATTTGGGGGCTGTGTTTCTGTCCTGCTGATCAATGTCACTCCACTACACACAGGGGGGGGAGGGGGACACACACACAATGTTCAGCACGTTTCATCTTGTTGTGCAATCTTTATTTTGTCTTCCACCAGCTCCTGTCCTTCACCAGCGGCACCACATACATCCATGGGGACAGCGCTCTTGGGAAAGGGTTCAGATTTGCTGCTCCGGACCCCTCCATGGGGGACGCCTCCATGTCTATCTCTCCGCTGTCCCCTGCCCACAGTGCTACCTACCAGTGTAAAGTGAAGAAGTCCCCTGGAGTGGACGCCAGGAAGGTGTCCCTGGTGGTCATGGGTAAGAAGGGGCACGTTACATTATTGATGACCTTCTGACAGCCATGAATGTATTGGGTTTAAAGGTCACCTATTATACTGTTGTTCATCAATATATTATAGGTCTCAGATATATACAAAACATGTCTCTGAAGTGTGGGGGGTTACCTTGGTTGGTGATTGGCTAATGGTTACACAAGCCAAAACATCGTTATGACATCATAAAGTGGCCAAAATCTGATCAGCTCATTTTCAGACAGGTTTTTATAGAAATGGATCAGGACAAAAAGAGAGCAAATATTTTTTCCTGAAACTTTCAGAATCTCTTTACACAGAGAGGACACATGTTTATGTATAAAATACATGAAAAGTGGATTTTGCATAATAGGTGACCTTTAAAGGAGAAGGAAACCACAGGTATTTTGGGGTTGCCTATATTTCCATGAAGGTTACGTTTCCTTGTCACATGCCAGTATTCATTAAACTTGCCATTTACTACAAACATGATCTGGTGGTTCCTGCTATCAGGCCCACTTTCATCTTTTAAGACTTCTACTGCATTACCACACTGATCCATTAGTGGTTTGTGGGGGTCAGTTTTGTTCAAGGTCACACGAATGTCAAGGAGAACAAATTGAATTGCTCTCTCAGTGTCGGTTGAGTCAGGCTTTGTTCTATAAAATAAAAAAAATGTGTATTTAATGACAAGCTGCTCCCTAAATTCAGGTAAAATTCTCTCTAGTGATTACTATTAATAAAATGCAAAAAAAAAAACACAATGCTATCCTAGAACACAGCGTTTACTCCTTTGCAAAAACAAAAATATAACTTTTCACACCATTCACCTGTTTTATGGTCAAAATGTGCACAGTTTTCGACCATTGTGTTTAAATCAATCATCTTAACTAACTCTGGAAAGGGCTGTTTTTTCTGAAATCAATAGATACAGATTGAGCTGTTGTTTAGAGAATAAAACAGGTCAATAGTCATTTGAAATGTACTTCATATAGAGCCATTTATCAGTGTATTCATCTTGACATTTTAATATTTACTTGATTCTATCCCAGCTAATATGACCTGAAGAACTTGAGCAGTAACTCGAGTGGAGCAGGAGATCAGCTATTAACAGACATATTTATTATGACTGAACTCATTCATAAATAACCCTTTCAAAGATGTTTCATGATTATGTCCCAAATCAGAAGCATGGGACACATTACACCGGAGTACTTTTCCCTGTACTTTTCGCGTTTAGTTCCGTTAGTACCCCTTATGTCGCGTTCACACCAAAAAGAGTACTGAGTGCCGGGAACTTTTTAATTGGAAGATTATTTTTTAAATCTATTTCCCATTACAACTTTCAAACATGAACTACTTTAAAAATAAAACCTTAAGAGCTTTTTCATTTCACTTTTGAAAAGCTTCATAATTCGCTACCAAACTGCCCAGCCTTGAACTTCCTTTCTTTCTTCTTCACAAAGTTCTCTTTTATTATCTGCCCACTTAGACTTCAACTAGAATAACAAGTAATGTCAGAAACAGTCTCAAAAGGGGGGAGGGGTATTGAAAGGAACAAGGTTTACAATATGGCAACAAAAAAAACTGAATTGTCTCACAGAAATGTGACGTTCCCCATCAGATCTGATGTATTTTTTCCATAGGAGAAGATTGTAAAGACTTTGAATTAAGGGTTCAAAACTCAAATCCAAAATCAAATCCTCAAACCAGAGCACTTACATGTTCTTTAGCCTGAGTGAGTTCAGGAACTTTTACAATACCAACATTTGAATGATAAGAATCAGTCAAATGTCGCCCCGTTTGAGGCTTAGAGTTCCGAACATTTTAAACTTGTCATGTTTATGGAAGAAACATTTGGACGCTTTATTTAGCATAAACCATTGTTGAACTTTAGCTGACCCTGTGGTGTCTTACCCAAAGTCTTTCTCAGGACTTTTTTCTCTTAACACTCTTGCTGCGTATCAAAGCCGATCAAATCACATCACCTTTTGCTTGATAAAAACTAGCAGATGGTTGAATAAATATCTGCTTCAAAGGCTCCCATATCAACAGACAGCCTGAAGCTGTTTTCAGCCCAACAGCAACACAAACAGTCCTGAGAGCAAACAAATCATTTTATAGATCAGGGTTTTTGTATGATCCTGAGAAGGATAAGTGCTTCAAATAATGCAGCGATTGAAAGTAGATAGCTAGGATTCCTTCTTTTATAATGTAACTAGGGAACAACTCAGTCCAATGTGTGAAATGTTGTGATTTAAAGCTCTTTTGTCAGTGAGTATCGCAATACATCTCACCACCAATCTCTGTCTTCTTTCATCTCCCAAAACTGGACTGTACTTCATGTTTCTGCCTTCTAACCCATCAAGCCTATCGATTTACAAATGTATACTTTATTTACTGTATGTGCACGCTGATAGGATTTCTGAGAGATAAAAATGCATAAATGTCGGTGCCAACCATCTAACATGTGGGTGGTTTTAAATGGTTCCTCCAATTTCATCTTAAGGCTAAAAAGCTGTACTGTTTTTTTCTAGAAAAAGGAATAGAAATGGCAGTGAAATGATCCATTTGTTGTATGATTTCCAGCCAAGCCGTCAGTGCCTCAGTGCTGGGTGGAGGGGGGGGAGCTGATCGGGGGGGCTGTCTCTCTGCACTGCCAGTCTGCAGGAGGCTCCACTCCCTTACTGTACAGCTGGAGGAGAGAAAGCACCGGCCCCCTCCCCGCTGCAGCCACACAGGGTGAGTGTGACCTCTGCTGATGTCATGGTGCTACTGCAGATCAAAGAGTGTGCGTTAGGACAGGGGACAGCTGTTTAAGAACTCAATTAAAACGAATTTCCTTATTGAATGTACGGTGTGGGCTTTACAAGATTAACGAATGTCTGAACTCATTATTTATTCAGATGTTTCAAATTCTATGAAAATAATAGAAAGTCAGGTTAAAAAAACTGTTAGGAAATACTGATACGCAACACAGACATCTATAGTCGAACTGGTAAAAATCTACTTAGGACTCTAGTGAATAATCATCATTTGCATTTTCTCCCCCTCACTCTTTATAATATAAATACATATAAAATCTAGTTGACATTTTTGAGTGTAAATTGCATTGCACCGTGTCCACATTGGTAACACAAATGTGTGTTAAATGAGCCCTAATAAGCCTTTTGGGGTTATACATTTCCTGTGCAAGTAAATGGTCTTCTAAGGCTAAAATCTCAAAGGTCCCGAATTTCTCTCACTTCTTTGTTTACTTCTGTAACATTGTGACGTCACTCTGTAACACTCACGCTTCTATTGGTTAGAGCAGCAGCACAGGCAGTATGAGACAAATAAAGAGCTTTTTGAACATTAAAGCATGGAGACATGTCACGGTAGAGGCAGAAACATATCAATATTAACCTGAAAATAAGCATCATAGCAGCTCTCCTCCTCTTCAAACATCTTCATACTGTATGTGTAAAATCAGAAAGCCTTAGACTCATGCATTGTATCCCCTTGTATGTGCAGCTCATGTACAGTACGTTGCTTAATCCGTGATGGTGGGCGTTCATGTGTTCTCAGACGGCGTGAGTGGGGAGCTGAGAATCAGAAACCACTCTGAGAGCTCCGCAGGATTCTACCTTTGTGAAGTGAACAATGCTGTAGGAGCCGCACACTGCCGGATCAACCTGAAAGCCAACAAACGTAAGGCAACTAACACCCCCCCACACACACACAGTAAGTCCCTGTTCACACACACCGTGACGCACACATGTGAACATGAAAGGCCTACATTCCCTTCCCTTTAGTCTGCTCTCTTTGTAGTTCTGCCACGATCTCTCACACTGGGTCTAACCACTGTAACATTAATGCGTGCTCCCTATTAAGTTGTCTAATGGTGACGGAATAAGGTCACAGTCAATTGTGAAGAATTGCTTTATTCACAGAAGACAAAGCGTTTATCTCATCAGCTCTGACTTCCTGCTGCTGAGTCGCTCAGTCTAACATGAGTGATGTCGGCGACAGCCTCCTATTAGCTTGAGAAATTATCAAGAAAAAGGGCAGCAGCAGTGAACAAGTGCACTCATATAGGAACCTGATCATATTAGTTAAGTTGGCACACTGTGAAAGGTAAGAGGAAATTCCCTTTTGACACCATCTGATGTGCAGTATCACTTCTGAACCACAAAGAAGAGAAGAAGACAGAGACATGCAGAGCTTCACCAGGAGGAAACTCAGTCTGTGATTCTTTATAGAAACAAAAGACTCTCCATTCTGTGGATTCATAAAACATGTGTGTCTTTGTGTGCCTCCTGATCAGTGGAGCAGACCCTTATATTACATCCAGCAGGATCCATAGATTCCAGTCACAGTGCTCAGACGTTCAGCTCCAGGCAGGGCATCACTCACTTTCATTTCATACGCAGGGTGCTGTGCTAGATCATAGGTTCCAACCCTTAGGCTTAGGACCCCCCTCTAGAGGTGTTGCAAGATGATTTACAATATATTACAGAATAAGATGAAGGTTTCTGCAAAAAAATCCTCTAACTTTTCAGGCTTTTCTCCAATTTCTTGTTCTGTATTGGATGTTTTTACCAATTTAGCCCTTTCATTCTGAGATGAAAAGACACCTCTTTTTGGCTGAAGCTTATAAACATGCTGAAAGCTATTTTATCTCCATACTTTGAGTTTGTTCAGACAATTAATATATAGCTGAGTCTTTGGAAAGGTAATTGAATTATATTAAGCCTGTTACAAAGCCTTAAAGGACGAGGGAAATGAAAGGAGCCTGCTGGCTTATTAGGTTTCACCAAGAGTTAGAGAAATATCCAGAAATAGTCCAATTTTCTAAAGTCCTGTCATCGCCGTGAGGTTGCCATGCAACCAACAGAGACTTGGGGAAGTAAGTGTGTCCGTGCAAAGAATAGTTCTCCATGTAACCCCTCTTAAAAACACATCTTTGTACAGATAAAACAAACCAGATCTAACATTTGAGTGATGTCGTGATCTGCTGTCTGTGAGGGAGACACACTTTAATGATCCCTTGTAAAGGACCGTCTGATATCAAGATATGTATGAATGCTAATGTTTCAATATATTTAAATATATATGTATACTGATAGATAGTTATGTCAGGGATGAGCGAGCCTTGGAGGGTGTTTCTTTGTTCATTAATGAACTTGTTTAATGAAATGTATAAGATGGTAGTGTGTAGCAAAAAAGAAGCGTAGTTCCCAATGTCCTCTTGTCTTGGACACTTTGACAAGACAAATACATATTTATTGGAAAATGACAATACAATCTGTATCTATGATTTGTGAGAAGACATTATTTCCCTGGAGAGGTCAGTCACCACTGCACCACGCAGTTCAAATAACACAATAATGGATTCTTCCCACTGTGTTGATTCCGTGTTTTCACAGCTCCAAACAGAGCAGCGGTGATCGTCGGCAGCATCGTGGGCTCTCTGCTCCTCATCTTCCTCCTACTGGTCTTCATCGGACTCATATTCTGGAAGCTGAGCAGCAGACGGGGATTTGAGAAGGAATTCTCCAACGACATCAGGTAATGTAGAGCAGCAGGGCGGTCAGATAATTGAGGGAACAAATCCACACTCTCCAAGTGTCTGGCAAGTTTCTGCTGTTCATTTATCACCAACAAGTCCCCATGAGTGGGACACTTCTCAGTGTGGAGTGGTTTCAGCAGCCTGGCCGTTTGTTAGAGGGCTTGGACATATGGATTTCACATTATTGTGCACACACATTTTTACATTTGCATTATTTAGCATAATATGCGTTTTGGTTTACGACACAGTTAAGGAAACACATGAAAAGGCATCAACAACCACACATATAAAGACAGAGGCAATTAAAAATGCTTCTTACGAGATGTGGGACAACACACTCAAAAGCTTTCAGATAGAAATAGAATCAACACTCCAGAGTTGAATAGAAATAAGAAAAAAGAAAATAAACATGTCGATACAGACGGTGATAGACATGTCTCTGAAACAACACTGGGTTAGGTAGGGTTCTTCCAAAAGTTAGGATTGAATTTCCCAATGTCTCAATCTCACAGGAAGCCTCACATTGTGCACAGTCATTTTATGAAATCCTTGTGTTATGTGACAAGTGTACTGAGTTTTCGTCAGGTAAACTGATGCAGATATAATGGCTGACACTATAAATAGCATCAGTCGCTGTTTGCTTCATCTGAAAGCCGGAGTAGGAGTCATTCAAAGTCACCAACATGTTCTTGATCGTCTCCATCTTTCCTGAGAGTTCAAACATGAGACCCTGTCAACAAGCTCTGCTGAGTGTTCCTGACTGAGACTCGCAGCAGTCATGTACGCTTTTATTACAACACGGAAACTACATTTAATAAGACCTCCCTTGGTCGCCTACTGTATGTCTATTTAATTAGATTGTATACATAGTGCTCAGTAAATACACCTACCGAATATACAGTTTTAAGTGATGTGGAAGGAACAGAAATAATGAGCAAGCAAAGCTGGAACTTGAAGCAAAAATGGCGTTTCGTGAAATACTCCCGCCTGTTTCTCTCTGCGCCTCTGCCATGTTTGCTCCCGTGAAAAGGGACGTTTGATTTATTCCTCTGTCCTCCCTTTGTGCAGAAGACCTTCAAGTGACGTGAATGTCGTGCTTAGTATCTGCAATGTGTTTACTGCTGTTATCAACGGTAGCGTGTTACAGATACATGTAATCTGATTACAGTAACACGCCTGTTAACCCCAACACTGTCTCTGACTATGTCTAGACTTTAAATTGATGTGTATCAAAATCGTGTTTGCAAAACCGAGGACAGGAGGGATTCTGACCGATCACAGGGTCAACCTGTCAAAGTGTCCTTGGGCGAGACACTCGACTGCAAACTGCTCCAATAGGCTCATCCACTGGATCAAAGCATCAGCTATCTGATCTTCAAATATGATTGTGAACACATTATAATCGTTAGCTTACAAAGCTACTGTTGCAGCAGTTCAAAATGAACCATGTGAGATGGCAAACAGCCCTTTCTTGTTTTACATTTGAAGCTCTTCTTTTAGAAATAATTAAAGTGCAGAGTTTTCGTCCCCTTATATGGCAAGATGACATCCTAGCTCAGTTACATGAATGCGTTGTAACAGTTTCCCCTTCTGTAGTGTGATCCTTTATTTTGTCCAATTTATCTTTCATTTGAAGCAGGCAGCACAGCTTGCCCTCTACCCCGTGAATATATAAAAGCTTTTATTCAAAGAAACCATCTAAATGCATATCAATGTCAGACGAGGCCAACTCCAAGTGTAACATTTGGTTACAGAGCGTCTCATGCCTGTACAGAACGTTTGCTGTTCATTTGTTGAGCAGCTTAGATTGGTTAAGGTCATTTTAATGTGAAAAGAAAATGAAAAAGTGCATAAGGACAACATTAAAAAATACATTCAAGTAATGGCATTAATGTAATACATTAGCCGGAATAAAGGTGCATACATTTCATTGCTGCTTGAAATATTTGATGTGTTTATGGTTTGAATGTCCAGCAAAATCACTTGAAGACAAAATACTGATGCACAGTGAACTAGTGTTATGTATAATGTTAGCAAACTGCAATTACGTTAGCTCAGGTGTATAGCGCCATGCTACAAGTCAATGCTGTACAGATCAGAGTGCAACCCGTCCCCTGTTACTGTCCCTTTGTACCATTTTTAAGAACATTTTCTGAATCGTAAGGTGTGCTTGGGGGCCTCTAAATAAAATGTACTATTATTATTACTACATGAAGTAGCTGTAAGTGGAAAAACAGAGCCTTGAGTATTCCGTCGTACTCATGGAACTAGATGGTCCCTAGTTCTTGTTTTTAACCTGAAATCAATATGTAGGAATAATTACACTAATGTTAGGCAATTATTTGTTATGGCAAAACTCCAGCATCCACAAGTTTAAAAAGTATAGGTTTCCTCTCGTACATTTTTCAGCTGATATTATCTAAGTGTAACTATTTAAACTCTCTTAAACAAAAGGTCTGTGTTTAGTAATGTTGCTCCGCTGTGAGCGAAATGCAGAGCAGCTCCAGGCCGATGCTCAGCAGCTGAACTCCCATCCTGACGTCTCAGACAGGATTTCTCCTTGTGCATACAAACAGTGTCTCGCCCAAATATTTGGAGATATGGTTCACATGAAGTTGAGATAGTCCACGAGCTTTCAAAGCCGATGGGAGCAGAGTCAGCGTGGGAGGACAGAGAGACAGAGAGACACTTCAAGCTACATCCCTTCTCCATATCTGTGACTTACAGGAGTTCAACTCTCCTCTCATACACAGGAGAAGCTCAGAGGAGAGGGACGGCAGATCAATCGTCATTTCAGCCACGACAACAAAAGCTCCTCTCACATGTGGAGGCTGAGTTGAAAGGGGAAAGAAAGTTCAGAAAGAAGTTATGAATGGTATCAAATCAGTTCAAGTACTGTTTCTTCTTTACTTAAAACAAACAGAAACAGTGAGGAGGGATAATGAAGCTGTAATTATATATATATATATATCATATTTAATTACATTTTATTGAGTTTTCTAACCACATTTATTACGTACTGCATGTATTTCTATATACAATAATATTACATAAACACTATGGCATTCTTTCCAACATATGACCTATTTCAACTATGACCTATTCAAAACCCACTTTTGCATTTTAATTACATCTTTAGACATACTGAATCTTAATAATAATAATAATAATAATAATGCATTTTATAAAAACAGAGCGCTTTTCTTGAAACTCAAATGTACAGAGTAAAAGTTCATAAAAACATAATTAAAACAACACGAATCTTGACTTGAATCATAATATTATAATGAATATATGATTTCCTTTACAGCAGAAAGTCTATCCATTGTGCAGGTTTGCTGCTTGAAGCACTAGATGACTGTAGAAGAGAAGCACAGTTTCAGTGAGAAGAGCCTCCAGAAAGGCAAACATGTTGCACAGTCACCCTGTCACTCTTCCTGTCAACCTGGAACTCCTCTAACCTTCTTCCACTTGGCTCTGGACTCTTATTTTGCTGTTCTTCACCTTATTTGCTTGTAAAGCGTCTTTGAGCCCTGGGAAAATCACTATATAAATAGAATGTACTATTGTGCATCCGTTGTGGTGTAGAATATGGACACATTTGTTTTTGTTATTTATCAGATAAAAATCAGCAACGTTTGCAGTGAAAGTACAAGTCGTGCTTTCGGCTTAGAAATCTAAATGTTTGTGAAATGATACAGACTAAACAATGTGACGATGGGAAAACCATTTCTTTCTCTCCCCAATCCATTTCCATATAATAAGCCTATTTCAATATAAATGGTGTACTTTGCAGTGCATGCAGCGCTACCCCAAAGCTCCACAAACAAGCTTCACAGTTCTGATTTCATGCTACAAAACACTTTTAAAATTAAATAAGTCCAGCGTTAATTCTGTGGAATACATAGTAAAGACCTTTGACTCCCTACCTCTGTTCCGCTCTGATGTCAGGGAGGACGCTCCGCCTCCTGAGAGTCGCCCGGTCAGCCGCCGTACCAACAGGAGCTCCAGCCAGCCCACCCCCGCTTACCGTCAGGTGGGCTCTCCCAACGATGGACACACACACTCTCCCTCCAGCCAGGGACACACACCGGACAAACACACACCAGAATGTGACAGCATGGACGGATTCGCAGTGTGACAGTCAACATGCTGAGCAGCAGAGCTTCATTATAATGTTTGAATAGCAACTCAACACAGCAGCAGGAGTCTTCCATAGATTCTGATTAAATTATTAGATTTGATTTGTGATCATTTGTGTAACATTGTGCATGTAAGTACTTAAGGATAATCTTACTCATGTAGGAAGAGTAATTTCATTACTATAACATGTAGGTTAATATCACTGTTTGTAAATGAACTAAACATAACATTTTAAAGGGCCCTTTGTGCTTTTGGGGGTGTTATATACTGTAAAGGCTAAATAAAAGTTCCCTCCCACACACCGCCCCCCTACCTGAAACGCCTCCAATGGAGTCTTTTGTTTACTTCCTTAACATGACATCACTATGTTACAATTGTGCTTCTACCTGGCTAGAGCTCCAACAAATAGAGTGCCACAGTGACGCAATTTTCGAATCATAAATCAATCCATCATAAACCTATCGATTAGATCAATCAGAGCAGACTGGGTGTCTGGTTTCAGACAGAGGGTGAAAAGAGGTGCTGCATGAGAAAAATAAAGAGCTTTTTGAACATTAAAGCATGTAAACATGTCACAGTAGAGGCAAAACATACAAATATGAACCTGAAATAATTATAATAGGGACAAATATTTCCCTGTAGAAGTTCAGACTTAAACATTTTTTTGAGAGTTTTGTTGTTTTACCATTTGTAATATAACTTTCAAAAAATGATACAGTGTCAAATTTAAACCAAAGAGAAATATTTATTTCATAATAGACCTCATTTGGAAATACTCAACCATTCAAAAAAAAATGTACACGATTAAGTACTTATTTTTTTTCGAGGACGTATTGACAGGAGTTGAAATATCAATAGCCACATGCAATGGGATTTTGTCCACCACATACACAGCGACTAGATCCCCCCCCCCCCCCTCTCTTTATTTAGATGACATGGAGGCTTCCTGTGTGTCCCCCCTCACACAGTGGTAGAACTTTGTGTTTTTTGGGGGGGTGGGCCTTTGTAATGACACACATCATAGACAGTCAAAAGTTTAGAAACTAAACATATCAGCACCTTTTCCCCGTTAGTGTTGGAGAACCAGCCTGAGCGGACGTGCTCAGTGTTTGCACTTAGCTTCCTTCGTATTAGTTTTAGCAAGAAGACAAGATGAGTTTTAATATACGTGACATTTTCAAATGAAGGCTGAGACATTTCAGTCTAAGCTGCTATGGATTCATCAATACCATATCACAATGTGGAGGTGCAGATATGAAGGTCAAACAGAGTTAGTCAATATTCTGTATATGAAATTAAATGTAAACAAATTTGAACCATTATAAGCTAACAGAGCCAATAAACATCTGAACGTCAGCATAACTAGAATTAGAAACTGGCCTTCTGTCAATAGGAAACTGATGAACGTTTAATATTGACAAACTGCAGTCAACATGGCTGTTAATTACTGGAAGTAAATGGAAACACTGAGCACTGCCCCTTTGGAAAAACACAAAATGTCTTCTTCTGTGGATTCAGGTTCATTAGCACGTACATTTTCCTTCAGATAAAAAAATCTTCTGACAGTTTACATTTTCACCAGTCTGCACAGCACCAAATTTCACGCATGAAAAATGATTTACATTAAGAAGGGGGAGGCGGGAACAAAAAGAAAAACCCAACACCTGAACATCTGTAAAAATAAGGCAAAGTACAAAAATCATAACAAACTCCATGCAGACATTAAAACATGGCTGAATTTGGCTTCAAATAATAAACGGTCCAGTTAAAAAATAGTCTTGATTCTATGCACAAAGAACAAATCAAAGTGTGAAGTGGTTGTCCAGTGGAATGTCTTGATGTTTCCCTTTTGCATCCAGTTGGTTTCATCCATTGAACAGTGGTAACATACTGACATAGCCGTCAGTATGTTGATGGCTATAAAAACCCTCTTTCTGAGTCTATCCAGTCACGGTTAGGATAAGTTAAATGCTTCACCATCTTGTTTCCCGGGGAGGGGCGTCCCCAGTCAGTGCCCCCCACCTCAGTAGAGTCCTCTGTTTGGGGCTGCTGTGGTTCAGTAAGCATGGACCATTCTTCAAAGGCACCGTACTGTACATTGGTCAGAGTGTGTGTGTGTGTGTGTGTGTATGTGTGTGTGGGCCGCGCATGGGCACATGCATACATGGAGAAGTAAAACCAGTCAACAAAGTCTATTCCCTCCACTGGTGTCAGCCCACAAGGCATCACCATGACAACTAAGGCAAAAATCTCTCCACATGAAAACAGAGCATCTGTCTTTTCCCCCCCCTTATTTTAGTTTCTGATTCATTGCTTCAGCTAAAATCCCCCACAATAATCATTAGTAATGATAATAATCTCTATTCAATAAATTATCTATACTGTACAATTATTTCACCTGGCATAGACCTGCAACCAAGAAGCTATCCACAGTTTCTGTCCTCAGTTCATAGATCCTCTGCAGAACACACTGACAGACAACAAGCCACTTTCTTCTTCTTTCCTGTACAGAGATTAAACAGGACATCCTGCTAAAATAAAGAATGAAAAATGTACAAACATAAGCAAAGCAGGTGCATAATTGAAGATTGAGAAATGGGGTAGAAACACTCGCAGAACGATCGGGTATCCAGCAAAAAAACAACAGCAAAAGTTTTTTTTTTCTTGTGTTGTTTCCTGGAGAGAGTGAGTGATTTCTCTGAGCACAGTAGATAGATGATGGTTCCTGATTTTAGAGCGCGAGGCCAGTAATCCTTCCAGCATTACTGAACGCCTTCTTCGTCCACGTACGTTGAGGGAAACCATCCAATCTGAGGCATAAAACAGTAAGTATCAGTGTGTAAATGTAAACAAGATAATGTTAATTTAGAATCATGTATACATCATTCGGGCATGTGTCCAAGTGTGCTTTTTCTGAGCACCCAGTGTCTTTTTCAAATGTTTCCAATGACGATATGTATGCACTGCACAAATCATTGTATCTTTGAGTTCCTAAACCATTTTTGTGACAGCGCTTCAAGTTGAATATCTAAATTATTCAAAGAACAGCTGGTGACATTACTGTAGTAATTGGAGTAGAAGCTTGTTGGTTTGAGCAGATTGGCCGGTGGACAGTGGATGTATCTGCCGGTGAGTTTGACTTTTATCGCAGAACACGGATCGTCTTTCTCGTCCTACAGCTGTCAGACTGAGCGGTGACAAACTCATTCATCCAAAGTTTGAGAGAAATCATTTTTCAGTTGGTTCTCACGGAGAAAATCAATGTCCAACAACTATATAATTGCTCAAATAGATGGATAACAGGGAAGGGGGCGAGGCTAGTCTGTTTTTACAAAAGTGGTGATACATTGTTAAGATATCCTTGTCATGGAAAGTGAAGGTTTTTTTAATGAAAAGCTGTGAAGAGGCTCTGCAGAGCACCTTTCTGCCAGAAAGAAACACTATGCGGACACAGTGCCCTAGAAGTACATGCAGTGAGAAAACACTTATAACACTGTGAGTCTGAATGTATCAGACCACTCTGATCTCTTTGCTTTAATTAGCCACATGATGTGCAATATTTTTAGATAGCTTAGATGTCCCAGCCTTCTAAAAAAACTCTTCTTCTATTTCTACGGCTGTTGCTAGACAACTGTTCCTACTGGTTGGAAAGTCAGTATTGTTACATAGTGCATATATAGAGCAGTGAAAATGTAATTGTATCACTTGCAAGCAGTCAAATGGGGATAATGCAAACTGATTCGTGCAGTTATAAAAAAATAACACAACTTACTGACCATGGGGTCTTTACTCTTTACATTAACCACTGATATGTTATTTTTCTTTTAAATACAAATACATCCTATATTTGTTATCATAAGTGCCCAATTGATACGACATGGTGTCCTATTTGTTTTAAGGTCTCTAAGCAAGATGCACTATAATAAAACCTAAATTATACTAGAATCCATATCCAAAGCAACACATTATTGTCTTTAGAACAAAACATTGACATTACATCCAGTTGGACTGCTACCCGTTTAAACAGACACATTTCCCAGTAGGCAGGTTTTAGTTTGTAAACACCTGTTAGGAGTCCTTTAAATATAAGTGGTATAATTGGTTAAATTCAGTGGTTCCACATCAGTGCACATGAATCTTGTTCTAATCTCTAAAGACTACAGCACACGGAACTTAATTTTTTTGTTTTTAAGCCCATTTTTTATTCTATTCCCTTTAACCAGCCCTAAATGTAATTGTACTCACTCGTCCGTTGGCCTCTCCCTTCCACCAGCCCTGGTCTCCTCCGATCTTGCTGTAGATTTTCACGATGTCTCCTTCCCGCAGAGAAAGCTCTCTCATGTCTCTTGCTGCAAAATTATACCTGGCCACCGCTGAGCTGACCACCCGAGGAGTGAACACTGCAAAATGAAACAACGGGGACTCAGTCTTCTCACATTGTTAGTAATTGACAAGAGTGAAAGGTGAAACTAGACATAGTGGTTATCATTAGTTGTGAAGGATGATGGTCATTTCTGTGTTCAGCGTGACACAACGCAGCCACACAAAGACAAATGAGCTCCATGGGAAAGGACAAGTTGTTTCATCACTGGAGAGGAAATTGCTTTTCTTCTCGTGATTTAATGAGGGAGTGTGATCACGAGAAGATTCTTGGTGATGAAAAGAGTGCCACGGAGAACAAGGAATGAGGTCGACAGCACGGACACTTATTATGAAATAACAGTGGATGAGGTGCAGGGGGATAAGAGGAAGGAGCATGAAAAGAAAGAAGAGAAATATGAGTACCTGACCAAAAGGGAGCTGAGCTCTGAGAGGAGAAGTTGAGGCCCTGCGGACTGAGGAAGGAGAAGTTGTAGGAGGCGCAGGTGGCTGCTGGGAGAAGAAGAAGAAACACAGAGGAGGAAATAAAGCTGGAAAAGCAGAGCTCGAGTCTGAGAAGCAAAACTAAAAAGAAGCACATTGAAGTTGTCTGCCTGGAAAATAGGGTAATCATTCTTTAATCTTGTCATGATTTGAATACTTTAGTGGTTTCCCTGAAAACAACAATTAAAAAAATAATGTCAGTTCATGCACTGATGTGAATGTAAGGGACTTTCTTGTGACATACAGTCAGACTGAAAGGGTAAACAAACATTTTCCTTTCTACTTTACCTATTATTGTTCAGAATCTGGCAACGTTACCAACAGACAACAAGACTGTGTGACTTTTAATGTGAAACAGGAATTTAAATGTGACACCATCTGCTCTTTGTAGCACATTTCTGCTGCTGAACTTTCACACAACTCGTACAGGCTCCCAGACAACACTCGTCTGGACTCCATTACCAGATTGTCAGTGCATAATAGTGTGGAGAGCACAGCTTTTAAAAGGTAATAAGAGAAGCATCGTTGCCATGTACATCTGCCACCACGACAATACACAAAAATGTGTGCTTGAGAGCACATTAGCAGCTGAGAAGACTCAATTGTCTCATTTCCAAATGCACCCAAGAACTGGAGGGAGACAATCTGTCTGTGGTGGCCAGTTCCTCCAGTGGATCAGAGAGCTGCAGGACAGAAGCCAGTATTGATATGGCCTAATGGCTGCCAACTCACAGCCACAGGCCACTTCCTCTTTGTCTCCCGCTCTTTATCTATTTCACACTGCTGGTCTCTCTTTCGGCCCTGTTCCCCTGGGGGCTCCCTCCAATCCTCTCTGTGAGTCACTGGCCAGTGTGTCTCATTTATTCTAGCCTCCCTAGATAGCTATACCCACAGCAAAGATGGCAAGGGAATACATCTGTAAAATGGACACAGTCAAATTAGTTCTCATAATCATTCATAGAAGCAGGGAGGTATACATGTCGCTACCCCAAATGTCCATTTATCCAAAGACGTTCGTACAACTTAGCCATGCCCTTCAGCTGTTCCTGGGGTACCCAAGGTGTTCCCAGGTCAGATATGAGAGGGGATATGAGCCTGCCCAGTGGTCTTCTCCAAGCTCCATGTGTTTTGCATAGTGCCAAAGGGATGTGTCCAGGAGTCATCTGCATGAGATGTCCAAACCAGATGTCTGGCACCTCACCCTGTCTTTAGAGAAGAGCTCAAACACTGCTATCTATGATCTGGTTTGAGCCTTGCCTAAAGCTCATGACCATAGAGGAGGGTTCTCATGAAACACATTCCTGCACATGGTGCCACACGATCCCCCAGCTGGTGGTAACATGCTAAGATATGCTGCAATGTGTTAGCAAAGACAGAAAGGACAATGACCACATATAACATGGATCTACCAATCTAATTCCAGTGTTAAATTAAAATCTGTATTTGTGTAAGTGACGTGCAAGGCATGACCTCAACATTACTTTTCAAACTTTGTAAAGCAATGTAACAAAACAATACATACATAAATAAGGGTATCCGACTACTGATTGTAAACAATACCTGATCCAGATATTTGAGCGTTCATCTGTATGGGTACATCTATACAGGGATATAAACAATGTTAGAATTAAAATGCTATTCTACTAAATGCTGGGTAAAGAAAACATACATTTGAGTTAGCAACAAAACAAACAAAACTGTTACCAATCAAAATTGTTATGATATAAAAAATGTCACTATATATATAAAAATTGGGCAAAAATAGGCAGTATGCCCTGCTTTGAAATGCTTGGGGCATGTCAAGTAATACTGCCCGAGTGCCTGACTGCTGGGGGTCTCTTGCAGAATGTGCACACCCCAGGCTCTTCTAAACTTTCAAAATGAAGTCTGTCCAAACTAATCATGTTGAAAAGAGTATTTTCTGATAGTGGCTCAGGCTAGCTGCTGGAGAGCAGGACCGTTCTGAGGGCTTACCTGGTGAGCGTGTGCTGGCCCGTGTTAGCGAGCGTTCTCTCGACTTGTACGGGTATCGCAGGGTCGTGTCTAACAACTTAAAGCTCTCTTTCAGTGAATGTGCCTGATAGTACTCCACCAGCTCCTGTTATAACAAACAGCACAGAAGAAATATTGTTATTATCTCACACTGATATGAAGCTACTGTAGGTATTTGGGTTTCTAGTAAAACATGTGACTTACCAAAAGACTCTCAAATTTCTTGGCCTCAGTGATGTGAATCCAGTTGTCTTTTTCAATGACTTTGATGTGTTTTACTTCATCGTTGAATCTGTAAAAGAAGAAATCATGTTTACATTTTAATCATTGGATTCAGCTCGATACTCAAATCAAACTTTATTTATATAGCACTTTTCATTCATAAATCTAACGCAAAGTGCTTTACAAACCAAACATCAATACAAAACAACCACCCCCTTCACAGTTAATATATAACACATGACTGATAATAATGTGATAACACTTAAAACCAACATAATTCAATAAAACACATGCCTGAATAAAACAAGCATAACAAATAAATAAGAATACAATAAGAAAAGAAAATAATTAAAATAAGAATACCATTTATAATAAAATAAGAAAGAAATAAGGAAATAAATAAGAATTAAAAAAATCATGAATACAATTAAATTAAAAGCCAAATTAAAAGATTAGGTTTTGAGTTGGCTCTTTGTGCTTTCACTATCTGAAAACACTCGGTGTGATTCTGATTCTTAATATTGTTCTCCCTCTCTCATGGACCTTTGGTGCTGCTGTCAACATGAAATTCAGTTGTGTATACCTGAAGGACTGACAGACTTTAAAAGTAATTTTCACAAACTGATTTCATTATCCATCTCAAGGCTGGTCTCCCCAGCCCATTCGCACCTGTCTTAGAGATAAATGTGCTAAAGCATTCCTCCCAGTACATCAGTGTATGACAGCTCCAGTCAGAGCTCATGCATTTCTCTTCCTGATGCATTTTCTCGGAGGAAATACACACAAACAAACAGGATTAAAAAAAAAGAAGCAATTACCGAGCGGTAATTAGCTGGAGCTGAAAGATGCTCGGGAAAAAGCTGACTGGGGCATCCCGTGAGAATTTGTATTCCCCGTGAGATGTGAATAAAACCACTTCCCCTGAGTTTCTCCCTCTCCTGTTGCGATGTTGAACACTCACTTGATGCTGATGGCGAACCTCTCTGCCTCCGCCGTCCTCTCTCTGATAAGGTAGGTCCCGCTGCTGTGGGATTTTAAAAGGTTATCGGCCTGCTGGCGCTCCATGTTCCCCGCAAACCTACAGAGGAGCAGAGGATACATGCTGTCACCTCAAACACAAAGCTATATACAATCAAACCACATACTGAAGGCTTAACAAATCCTTGACATCAAACAACGGTGCAGTAATTCATCTTTTGATTGCGGTCATGTTTGGGGTCACTTTGGTTTAATTTGAAAAAGTGCAAAAACATTACAAGTATTAGCGTGAACATATCTGGCGTAATTAGATAGTGACCTCGGGCTATTTGCATAGTGTACATCGTGATAGGTCCACACTCTTCAGAAGTTAAGGGTCTTACCAAGGATATCCATAGTAGTCTGATTCCCTGGAGCACTGCCGGGTAGATAATGACTGGAAAGGCTGGAATAAATAGACACAGCGCGTGTAAACATAACAATGACATGGAGCAGAAGTAGATCACGTATACGTATGTCCCACATAGGTGGTTAAAGTGTACACTAAAGAGAAAGAGGAAAGCCCTCAAGACACTGTTATGATTCTTGAATAATATATACATGCTGTACATGTACTGCATATAGGTGGCTTACCTTTGGGTCCAAACATGGTTTTACACAAGAACTGGGAAAGAAGCCGCTCTTTAGTGTTTGTATCAGTTTTCCCTGCAAGAAAAAAAAGGCAGGGCGAGTTTAATTGTAAGGTATTTAAAAAACTCTAATAATGGAAAGTGCTTTATCAATTATTTAAGAAGAAAAATCCTACAATCGCATACAGTACTGGATTAACCTGAATGAACCAACTTTATATTCAAAGCTCAGCACACTCATACATATCACATGGCAGGATTAAACTGTTCCGTAGAGGGTTAACCACCGGGTGAGTTTCAAGAGGACGTATGCTAATGTTCAGGTTAATATCTGTATTTGTTGTGTCTCTACTGTGACATGTCTCCATGCTTTAATGTTCAAAAATCTCTTTATTTGTCTCATACTGCCTGTGCTGCAGCACCTCTTTTCACCCTCTGTCTGAAACCAGAGCCCAGTCTGCTCTGATTGGTTAGCTGGCCGGATCTGTTGTGATTGGTCGATTGATTGGGGAGTGTCTGTGGAGGCAACTTTGGTATTTTAGCCTTTACACAAAACCAAAACACTACAGGAAAGGGACAACCCTGAAAACAGAATAGAGGCCCCTTTAAAAGAATGGCCTCAGGAAGTTGGGAGTGACAGCAGTGTTACAGCCGCTGTCGTTCAGCCTGATTCACTGTCGAAGCTCTGAAGGTCTGCAGGTACAGCTCCATTGATTTTTAACTAAGAGAGGGTCAATGCTGTTGTTGAAGATGCATAGAAGGCAGTAGAATACATCAGGGGATTGATTTTCTCAGTATGGTCTGATAATATCAGATTAGAACTCTCTGCACACACAAAGTGTTAAAGGTCCTACAGAAGGCTGGATGACTTGAATAACATCAAACTACCTTGGGTAAGTAAGATTCAATATTTATTTAATGTCAGGATCAAAGTTTATTGCCGAAATATGCCGCTAAATAACAAGATTCCAATTCTAAAGGATGATAACCTTCAACATCCTTGATTCAAATGGGTTTCTTAACTTCCCATATTGCCTGTCTGGAACTGCGACCTAAGGCAAAGTATCAGAATGTGTGTTGCATCTTTAAAGAAGGCAAACAAAAAAAACACAATCGAGAAAAACCAAGTTCAGTTATATTCCTGGATTAGAAACAGTTTACAATCATATCACGTTTGTAACTCCCAGCCATTCACTTACTTAAATCTTGTTTCCTACATTTTTCACTCATACATATTCATAGATTTACCCTGCATAATAACACTGTAAAAGCATCACTCCTCTAAAGAAGATTAGTTATTTTACCTGTCAAGATGTGTCTAAACTTTACCAAATGTGTTTTTATTTGTATGGTTTGCAATTATCTTGAGCAAATTGATATTGGATTACCTGTAAAATGACAGACCCAGGTGATGAAGCTTTATTTATAGTGCAGTCAGTGTGTGAAATGTGTTTCCACATTCCTGGCTCTCCTCTTACATTGGTTTCAAGGAAAAGTTCGACATTTCTGAGATGTGAAGATTGATATCGCTCTCATACAAGGCTACAGCCAGCCTAGCATAAATGTTGAAATAGCAGGAAACAGCCAGCCTGACTCTGTCTAAAGGTTACCAAATACCAGCTTAACACAGTACAACTTGTTTGTTTTAACTGTGTAAAGACTAAGGAGTAAAATAAAGTATGTATTGGCCCTGCCATGGACTACCTGGAGTCTGTGCCAGCTGCCGAGCAACCTCACAATGATAAAAAGTGGAAGTCACTGCACCCGGCCAAGAAAAATAATTGTTTTTGTATGGATTAAACAAACAAGATATTAATTGTCTGTACAGGAGCTGGGGGTCCAGACTGTGTTACCTTTGGACAAAGCCAGGCTAGAGTGTAGGGATTTATCCCAGAGAGCCAAAAGGGCTATGATTTCTCCTCATGTGATCACCCTAAACTTTTAAACATTCATTCATTTAATGTCCAATATCACAATTTCTCAACGTGCTGGAGGTCAGAAGCAGCTTAATATGCTTTTAACAAGATATGTTAAAGTCTGTGTCAGATAAGAGTGATTGACAGCCGTACCTCCCACCACGTGGTGTCAGGATCTCCCTTCAGCAGCTCGATAAACTCTCCTGTTTGAAAACACAGCGGCGTCTTCCCCGGTGGAGCAGGCGTGCCGTGGTAGTTCCTCACTGCCACCATCTTGGGGCCTGGAGACACAATCAAGTGATTGCTATGAGGATTGATGGATGTAGCTGGAGTAACAGTCACATGTATAAAAGGGATAAAAGTGAAACATTTTAATCTGAACTCGTGCTGCTTCCTGTCATTTAGAAGTAACACATTGTGAATCAGGCTGATAAAGACAGGCCTGTTTGTGATTAGACATCTGACCCATTGAAGGGGACATATTGTGGTCATTTTCAGATTCATATTTGTATTGTGTGCCTCTACTGTGACATGTTTACATACAGGAAAGGGAAAAACCCCTAAAAGAACAATAGGGCCTCTTTAAGTGATGCAGTGGTCTAAGATACAAACAATTTAACCACAACTCCCTGGGTTCAAATCTGGTTTAGCATCCTTTTGTCTGTCTACTTTCAAGTATCATATATGGCAAAAACACCAGATATTTCAAAGAAAATCTTATTAACAAGAACTTTGTCATTTCAAACTGTGTCTCACCCTTTTGAGACTGATTATCATGTTCTGGTTTATTTTAATCTCAAATGTCTTCAGGGTTTTTGAATGGCAAGTAATATCATGAGCACATAGTATCTATATTTATGCATGCACTGCCACCCACTGTACACGTTGATAATGTGTTTTTTTTTTTGGTTCATGTGTAGTGTGTCTATCCACTAGATGGCAGGAGAGAGCTGTGCTGGATCCATAATAAACTCATAACATGACAGCTGACAGAATATGCAGCTTCATATGGAAGTGTGCTGTGTGTCATGTTTAAGTGACTGGATCTTACCTGATGATAATCCGGGTTCCTGGAGAGAAAAACATTGTTTTTCAGTGAATTTATTACAAACTAAAATCCTACTTGTATGATTTAATGTTAAAGATATAAGAAGGAAAGGGACAATTAAGGAACATTTGACTCATATATTGATAAAGTACTCACCAAGTCAAGAGGATCTGAAACAAGAGAAATAAAACAGTGACAGTGAGGAGTTTGAATCAATGAACGCACAATTCAAGTGCTTTATTTAAAATAGTTACACCCCCCCAGAAAATGTCAAAAACGTGTGTAAGAGAGAGTCATCTCTGTTGAAAAGATGTGAAATAGTCCCACACTGATCCATAGAAACCCCCAGAGGCCTGCAAGCAGTTCACGGTTCAGGAACAGTACGTTTACGCTTGTGAACGTAATGAAATTTCACGGATCATTTTTAATGAGGTTAAAAAAAATGAAATAATCATATCATAATAACATCAATGAAGTCTGTCACACAACATTGATTTACAATTTAATCCAAACATTGACAAGCCCTGTACGGAAGCCCTGAGAGACAAGTGAGGAAAACAAATCTTTACTGGAACTCTGATCCTAATTGTTTATGAATTACATTTTTATTTTTGGCAGGTAAAGAAAACCGTAAAAAAAATGTAAACTCATATATGCATTTAGTCCATTCAGAACATTGAGTAGTGGTGCACTATAGCCTCTTGTGGCCGAAACAAGTACTACAACAACAAACACAAGGTTTATTTTTAATTAAGGAATTTAGAAAGACTATTCTGGCAGAACATTTTCTCCCACCCACTTGTAAGTCATACACACAAGAGAGAAAATCATTTAGACCAGACTAAATTAATGGATTAACAGAATATATTTGTTTATTCACTTGACATCCAAGGCTTCCGTATACCTGACATTGAGCCCCCAAAATAGACATTTTTTTTATAAAATAATAAAAAAAAGGGTTTCTGCAAGCAGATTAAATGAACACCTACTTATTTTACAGATGGTGATGACTTCCAGACACTCTTTGTGTGCTCCTGTTCCACAGCGAGAGCAGTAGTAGCCCTGGTAGAAGATTCCCCTATAGGACACACACACACACACGCTCACATCAGTAATGCAAACAGGAAGTGTCTCAGACACAAATTAACTTCTTGTACGTACAACCCACAAGGGAATCGGCTGCTTGGAACTATAAGCCTGTGATTGCGGTTACACATGCTCCATCATTTCCACTTTGTGATCCTTTAAAATCACAGAATCGACTCGCTCCATTTAAGAGCAGTACTGAGATTGGTTGCATGTACTGTAACGCCGCATGTGTTGCACACTGCCATGTTGAATAGTAAGTGCCATAAATCAGGATGGGGATCCGCTGGGGCTGCAGCAGTAATTAGCATCTAGCAGGGAGCGGGGACGCCGGTCCCTGCTACCACTGGCTCTGTGAATTTAGGTCAGCCCAGCCAGGAAATGTGTGGGTCAATACACAGAGTGGAGTTTAGCCGGCTGACTGTAATAGAGGGGAAAGTGGTGATTCAGTGACTCGGGCTGTCCCTGCTGCAGAGGAGCAGCACTCTCACAGGGGAGGGGGAGCGCTCCGGGACACAGCGGGTAGTGCTGGGAAGGGGAAGGTTTAAAAATATTTGTTTCCAAGGATTTTTAAACTAATAAGAGGCTACGCTAGACAAAAACATATTCCCTCTGTGATTTAAGTGTGTTTATCTGTTTCTCACCAAATGTGGCAGAATATTCTCTCATTTTAGCACTTCACTCCCTTTGTTCATCATACACATTTAATAACACTACTTTACATTTTGTACATGATTATTACTTGTCCTACATAATTATGTTTGTTTTATTTTGACTGAACTGTTATTGATTATTTCTTATTCGTATTTGGTGCCTCTACTGTGACATGTCTCCATGCTTTAATGTTCAAAAAGGTCTTTGTTTTTCTCATACTGCCTGTGCTGCAGCACCGCTTTTCACCCTCTGTCTGAAACCAGAGCCCAGTCTGCTCTGATTGGTTAGCTGGCCAGCTCTGTTGTGATTGGTCAACTGCTTAAAGATGTGTCAGAAAAGTCCTGCCCCTTATCAGGTACAATCACCTGGCTTCTTATTTCACCCCTGCATAAATCATGGCTATACAGTATCTTCGTATGAACGTTGCATAACATGTCTGAGCGTATATACAAGTATTTCTTATAGTAAGTGTCTGTGCAGAGTGTAGAGACAACTGAGTTAAATAAATCTGTGTTCCTGCTGAATAAAGCTGGATACATGATAGTCCTCGGAAAGTCTAGAAGTACAGGCATTCATTATTTATTGTAGAATATGAATGTGCTGTTCTGCAGATCAGCACTGGAGTTATCAGGGAGTTACCTCAGGAGCATCTTGCAGGCTCGACAGTTGGTGTTCTTATCGAATGTGTGCATCTGAAAGTTATGCTGATTGGCTGTGGCTCTCTCTGGCTTGATGTTGGACCTGGAAGTAAACAATAATGAATGAGATTTGTTTGATTTCTCCAGTGTTTAATTAAGTGTAAAAAGAACAGACACGTTCCATCTGGTTATTTAAAGACGATTTCTCAAGTGAATTTCCAGGAAAGTTACCAACCCTTTTGTGTAATCGTACTCACATGGCCATTTCAAACTGCTCCATCCACTTCCTCTTTGTCTCCTCTGTTTTACAGAAGAACTGGAAGCCCTGCTTCCCTTGCAGGTGGATCAGGTAGAAACCGTATGACCACTGGGGAGAAGAAGTGAGTGAGGGACAGATGGTGGAGACATATGTGGATGGCAATGACAAAAACAGGCAAATAACTTAGTGATTTCTGAGCTTTCATAAAAATCCGTACAAAAACCTACTTTAAATATCACCACATCTAAAGAGATAGTTTGCATGTTTTAAAGTGGGGTTGTATGACGTACCTATACCATGTCAGACTGCAGTCAGTCAAGACAATCAGTTTGGAGAAACAGACGGGAGAACAGGAAGGGAGCTGCTGATTAAGGGGCAGCAGCAAAACATATAACCCAAAAAACATTAATATTAATTCAATTGTCTGTATTTTCACTGCTATGAGGGCTTAGCATGAGCTAATGCATACATTTTCTGTTTCCGATTGGGAACTGTAGCTGTAAATGTAGTTTGTGGCTTACGCTCTCGCCAAAGCCACCAGACATTGAAAAAACCTGTAATTTGTACTCACAGAACACAGAGGTTGCCGTTTACTGCTGCCTTGATTTGTTAGTTAGTCTGTGTTACTGTGTTATTCAGGTGAATCCGGACCAACCAAAGTCAAACAATAACACAAACAAACTAACCAGTCAAGGCAGAGGTACACAGCAAATGTGGTGCTATGCAAGATTAAATTACACTTTTTTTTTTACATAGGACTCTGGTGGCTTTTGAAGACAGTATTGATAACAGCTTCATACTTTATAGCTGTCTCAAAAGATACAGCAGTGAAAATATTCTAAATATATGAACTGTTATTTATCTTTTTAGGTGGACATTTTTTTGTAAGTGGCCATGATTCGTTGCAGCCCCCATCCACACAGAACAATGCTTAACTTCTGTGCCCGTTCTCCTGTCTGTTTCTCCAAAATGGGTGTTTTCGCCTACCGAAACTACTATAGGTAACACTGACTATAGATAACACCTCATTAAACTCCACTTCTAAACATCCCAACTATCCCTTTAATTCTGAACTACAAGATGCTTCACATGCTTTAGCGATGCATATTTCCAAAAGCTGGAGAGTGCACGTGCATTCACAGCATGACACCCATAAAACACCACTGCCAATAAATAGGCCATTATGAGAAGATGAGTCAAATAAAAAGGGTCAATTTGAGCTTACCATTTTTCCACTGGACTGGTAAGCATGCAAAAAGAAAGACACCAGAGAAAGAGCCAGTTACACATGCAAAACATGAACAGACACATGCAGATTCAAAACAAAAAAGCCATGTTAGATCTGTGGCAAAATGCACTGCGGTACGAATTCATGAATCCTAAATGTCCTTCGTTGCATTAACATGGTTTCTCAAGCATGGGCGAGCACAATGCATAATATGAAACGTCAACGCATTACTCATAAGATCTACATCTGCAAATTACCATCAACAAATCCTTCAGCTCAAGGGCAACATTTGTAATGATTACGCGGGACGTTACAACATCTGCATACATATTGTTTAGCTTGGTCCTTTCAAAGTAAAAGCGTGATTCTTACCTTTTTCATGTCTCTGTTGTTCATGGGGTCGTCGGACATTTTATATGACTGCAGTTCGATAATCTCTTTGAGCTCATAGCTGTAGCCTTTCCTCTTGCAGACAATGACCACTTTATCAAACAGGAATATATACCTGAAGACAAACACACATATTAATTGTTTTTCCAACTGTAAGAATATGTGATTTCTGGAGGTATTTTATTCTGGAGAGATCGTTCTCACCGGTCCTGTTTCGTTCGGTTGACGATGGAGCACACCTTCAGCTCTCCGTCTATCTTTGGCCTCCCGTACTCCTCCAGTTTCACCTGCTGCTTCGGTCAAAAGGACACACAGCATGTCAATCCACTTATTCTATATATCTATAACTTCTATATTTAATGAGAAACTATGATTAATTCATCTCCACTTGAATTTTAGACAGAATCATAATAGATTACTACTAAATGATACATCTCGGAAGATATTCAGTCCCTGTTTCTTTTCCATCCTGGTAATCCACATCCACAAGTTGTTTACTGTATATGTGGCATATTTATAAGGCCAAAATGAACCCAGTGACTAGTTGCACCTCTGTAGGAACAATACATGAAGATAGGAAGTGATAACAGAGAATGAGACAGTCCCATTGGAAATATTTGGAAATATAACAGAAGATGAACATCAGCCTGGAAGATAAACACTAAATCATTCATTGAGGAAGCACGGTAAGGTTATTGTTTCTGGGTTAATGCTCAGTGAATAATCACTCCCACAAACATTGAATCCCATCCTGGTGATAACGTTAGACAGTGTATTACTTTTTATATTCAAAATGTCTTCTGCAAAGACGTAAAATCTAGCTTTGTAAATGAAAACAGAACAATAGATTCATGATACAAGGTTACCATTATATTATTTACTGTAATGTGACAACGTTAAACTTTGCTGCTGTGGATGACATTTTGGTAAAAGATGTGAAACAAATACCACTCTGATATATGTGTTTCTAAAGAAGCAAAGAACGTAAAGTAAGAAAACACTTCTTCATTCAAATGCTGGTAACAGTTAAAAAAAACAGACTGTGTGTGTACAGTATGTGTGTGGTTTGATTACATTTGATGAACAGTGGGTGTAGTATTATTGTGGGTTGTTAACCAACCCACTTCAAACCAGTTTATAAAGCACGAAAAAAAATATATATACAAAAGTCTCTCAATTGAAATGACTACTTAGAAACTCAGGTCAGGTCATGTCCATGTGGCTTCACCTACAGTAAGAAGATGAATTAAGCCCTAAGAAACTTGAAAAATAAAGGCTTTGACGATACTTACAAGATTCTCTATTGAACTTTGGAACTCGCTGATTTTCTTCAGCGTCTCGTTATCCCTCTTGACTTCGTTGATGTACATGGCAAGGTCCTGGGAGAGCAAGGCAAACATTCTTTCAGCCTTTACACTGAGAATCCCTTTTGACATCTGTCATATCACCGTAGATGTACGGCCCTTTGAGGCGCAGTAGCTGTATGAAACATTTTATACAGCTTTTGGCTCTGAGCGCTGTTGAGTTATTATGTAACGTGTCTTAAAGCTCACTCATGAGCACACTGACCTGCATCGCCTCCAGAGACTCCTTCAGTTGTTGTCTCTCCGGTCGGTCCGCCGAGTGAGTCAACAGCTCCTGTGGAGGGAGATCATTATTCATATTTAGTAAACACCCTGATTCAAAGCCTATAGTAATGAGAGGAGATGTTGTAACGGATGTATAGCTGATGTGTTTGACACTGACACACATCTGAGTCAGACAGAAACATACATTACATTGAACGTTTGCTAACTAGCCTCCAGACCTCTTTAAGCTTTATGGCAATAAGCTAATTCCTCCACAGAGTCAGTCAATGACAGAAATGTTACATCTTTTTGAAATAGGATGGCATGTCTCCTCCATTAGCTTTTTGGAATGATTTATAAAATACTATAGAGCCATGTGCTTTGTGTGAAATGAAAATCCCATTAAAGCTTTTATAGTTTTATAAATACAACTGAAACTGTGCCATATGTTTAACCAGTTGGCCGCTCCATCAGCAGTGTCCTAAAAAAACTAAGAAATAAACACACTACTGAACCAAATGTTGTCTTGTCGTTGATGACATTGATAGACAAACTGAAGTTAATACAACGGGAGGATTTTAGCCTTTGCAGACCATTCACATTCGCCTACAGTATATGACACACTACAGGAAAGGGAAAATCCCAAGAAGCATAATAGGGCCCGTTGATAGATGTATTTTCAATGCATTACATTTCGCTTTTCCCGCTATGACAACTCTCTTCCACCTGCTAGCTATAAGAGGGCATGACCTTCAGATATCCCCCCCGGTCTAACCCCCACTGTGCAGCCATGCTGAATAACCAGTACGAGCCATTAGTGCGGCGACACGAGCATTATCTCTCAAAGGCTTCCCACCAGCAGCCGCACAGCAAGGACGAGAGTTCTCCTATTAGGCTTAATTTCACCTTAATTAACTTTAATTGTATATAAATGATCTAACGACTCAGCAGATCTTTTTAATACCGTGGTGTTACTTTTCCTCAAGCGAGACCGCCCCGACGACTCACAGCACAGCCCATAAACTCAGCTTTCACACAGGTTCATAAAAACACTGCAAATTCATCAACTATTCAAACCCTGCTGGAGGAGAATCACTTCTGAGATGACTGTGCTGAATTCACTTTATTTAGAGTGCAGCCAAAGTACATAAAAGATGAAAAGAGCCAAGTGTTCGCACCATGACCGGATAGAGGGACCGCTGCCGTGGTGATATCTATACAACATCTACTGAAGACGTGCATGAGTGGACAAATAAACAGGACGTGTCAGTGTGACGCGCCCCCGGGCCGTGCAGCGGTGTTTCACTGCAAAGCGGTTGGATGCAGTGAAATGGGGTGCGTTTAATTGGATTAGAGTGCGCTTGATTTGACCTCAGTGCCCGGCTGAGGCTCCTGCATGGGTTCGATACAGACTAATAGACAAGTCGCTCTCCGTGAAGCCCCACAATCACCTGAAGCCAACGCTCGCCTCCATTAGGCACCGCTTCATAAACTCATATGCTCATGCATAATTGAGATGCAAAGTCAATTAATCATGGGCGATATTACAGTGGCCGTCTTGTTTCATCGCCAGGAGGAGAGCTCCAGGGAGGAATAATGGTGAGGATGTGTGTGGCTAGTCATTGGGCTTAAAATATATGTTCATATTAGGGCATCGATGCACGGCTACATAATGATTATAGCTACCAGGTAACCCAGGGGAATCTGTTTATCACACGAGCTAAACTGCCTGAGAAGCAGAAATCTAATCTAATGTAATTAATTACTTTATATGATTCATTAGGAAATCAAATTGATTAAATCATCATTTTAAATTGTAGGTAACCACAAACTAACATTATTTAAATATTTACATAACATATACACAAAATGCTAATTACCATACGTCAGGACCAAAATAATGGACATAATTCATAAAGGAAAAGTATAAAATAAAGAACACAGGCAAGCATGCAGCATGTTCCAAAAGGGCAACATAGAAGTACAGAAACAGAATTTGTGGCGTAGCTAAAGGTCAAGAAAACAATGACAGGAAGGTCCCCAGTTGAAGCTTATAGTAAGGAATAAAGACAGACTCAGACTGGTTATTAAGTAATAGCCAAAATGAAAAAATAATTAATTAATGTGTACACTTTGAGACATCTGACCTATGCTTTTAACCTGTAATACTTGTCACCTTTGTTAAACAACTACAAAATTAATTTAAAAAAAGGCATAAAATGACTAGAAAGGGAAGAGAAACAAACAAAAACAGGCACAAAACTCAACGCAATACAAAACAACTACAAAAGAGACAAAGCCACCACAAAGTCTGTGTGTCTTTCTTCTATGTAGGAATGGTGTCAGGGCGTGTGTTTATGACCAGGGGCCCCTCGTGTCATAATTCAAAGAAGCAAGCCTCAAACCTTTCAAATACACATGTTGTGCTTCAAGCAGGGATGAGTGTTGATATTTAAAAGATGGAATGTAATAAGCATTTTGCGTTCCAAACACATGGAGCATCCAGAGAAATAATGTTGTAAGATGCCTCCTACCTTCAGTAGTAGGTGGTACTTCAGCACCCTCTGCATGGGAACCACCAGCAGATCCTGCAGCTTGAACTTCCCTTCCTGCACTTTCATAGTACATTCCTGAGGAAGAACAACAACACAAGCAGCAGGGCAGTTATTACACATTGCATAAGGCCACAAAGCACATTTCCTTCCTACTAACAAGCATTCATTCATTGTTTAATAATTCATGGGGTCTTGTTGTATTGCTGTGACCACTTCCACACATTCATTCGGCATTCCATCAGCAACAACGAGCCCCGTTTATTATTCTGAGGGGAAACAAAAGCTTTGTGATGCAGTAGGCCTGAATGCTGACTGGGAAATTCCTCTGACTAATGAATATGTTTTTATAAACTCTGCACAGGCTCTGTTAGAAACTGTCTTTTGTATGTGTCACACTATGAGGTTTCATCACAGTGGCTTGTGTAGGCGTTTCTTTATTCACTTTCTATCACCATGCAGCAACAAGGACAGCTTATCCCTCTACAAATAAGGGTTTTGTGGAAAAAGAAGCTTATATATCCCGGTACAAAGATCTTCTATTTGGAGAGAGTGTATCTCAGAGTTTTTGACAACAGCTCTTAAAGCAATTTCTCTAAACATGCTAAGTGTGTGTTAGCGATTCTTCTATTATCACTTTATACAAAGAAGGAGTTTCAATAGACCCATACATGTGATACGACTGTTCCCATGTAAGAATTGGTGAGTATTAAGCAAGACATCTTGAAGGCCTTCACCACAAATCCACCACTCTGCCCACAATACACTCGCCAATACATCTGGGGTTATGTTGAGTTCAGTACATCAGAATATTATGAATTAAACAGTCCTTAAGGGCATATTTGCAAATGAGATTATTTGCCTCTCTGATTTTATCTCAATTTGTGCATGACCACGGAACATTTGGATCACATTTATACATTTATGTATGTCATTAACTATTCAATGTCTTCATTTATTCAACAGCAAATTTGAATTTCATACTTAATGTCGTAAGAGATGTCGTTTTCTGTAGATATTTGTAAAGTGCAAACATGTAAATGGTTGCATAAATTGCATAAACTTCCTAACTGTCTTTGATAAAGGATTTATTGGCCATTTAGTGAATATAGGAAACTAATGTTTAAAAAAGAAAAAAGGAAATAACCTACATATGTTGAATTCTATTGGAGGTGGAAGAACATTTCTATTGTCATGGTCTTGTGGCTTATAAGGTTTTTTGTATGGTGTTATTTTGTAATTTAAGCCCCTGTCCCATTCCACATTAAACCAGGTTTTAGGTCCATTAGCAAGATGTGCTGAATCCTACCTGCTCATGAATCAGTATTCAGTCTGAAATAGAAGCCTGTGTTCACACTGTGATGTATTATTTTCACAGCAATGCACTAAATCAGTGGGATGTCACAGGTGAAGGGCGTTACCTCCACTTTAATCTTGACGTCCTCCCGTGTCGCTATTTGCTCGTCCAGTGTCTTCTGTGCGTTCTCCATGTGGCTACAGTACAGACCGTAGATCAACAACCTGGGGAAGGACACAAGTCAAAAACAGCCGTTAATCTAAATACCACTGTTAATCTAAATACACTGTTAATCTAAATGTACTGTCACATCTCATCGCCCTTCATGGGACGTAGGGAGGAAACACTACAACTAATGGTAAAAGTCACGCATGAAAGTGGTTCATTATGCCAGGGCTGTTTATTATGTGCCAGAAATCACAATTTGGTCAATCATTATGTTTCCAAAACAAGATTGGACAGTGAGGTGGGCACACCAAAAACATATTTTCATAAATCTTCAGCAAAAAAGCCAAACAAAAGTAAATGGTAAATGGACTGTATATATATAGCGCTTTATCCAGTCTTTAAGACCCCTCAAAGCGCTTTACATACTACGTGTCATTCACCCATTCACACCCATTCATACAGAGCAGTGTACCTTACTCTAGGACACACATTCACACACATTCACACACCGTTGGCCATGCCATCGGGAGCAACTCAGGGTTAAGTATCTTGCCCAAGGATACATCGACATGTTGACTACATGGGCTGGGATCGAACCCACAACCTTCTGGTTGAAAGACGACCGCACTCCCTCGCAGCCACAGTCTCCCCATGATGATCGGTTTCTTCTTATTTCATAAATATAATCTTAGGAAAAAATAATGTAGTTTTATAAATACAAGTGAAACTATGTTGTAATGTCGTCATCCACATCCTCACTGATTTCATTGTTTTTTTTTGCAGTACCTTTTTATAGTATACTGTGTATATCGACTGAACACTTGTTGTTTTGTTAGTGGAGAGCTTTTAACATAGTTCCCTAATCACACAGCATGAGTTATATAAAAGCAATGGCAGCATTGATAAAAACATGAGAAATGTACAGTGACCAATTAGGATCCAGCTTTCTAGTTTACATCAAAATGAATTGAGCAGGAGGGACCGGGTTAAAGACCTGAAGTTCCCTCTGAAAGCTTTTTCAACTGCTTCAAGCAACTGTTATGTATTTTGGAGTATTATTTTGTGTCAAAATAAAAGCATACCAAGACCTACACCCAAAAAGACCTCCTGCCACAGAGGAACATTTGAAAACACACAGAAATAAGAAGAAAACTGGTGAATTGTGCACTACCTTATGTGTTTGCCAAGGTGGACAAGTACAGTCAGACAGTTGTATAAGCAATATGATCTAACTGTCAACAATTTAAAGTATTGTTCACAGTCTCTCTGGCTTGCTGATTAATCCATTTTTAAGCCGTTAACTACTTTTACTCCCAGACGGCCCCTCTGCAACCGTATATTCACGCTCCAAAAGATGAAACATTCATGTCCGTAGAGAGAAATCCACTGCTGGGATTATGATTCAGATATTCTCAGCTTGTTCTCTGCGAGTACGGGAACTAATGAAGACACGTCAGCTCATAAAAACATCTCCAGCCGAGCATATGGCTAAAAATCTACAAATGAGGCTTAATACGGACTAATGAGGCTCTTTTCAAAAGGTTGGAATATAAATCATATCTTTGTAAAAACATAGAGGAACATTTGATTGGTGTTTGAGTCCACAATCAGCCTTTCGGCAATGTAAGGCACATTCATTTAAAGATGAATAAACACAATTTCAGAGGTCAGCTTGAGAGTCATTTGGCACTGTAGAGGAAAGGCTAAATGAATATGTTAATAAATGTAGTGTGATTAGGAGTATATGTGAATACCATGAATAAGTAATGACCAGATTCTGATCCCAGGGCAATATTTGGAGGGGCGGCCTCCTCTTGATGTAATCTCAGATTGCTAATGCAAGGCGTTGTCTAATATCAGCTGCTTTGCAGAGTTCCTCTTATCAGCGTGTGAGGTGGAAAACAAATCTCTTAATTTGGAGCAGTGAGGAAATGAGAGCTGTTTTCATTAGATACTACAATGGGACGCTGACACAGATCTGTGGGTTCAGTTGGGAAGGAGTTCAAAGTCATCCTGCCTGGAGGATGCCACTGCAAAGAGGCACACATTCCTCCTGCTCACTCGCTGAGTCAAAGTAGGGCATTGGCACGGCTGGTGAAGTGCTAAACCCAACACCCCCCCCCCTCCGGTGGAGTTGGCACTCCGGTCTCTTAATCTGAGTCTCGAGCGGTGCAGAGAGCTGGCACCCTGAAGTCTAATCAGGCCTCCGATAGATCTGTGTGGCAGACAAGAGGACTGCAAACTGCTCTGATGAAGCAGTGGGAGTACGAATTCATATCAATTCATCCTCTTCCCGCTACATTTATGTGGTGAATTTTAAGTTGAATTAAAACAAAACTTAAATAGACTGACATTTCATTGAGAAGTACCCATATTTTTTTTTAAGAAGCATAACTGATTTATGGCTACCCACATCAAGGGCTGCTGTGATTATTTGATGTATTGATGCATAGTAGAAAAGGAACAAAAAAAACCAATTGGCTGTTGGTTTTTCTGTTTGTCAGCAATATTACAGAAAAACTACACGCCTTAGTTTCATGAGACTTGGTAGGAGGGTGTAATATGGGCCAACGAAGAACCCATTCTATTATGGAGCAGATCTGACTCATAGGGCAGATATACAGTATGCAATGCTTTTCACAACTTGAAACGGCATTGTGCTATTCTAGTCGAACATAGGTTTTTAAATGTTTGCATCTTAAACTCAACTGCTACAAAAACACAATATGGCAGGTGAGGAATGTCTTTATTGTCAATGTTAAGAGTGTCAATCATCGCATGTTTCACCAGAGGAGGAATTCTTAACAATGAAAGAAAATCTTCCTCTTGAAAGACCCATCATCTCTTGATCATCGTCTTCTCTACAGAGATCCACAGTGATGATCCCTGGAGCGTCCCTGGAGCCCCCGCTGAGCTCTGACTACAGCCCTCCTGTAACGGGGCTCCCAGCCTGGTTAAACTGGCCCTGGGCTAATAAGCTCCTGATTAAGACTTGATCCACACACAGAGAGACAGCTCCCATCAGCTCCTGTCCATCCAGGACGACAAAGTGATTGAGATTAATGGGAGCCTTGATCAATTGTAAGGCAGCGGGTGGACTGTGAAGCGTAGGGAAGATCCAAGGTCATATTTAAGAGACACTCGTCGCCACACAGTACGTTATCAGGAAACCAATGCAAAGAACTCAGGCTTCTGGTTTGACTGTGGGAACCATGATAGCAGTTAAAGTAATGGAAGATATTACAGGCATGAAAAGGGAAATATTAAAGGAAAATAAGGGAGAACAAAATAAAGGTTAAGGAATGTTCTTCTTAAAGGACTTTAGTATAGTTTATGAAGGCTACCTAATAGTGTTCGTATGTATTCATCAGTGTCGACTTAATAAGAAAGACTTATTTATCTCACCACTCTTACCGCTCTTTTCCCAGTGATCTATAGTTAGTCCGTCTTTCAAAATGTTACTTATCATAATATATTTGGTCCAACAGAAGTGTGAATGACTTTCCTTCCTCGTAAAATAGTTGCAAAGGGCAAGTTTTTTTAGAAATTGAATAACAATAATCAGGTTTACTTGCTTGCATCTCTACCTACCTCTTTTGTGCTTTTGCTAGTTTTGTTAGCACCACACAAACACAACTGGGACCCGTTCATAAGGAGTAGCTATAATCCACAGGGTACCTTGACTTTTTCCCCAAGTAGACCAAATTGGCAAGTTTTCTCTTATGACATTATAAAACCTGCAGAAGTCTATATTTGAAAAAGGAAAATGAGGTATGAGGAAAATCAGAAGTTGCCCAGTAGCCTCTAAACGGCATAGTTGTTTCAGACAGTTCCCCGTTGGGTTAGAGAGTTTGCTGGTGCATTAAAAAACTTGCTTGTATTCTCTTCAGCAGCAGTGATATGGCCCTGCTGTGCTGGCAGGTCTATTTCATAATAAGGACGCTGTGGTGCATGTTATTTCACAGAAAATGCCATTTTGAGCAACGGCGCCCTGGGAACTTCAACCCCCGCCCTTGTAAAGTCCTGCGAGCCGAGCCAATCTCCAACAAACCAGAAGTGACAGACTGTGGAGCAGCCTAATATTCTGGCATTGGGACCCCCTCACCTCCACTCAACATATCCAGCACACAGCAAATGGAGGAGAACATGAAGCAAAGACCTCCGATAAAGAGGCTCAAAGTGCAGCCATGATTAGGCAGAGCGGGGATATCAGGAAGCCAGATTACTCCGGAAATGAGTTGGGGAATGTCGCAAATGAGGATATCAACAAGAGGGCACTCAGATGCCCATTTAGTTTTCTAGAGCTGCTCCTGAGCGCACTTTACCATTCAGCTGGGCTGTTTAAGAATTGAGAAGTAGTCGAGATAAACCCGTGACATTTTCAGCGTGGCATTCAGTTTGAAGGCAAATAGAAAAAGAAAAAAAAAGCTTTTCATCTTTCGCACCAACGTGAGAAAGAAGGCGATACAAGCACATTGTTGTAAAGGTCAGAGCTACTTACAAGCATAGATAACAGAGTTAATTATGCCAAGCCAGGTCCTCAGGAAAATCGTCCAGATGCCTGATGAGAGCGGCGCTGTGAAGGTCCAAATCCCCTGGTAACTGTTGCTTATCGCCAAGGAGGGACAAGACACTGCGGTGGCTCATAATGAGGCCGGCGTACATGTCAATCACATGCAGAGTCAAAGCCTGTGACGCACAGAATCTGCAAATCTAATGAACCGTCGGTCTTAAAATAACCCAGCTTCCCATTTCTGAGAATGTCGCTAGAGGTAAATATTAACAATGAGCGATATGTCATCAGTGAATGAATAGAAGGTAAATGTTACATATTTCTGTCAGAGATAGAAGGTTGAATCCATTACCAAACAACCCCATCGACTACAGGTCTTTATTTGGTCTTGGGCTCTTTTAAAAGCTTTGGTCCTCTTAGTTCAAATTACTATAAATATTAATGGTATTTTAGTATAATCTGTTTCCAACTTTATGCCAACTGTTTCCCATCTTCTTTCATCATGGCACTGTCTCCAAGCACAAAGCTGGGTCGATGAATACATGGATTTTCCCAGGTTAGAGTGGAATAGTTTTACTGGCACTGAGCCCCAACATCCACCCTGTCCAACACTTTTGGGATAGATTGCAACGCCAACTGTAAGCCAGGCCTCATCGCCTTATCAGTCACAACATGACAAATGCTCTTCTGGATGAATGGGGGCAAATCCCCAGCAGCCAAGTGTCAAAATCTCGTGGAAAGTCTCCCCAGAAGAATGGGGGAGGTTATTGCCGGAAATTCAGGTCATTTGTTTTGATGTTCAATAATCCCATATGGGTGTAAGGTTCAGGTGCAATGTACTTCATGTCAAAAAGTGGAGTTATAGTAGAAATATTTTGCATGTACTGTATTAAAAAACAAAAGATGTTGGGCCAGATTAGCTTTTATTAAGGACCATAACAAAAAGGCCTAAAAACCCCTAAAGTAAATAAATAATGTTGATGATGTAATTGCAAAAACTACTATTTCTCCTTAAATCTCTTTCAGGATGTCCCCAGTTTCCCTCTCTTCATGTGCATCCTTTAAGCTTGTATGAGGCATCCGCCCAGTCCTTTACAGGGACCTTTGGCTTACTGGACCTTATCTGGGATTGCGTGCAAATGAATATTTCCAACCAAAGCTCCATCAGATGAGGGAGTCAGATGAGCTACAACAAGGAAGGAGATGCAGAAGGAGTGTGTGCATGCGTGTGTAAGATAGAGGGAGAGAGTATGTGCCTGCCTCTGTTGATTAGTAGGAATGGAGTCTGTAGTGTCACACTAACTCTGCGTTACACGGCCCTCTAGGCTTAAGGGTAGAGGCCTGGGACGAGACTATTACCTATGCAAACTGACGCCGACCAGAGAAATACGCCGACTGCCTGTTTCCGCTTGGAAAGAGGAGGGAAAAAGTATGTTATCAGGATAAATGTGAAAAAGGAGTGTAATACATGTATGCAAGAACAGGTACACACACACACAGGCAGTGGAGTGTGTGACTCACTCTTGCAGTAATGGGTGTATCATTGGAGGAGAGTGGCATATCCATGGATGTGTGTGGAATCATGCCCAGGGCCAGAGCCTATCATCACCATCATTACCATTACCTATGAAGCAGCCTCACTCGCAGCAGCAGGAAGGCAAATCACTGCTCCCCTCAGGGATGCAAATTATCCACACGCTGCTCAGCAGCTGGGCCAGATGAAGATCCATCTGAGAGAAAGCCCTGTTCACCAATAAACCTCGGCTTACACGGTTCCCTGAGTTTTCTAATCTCCGCAGCACAGAAATATCCTTCCTATAACATTTTTGTGTCTCCAATAAAGTCCTTTAATATAACTTTTTAAAAGAAGTGGAAGTGTTTTATATGCCTGTCATCTACTTTATGAGCAATATGTACGATTTAAGAGGGAAATACTTTAAATTACTCCCACAAATGTTTTCTTTTTTTCATGTATATACTTTTTCTTGTTTTTGCTTGGGGGGGGGACAAGCAGTGCCTTGATGGAAGCTACAGTGCTGAAAGGTGGATGCAAAGGGGATGACACGCGGAAAATGGTCACATGTCGGATTTGAACCTGTGTCTTTCACATGGGTGGATGGCTTTTAAAATAGATTGGATCAATTCTGCTCAACAAAGAACAATCTTATACTTATAAAGCTGATTTGCCATTTTAGAGTATTGTGGTATGAGTTTGTTCTTTTAAGGTTAGTATTTGTGGAGCATGGAGGATACAAATGCTGTTCCAGAAAAAAATCCACTAATAATACCAAATAAATAGATACAAAAGTTTGTGCAGTATAATTTAAACTTCTTTCCAATGAAAATTATTTGTTCCAATCTTGATACAGAGCAGATAAAGCAGGTGGCTGCACTTGAAAACCTGATTTCAACAAATACTTGAAGTCAGTTGATTTCCCGGTTCAAGTTACTCCTAATGCATTTTGAGATTGTGTCATGTGTTTGAGGAACATAAAACTTTGGCTAATAATGTGGCAGTGAAAGTGGAGACAACACTGTAAAGGAATATAACTGTGATAGGGGACAGTCTTGAGTGGATTTACTTTGGCTGTTATGGTTGAATGGGGAACAATTGGTTACATGCTCCCTCAGCTTTTCAGCTCTACGTGTTTTGTTTTAATCGACTTCTTCTTTGAACACTAATCCCAGCAATCCCCCGACAGATCTGCGGATACTCAACATGATACGTAACATGTTGCAGCCTCTTGCCGCTTGCTCCCAACACAATGAACCCAAAAAAGAACAGCTTTTGCATGTCTAAAACCAGACACATTTCAGGTCACTTACCTTTCTTTGAATTCGAGGAAGATCTTCCCCAGTCCGCTTCCTCCGCTCAACATGTTCAGGTCTATGGCTCGTAGGAGGGCGGAGTGGACTTTGATTACATCCTGAGTGAGCAACAGACATAATATTAGAATCTACCCATTCTAAGGGTGAAAAAACTGCATTAATATAGTTTTTTAAAGTCTTTGTAACCCCTAAAAGCACATGTAAAAGTAACAATCGTTGGCAATGCCATCAGCTAAAATTTGAGGTTAAGTCCACCAAGACAATAATTCTACGTATAGATATATACACACTGTAGATGGCCTAGGATGTACAGAACATTTGACTTTTTAGTCAATTTATTGAACATGTCAGAAACAAAACATACAACAATAATAATAATATTTATATATATATATATATATATATATATATATGTGTTTTTACTTATAATAATAATTATAACAAAGTACAAAAAAAAAGTAATTCTCAAATAGTCTCTGTCATGTTCAACAGGCGCAAGAAGCTTAAAAAAAACTTTTAAAAACATTAGGTATGCATTCATGTATTCATCCTTAAAGGTTCAGCAGGCTGCAGCACGTTCCTTACATATTGCCTTGGTATGCCCTATGATTCAAATGATTGCAGTCGTCCTAGTCCAATGCAGTCTAATTATCTTCGCCATACGTAAGCCTGTGGGGAGACAATGTGGTTGGTCGTGCGTGTGTGTGTGTGTGTGTGTGTGTGTCTGTCTGTCTGCAGCTAATCTCACAAACCACTGGACACATCAGCCTAATATTTTTTGGGATGACTGTATGCTCTTGTGATTTACAATTTTGGAAAAACCTATTTTATGGACTCTTTAATACAGATTGTACTGCTTACTCCTACTCCTCTCAGCCAGGCAGTGGTCTAAAACAAACCTTAGCGAGTCTGTTCCAGGCTACAGTTTGACTTGTGTTGTGTTTGACAGTTTTCGTTCTCGTTTTGAACATCTGCAGATTAATTCCTTTCCTGATTCATTTTGATACAGTAGAGTAACTCAAGTTAAGAGATGGATACATTTGTGTTTTTGTAATATTTGCTGCTATTTTGTTTCTAATGCTACGATAGTCAACTCATCTTTGTTAGGGTGAAGAACTGCACTCTACTAAAGTTCCTTTTGCAGTTACAATGTATGTGTTGGCAAGTGTCGAAACTAAATTAAGAATGTTCTTTTTAAACTGCTGTTGGTTCATCAATTGTTATCCGCTAATCACAGGTAGTTGAAAGATACTGCTGGCTTTATTTAACAATGATAACATTTGTGATTAGTTTTTCCGATTGTTTAACAATTCAAGCATCTGGTTAAATTCTGTTAAAGTTCCTTTACGAATTTAAGATAATTCACAATACTAAACGTTTTTTTGTGTAGTAAGTTGATTATTGACCAGGTTGTACAGCAATAACCAATGAGCCACTGACAAGCGTTTCAAAACAAATGAGAAAAGAGTGAATATTTAGTTTCCCCGACTGCGGTGGCAACATTAAACTGTGACATCAGAGCATGCATTTTGCAAACTGTTATCCCTTAATATACATATATACATCACATCCTGCCATTCATTCAGCCATCTGTACACATATTGAATTATTCACTTAATTTGAGACACATCCAGGCGTGTTGTATAGACACCACTTTGTTCTGCTTCGGCGGTTTCTTACCTCAAGATTGACAAAGATAGCCTCCATTTCCTGTGGGGTGAACACTTGCTTCAACGGGATCATGTAGTTCTAAAGAGAAATAAAAAAGAAACGTTAAGTGAAAAGAACAAATATAAGTGAAGCCACTCTTTCAAAAACGTCTGTTTCAGTTTTTCATGTTAAAAATCGTATTGATAAAATGTCATAAACTTCTGGCAAAGCTTTTAGCAGACATGTAAAGATTGTTTTGAAGGCCAGCACAACCTTAAAGTTAACTGCAGCAACATCAAAATCAACACCAAGCTACACTGTAAAAAATGCAGCCACCATAATGTTGTTCACAGGATGCAGTCTTTAATATCAGGATAAAGTTCTTCCCCCTGCTGCAGGAATGCTTCAACAAGAGGAACCTGCCTATTATTTCTCCAAAGTTGTTTCATGGTTGTCACTTTCCATCATCATAACAATAACAAATAGATCAACTAAGAAGCAATGAAGGAATGAGCCTTTATTAACCCCAACCCAATTAAGCTTGACGAGTCCTCAGATCACGAGAGGGTTATTTATTCTCATTTAGTCTCGCGTTGGTCCGAGGCGGGATACACAGGATGCACATTTAGTTTAATGAAATTAGTGGAGCGCATGATTTGTGGCGCTACCATCAAATCGCGGATGCAATCTGTCAACGCGGAAAGTGATGTGTTAGCAGCACCGACGCCAACAAAGGAACATTAGCACAGAGAGATGTTGTAAGTGGGAGAGTTTATGACTGCTAAAGCACACGGAGCTCGCTGTTTTACAGGGATGGAAATTTAATTCGTCGTCTTTTCTCTGTACTTTACAAATAGAACTGTAGGGTTAGCTTTATTCTTCATTTTTTACATGAAGTGTAACTACAATATAATTGTTATTTATTGTCACACAGGACCAAACAAAGAGAATGTGATGAGTAGGTAAACAACATACTAGCGAGGCAAATATGTTTATGACTTTTTGAGAAGTATGCAAGATTAGCATCTCATTAAAATGTTAGGAGTTGTATATGAATATGTAATGTGCAGGGCTGGAATGTATTATGATACAATTATCTGCTAAAAACTGTATTCAGTACCCAAATGCAAGTATCATTAAATTAACGGAGCGCTATTTGAATACTTAGTGATATTCAAGTCGATACCAAATATGTAAACAAAGTCAAGAGAAAATAATAACGCAAACATCTCACCTGTTATTTTGCACATAAATCAGTGAAAGAGGAACAACATCAGAGCATTCTGCAGGTTCTGCCATCCAGCTGTGAAAATGCTTTCATCATCCACCCACTCGAATCATTTGGCACATTAGTGTTGCTAGATTTAGAACCTAGAGAAGCAGCAGCAGCAGCAGCAGTACCCATACACAGTCAATTAAATCAACCTACATACACATTTTGTGGTATGATCCATATTTGCTGCGCTTCATTTCCTACCTACTGTTGCTTCACGCTGCCTCTCAGCCAGAAGAATAAATTGGATGGACTGGAAAGTGTGCAGACTATGGTGCTTTGCGATTACTTGCATTGTATTGTGAGATTTTTTTCTGCATTATATACAAAAAAATGCCCACATTTCCAACCAGTTAAAACGTTTACAGGTACTTTTTCAAGACTTGTGTGGGGAAGCATATTAACCAGAAAACTTAATTTGTTTAAGGGAGATTGGGTTTTGTGACAGTTTAATCTCAGCTATTTTAGATTAAATTAAAAACATGTATACAAACATAAGAAGGTAAAGTAAAAAAGTGTCCAAAGAATAATCCAACAAAAATTAAATATTAATGTTTTTATATAAATATCAGGAATTATAGTAAAAATGTGTACATTCTACAATATATAACAAAGATATGTAAAAATGTGCATATTACAGTGTGTGAATCAGATTGTATAATTGTTCAGTTAGAAATGTATTTAAAAATTGTAATCATTTTTTTCTGTAACTGTAAAGTAATACAGTTACCTTTTTTTGTATCCTGATTACAAAAAACGTAATTCCATGTATCCCATTACACCCCAACCTGGTCAAGTGTGAGTAGTGGATTTATTTTTTTGAACTTTCCCAATACTGGTTGCAAGTACATGTGTTTGTATCTGTGCATGTGTGTGTTTTGTATATGTCCTTGGTCCAGTGATGTGCAGGTCTATACTTAAAGCCCCAGGGATCAGTGTCTCCTGTTGGGGGCCGAGCCAATAATAACCCTATCGATCAGCTCCTGTGACATTTCTGCTCCCCAATGAATCCGCCAATAGCTGACATTTCCATGCTGTGACCCGGCCCGAGACACCAACAAAGAAGAAGTGACAAAAAGGAAACTCTGATGCAACCTTGCATGTGCCAGAACACAAATGAACATGTATGAAAACACTCGGATGTATGTGCACATATCGACATTCATTTTGTGAGACTCACCTTCTCAACGTCCTCTAAAGTCTTGTAGTACTTTGCTTCAGTCTCCTGGATCTCTACTAAGCAGCAATTTCTTTTGTCTTCTTCTGTCATTCCCATCTTCTATCGGAGACAATTAAGCATAATGTATCAGGACAATTACACTGCATGCTTTTGGATAATGAATTATCTCTAATAATGAACACCACTGTATCTGCTTTTCTAAGTCCTACATTTGTACAACTTTAATGATAGTCTTTCTTGTTTTTTTATGATTTTTGCAAAATGGAGATCAAGCTAGCCAGTTTCTGATTGAGTATCTGTCTAAATGTGTGACATGTTTTTCATAAAAGGACCATCATTCTTTCATCTTATGTTTTCAGTCTCACAAAAGCTTCACATTGTGAAAACTGTGCTGTTGCAATATTTTCATCTGCTTTACCAGTCGGCCATTGGTTCCAATTTCTTCCCAAACATTATTGAGTCTATTAGCACTCTCTTGAAAATGGCTTGAGTTGTGTAATCCATCAAAGGCTATTATCTGTACGAGATAGTGCAGTGCAGACTTTTTTCCAATCAATTCACCATGAAGTCATAATGTAACATTGACAAAAATGAATGCAGACCTAATGTTGAAAGTGATGGATTACCAGACCCGAGCTGGTTTTAAGAGTCTGTTCTGCTTTATTTCACCAGGATAATCTATTAATCAATAACGCTTTCCAGGGAGGCATTGGCATACAATTGATAATATTTGCTAAATTGTATTCGTACTGTCTAGAAATGAATGGGAAACATAGGGAAAATCCATTCAAAAATCATCTGTGCATGAACAGATAAGTCCAAATAAAGTGCTGTCGTTTGACTGAGCTTTACAAACAAAAGAAAACAGTAAGAAAGAAAGTGTGTTAAAATGAAGACGATATGATTTCCAAATCAACTTGAGCCTTGTAAAAATCGTACCCACAGTGACTGATATATGTCTGGCTATAGAGTAAAGTGAATTGGTGAAGACTTTGGAGGGAAAGAGAAGTGTGTTAGCATTTGTTGTCACTGAATGCGTGGGCTATACATAAGTTATATTTATGATTATGTAGATGAAGATGTGTACATATACATAAACATGTGTTTCTTTGAAAGGAAAATATACTGGAATGCATATCCAAAACGTATATATTTCAGCTCCATTTCTATGCAGATTTCAAAATGTTGTGCGAGTGAAATGAGCAACCCAACTGTGGAATAACAAGCTAGGCCATCTGGAACACATTTGACAGATAATCAGTGCAGATAATATACAAATCTGTGGCTAACACTGTAGCGATGTAAGCCTTATTCCACTTTGTTATCAACCATTCCAAATCAGGGCTGAAAGCCAGCAGAAATATGTTTATTTCTCTGGTGCTCTGAGGTTGGATTTCATCAGCTGGTGGTCCTCGGTGACGTCATTTAACACTGCCGTCACAAAGCTGAAGTCACAACTCTCTCCACTGGGCCATGAGTCAGACTTCAAACCAGATGGGATCTTCTTTACCCCGGGACACGGGTCAATTATCTAACTGGCCGCTCATTCTCTTGGGATGCCATGAGTTTGTTTTAAATGAAGTGTTAGAGGGAGGTAACTGACAGGGTGGGGTGAGTCACAAGCACAGCGGCACTCACCTGCATGTATCTGATCTGCAGCATGGGGAAAGGCAAAGCAGCGCAAGTCAGAGGTCACATTCATCACCGGTTGTTTTAAAAGATCTGAGCGCGTCAAGAGATATCACATCATGCAAATGCTATGGTGAGTGGGAGGAAGTGTGTTTCCTTTTCCTAGCACTACTTGTTCATTGAATCATTCCTGGTAATAAGGGTTGTCTACCGGACAGGGTTGGTACCAAATTATTAATTTGCAAGTAAAGATTTGGTCTAAAGTCAAGACTAAGTGGTTAGGTGTCGTTTTTGTACCAAAATGAAATGATCTTTGGTATTATTATTTTTCAACTGGCTCTCAGTATTTTCACTTGAGTCCTTCTGGTGTGCTCCTGCAACTTCCTTGGATGCCATTGGATGGTTCAAACTAATTATGTGTCTACGAGAATGATTGAACAGCAATATTGATAGTTGATTCAGGAAATGAAGGGGAATTAAATGACCTGTGGCACACTTTCTACATAACTAATGTATTCATGTTTGGATATGAGCGAAGGTATTTGCAAGTATGTTCGTGTTAGGTGAGTTATTTCTGATTTTTTTCAGTCAAGTCTAAAGTGACGGATTTGACGTCGAAAATTAAAATCTGACTTGAGTCATTTGACTGAAGGTCACCAGGTAGACCATCATCTAAGGTGACTAAGAAATGCAACCCTTTATTCACACACCTTAGCAAGCATCATATTCTAAATTTGAGGAAAGTAATGATAAAAGGGCAGGGATTGTGAAACTATTCTCACCATGGGTTGTCGTACTTCCACCTTAATGATGTCCTCATAGATGTCGTCCCCATCGTCATCACATGGCACACAGTCGTAGATGTCATCCTCACCCAAGTCATGCTCACTGGGGGAAAAAAACACAAGTTAGATGAACGACTGTATCCTCAAACAACCTTCACTTCAGGATTAAATCCTTTTACACTGCCAAAAAGGCTCATATCTCAACTTTAAACTGCTCTGACAGCTGAGAGGCACGGAGCAGTCACAGCAGCACAAGCTCATTATCTCTCACGAGCCTCACCTATAGAGTGATATTAGATTTTGAGTCGAAGGGACCAGCACTCGATGTTCACAAACCTCCAATGAGTTGCGCCATTGAGTGGCATTTCTCTTAAATGTGTTTATGCTGCTTTGGCACCCAGCTAGCTAACTGACCTTTAATTAGGCGAGCAGCCAGCAGAGCACAGACAGTGGCTGTGGAGAGGAGAGTCTTCTGGGGAAAGTCCCTCATGCTAAGCGAGTGCACACTGCATCTCCCTCTGTCCTGTAAAAGCAATTATTGTTTGGGGAACTGTTCGAGGCAGTGGAGGAGCCTCAGCAGGAATACGCTTTGGCGATGAGCCCACATCGATGTAGTTAATAACCAGGGAGCTTTAGGTTCGCTAAAAAAGGAAATAAATGATTAAGTAGTGTAAATAAATAAATGTTGCAGGAGTTGCCTGCTAAATAATGGAAGACCAGGCTTATAGCTTGGCGACTACTGTCTTGCTAAAATACAATTACATCCACCTCTAATGTACTAAGGTGGAGGCAGTATAATGCTGCCAAATATTCAGTTAGTTAGGCTTTGGGCTATAATATTTTGGCATACAGGCCTGATTACAAATCTGCTGAATTAGCTATTAGCAGTCCCTGTTGCTATATGCAATTGACCCATTGATAAATAGAGAAATATGGCTGAAGCACTTTGATAGGTGAGGAAAGTTAAAAACATGAAGTATTTTAGTCGTCCTTTTTCTTTGACTTATACATTTATTCCATGAAAATAGAAAGATAAATAATTAAAGTGTAAGTCATAATGAATGTGTAAATCTCTGTGAAACAATCAAGTTATGGCTCTGAGAACAAGTGTGCTTTTCGACGCAACTTTTTTAAGTACCCTAATTTCTCTGACATGTATCCTTTTTGTTAACACTGCATTGCGCCTGTCCTCACCTTTTTTTAAGTGAAATAAATGTTTAAATTCTATCTGGACTGCCTCCACATGCTCAGAAAAGGAGGACCAGGGTTCCAGCTTGGCAAGTGTCCGCTTTACTAAAATGTCCTTGAGCATGACACTTAATGCCTTCCTTGCTGTTTTGTGATCCGAGTGGGCGAAAGCCAAAAGGCCATGTCTCTTCTCGGTTGAAAAGAGCCTCATCCAACTACCTGTTTGAGTATTCTTGAGGAAGATCCTTCATCCTTCGGCTAATGGGGGCCGTAACCTGGCTGTCCCGGCCCCGAAACAGACAGGAAATGTAATTCCACTTTAACATCCCCGGAAATGGAATATTTTTGTAGGGATTTTACTTTATTAAATCATGCATATTTAAAAAGTGGCACAGGTTATAGGTCATTGGATTTTCTTTATGGCTTGATATGACCTTCTACATCTGCTATCTTTGCTTAAATATTTCTTCTTGTGTGAATGTTGGATAAAAATCAGAGGAGGCAGAGCTGTACTCAATCATATATTAAGATTTGTCGTCACGCTCGTGCGGGGATTGTTTGAAGTTTTAATTGAGGTGGCTTGGTTCACTCTGGGCGCCGTGCTTCTTCTCTCTTCATTAAGTTGAAGTGGCTCATGTTGAATACGGAGGAGGCGGTGTGGGAGGTCCGTGCCGTCCCATCAGTGTCTTCTCTGAACTCTGAGACTGATGTGATGCACGACGGGAAGTTTTTGAGAAGAAGATTAATTTTGCTCTAATCCCTTCAGAGACTGTATTATACGACGGAGGTGTAGTGCGGTGATTTGAATATGACCTATGGAGAGATCTAAGAGGAGCGGGATCTCCAGTGGGGACATTGAGGAGGAGTAGGGAGGGAGGTCTGAGTGAGGTCTATTTTATAAATAATGTAACTATTACAAGAATGAAACATTTAGGGAATCACCATTGATTGAATCATCTACTGTATATCTATTGACCCTTACTTATCCAGGGGAAATTGTCTATTGATTAAAAATGACATTTAGGCAATTTCTTTTCTCCAGTCAATTATATTTCATATTGACCAACTCTTCTTTGTTTCAGTCAGTCAATTTAAGGTTTTAGTGGTTGTTTTGGGAGGAAATCTTTATATGGACTGGCACATTTCTATAAAGATTTTCCCTTTGTCATTGCCTTTATTTTGATTGGCATTTATCCATATCGCCAAGACTAACTGGTTGATCCCAATTAAGCATTTTACAAGCACTGATTTCAAGTTATTTTTTTACTTATAAATTCCATATTGATTTTTCAAAACAAAAGCCAGAGGAATCCATATTTAAATGACAGTGTGTGTACATCCACTTTCACTGATTGTTTCCTATCAGATTTCTAATTACTGCTGTCACTAATGAACTTCTTAACTTGTTTTCTGTTTTTAGTCTCAATATGCATTGAGTCAAAACACTGTAATTAACCCCATATAAAGATCTAACATTAGTCATTTATATTCCATAATGTACATACTGCACTGGGTTTGGTAGAACCGAAAAAGCTGCTGCTAAGGAAAAATGACGGGTGTTTTGCAAGTGGAGGTTGGCCTTCAGTCTTTGTGAGGACAAATTTGAGCATTAACCTCAGCAGTGATGTGATTTACTTTTTTCTCATTTTTCAATGTGCTGTTTGAAGGACTTGGTTATGGTTAGGTCAATCCTTTTCATGTTCTGTAAAACACATTACTGATTTGTTTGGGAGATTGCCAGTAAATTACTTTTAGGCATAACATTGATGTGGCTTTTGTTTCAGACTGTAGCTGAAATGTAAGGTTACATTAAGATTTATTTAGGAATATGGATGGTTTATAGACATGTATTATTGATGCTTAAGGTTAATGTTTTAGGCTGTCAAGGCTTGCTTAAGTCCTACAAGTGACATGTGTGTATATGTGTGTGTGTATGTTACCCAAGAAAAACAAAGCGGGAGAAATAGAGGGACATAAGTCTTGGCAGTGTAAATCTGTCACACCACACCTCTACTATTTATGTGCCTTTGTCTAGTTTAGTGGACATTAATAAATCATTCAAATGCACTTAATGTGTGACTGTGTGTGAGCTCGTGCATGTGTATGCATAGCAATGCATCACTGAGATTGAAAGTGGGAGCACAGTCCTGAGGATTCATGAATTAGGTCTGATTTTCTGTCTGATTACACCATGACGGGCCACAGGGTGTCCAGTGTGTTTGCACGCAATGGGCCCGCGAGCCTCTATCTCAATGACATAGAGTTAGTAAGGTAATCACTAGAGACGGGATGGGGGAGTATGACTCAACATATCAGAGCCACAGAGCACAGGTCCCCTAAGGCTGGGCTGCCTTACAGGTTTATAATAATATTATTTCTGTTGTTAGAGCTATGATGTATTGGGAGGGGAGCTTGAGCATTGCACCTTAACAGCAGGCTGATGCTGTTACACTGCATCTTTAGAGATAATAGAGTAAAGAACTGAAAAAAACACACACACCAGTATGAACATGGTGGATGAGATGGCTTGTTATCAGTGAGGCTAACATCATTAACAATGTTATTTACCATTCAAGCTGCCATAACATAAGATTTAGACTGTTAAAACAGCATGAATTTATAGTACTGCCAAGATGTGATTGCTATCACATATTATTTATTTATTTGATTATAGAAATTATTTCTGAGCCTCAATTTGTGTAATGTATTGTGTTATGTGTTAAGATCTGTTATCCTCTTAAACTCATTTTTATGAAATACTGAATATGTTTCATGTGCTGTACATAGTTTATTTGAACGTATACTAACTGCATTATGAGTGTTTACTTAATTGTTAGCATCGTTATTTATTTGGCATCAAAGCTGATGTTGGTAAAAAAAATATTCTTGACATTAATTCTGTGCTAGTTTTTAACTTTCCTAGGTATTTAGAGAATGTTCCATTAAAATGAGGTCCATACATTATTAAAGCCCATCTCTATTTACAAAATAGATAATCCTTAGAGTGTTAGTTAAAGTTCAAATTAAAATAAGTGACCTAATACCTGGCAGTTAATGATAGCTGAGTCCCATCCATTTCCAAGCTATTGACATTTCAAGCCAAGGGATTAATGGAGCAAAATAAACTGCGAAAAAAGTGACACAAAGGGCTTGTGACACTGTTTGCTTCGGAATGGAAATCTATGTGTGCCTTTCACCGAGGGAAAGTCCCTTGGCGACTGTGCCCGATCCACCCCCATTTCATGCTTTGTCAACTCCGGGATGGAGTCATTCCAGACAGGGAGGAAGTTAAGCGACATAAAGACTTGACATCACAAAGCCAGAGGAAGTACGGAAAAAGGTTTACCACATTAACCCAGGAGACCTCGATTAGGTATGAAACCGGCCTCTAACAGATAAGGTGCAGTGGAATACTTCACAAAAAGATATACCTGAACTTATCATAACATCCCGATGCAATTCATTGACAGCTGTCATTTACAGGTGAGCTCATTCTGACAGCGTAAAACCTCAACCTACCTCAGCTGACATGAGTTCTTCTGACATGATGTCGTAAATATGGAAATCCACCAGCAAGGTAAGTGACCTCTACTTAACCTCGAAGGTGAAATAACGCCCTTGGGTATATTTTAGGCCAAGTTATTGAAGAAAAGCCACATACAAGAGCCTTAAGTATCTAATAAATGAGTTACATCTTAATACACAATGCACCATCATTACATTAGTGAGCTCCCAGCTATCCTCAGAGACGTCAAAGGGTCCAACAGTTCAAGTATGTTGGCCGCTCCAGATTGAAATGAAAGGTTGATCGATTTTTTGGCTGCTGTAACAGTCTGCCATTTAACATTTGGTCCGCCGGCATGATCTCTGTTTTTAAATCTCACCTAAAAATCAATTTTTATAGATCGCTTTCTGTCGCACTTAGTATCCCTTGTCGTTTTATCACTGAACTTAATGACGCCACTTATATCGATTTTTTATTGTTTGCCATTATATTGCTCTTCCATGCTGTTTTATTTTCTCACACTGAGTGGAAAAATTGCTCTTTTATTCCTTACATGCTGTTATTTTTATGGTTTCATACGTACGGTCATTGTATACTCTGAGATGCTCTTAAAAAGTACTCCATCCATTTAAAAAAATGATTACTTTGGTAAGATCATCATTGTCCTTTCCTTCACTCTTGCAGTTCAGTCATGCAGCCATTTTACATTATGCATGCATCAATATTCCAGGCTAATTAATAAGTCTTTGAGAGGAGGGTTATTGCTTGTGTGGCCTATGTGCTAAGTGTGTCAAACTGTATTAAGTGCGGGACCTGCTGATTAATCAATTATGTGTCGGTCCGTTGATGAAACGAAAATGCATGCGTGTTCTTTTGTAAAAGGTCAAGAGCAGCCGCGCTGCCGAGCAGAATGATTAATTCAATAAGAGCCAGCCCTCTGCACCTACAGGTTACATCAAAAGCACCGTGTTACAACACCACTGACTCCAGAAAACTCACTTTCAGAAAATAAAACTCAAGCTCAGCCTCATTGAAGCTGCTGCCATGGTTACAGGGGCAAAACTCATTAATGAACAATTGTTTTTGCGCATTTGAAGCAAATTTAACAGATAACCTCCATTCTATTGAAGTTGTTTGGTATATATTGTAGCGAGTAACAACAGCTTACTTTCATGACACTTGTTGCTATGGATACCATGCACTCGCCCAAGCCACCAAATCTCTCATTAGCAATTTAGCAATTTGATTCTATGGGGTTGGGATTTATTGCATCCGCCAATAACCTTTGTTTTCAGTTTGTTATTAATGAGCTATTAAGGATTATGGAAAGAATGTGACCTGTCATTAATGAAACTGGGTAGAAGGGTGTAGCATAGGCCAATTACATTTGGGCATGAATCTGAATTAAGAGCAAAGTACATATTTAAATGACATGTTAACATTGTAAGACGTGGCATTTGGCCTTGGCGGAGCTCTGTGCTTTATTTAGAATGAGTGAGCTAACTTTAGCCTTTTTTTTGTATTTACTTTATTTATTAAGGGACACATCAGTAAATATAAAAACACAGTAGCCCACAGGGTGCATGATGAAAGCAGCTCTGTTCTTTTAGCACATTCTTCGTCCCTTTTTTACTAAATGATATCTTCAAAACATCATGAGTCATGTATTCCCTCTACTCTCTTGAGGACCACTTTTTGAGCATGGTTTCGTTCAGTTTCCAAGGTAAGGGCCCATGTTGCAAGCTTGCAGGGCTTCATGTTTGGCTAAACTGATATAATCCAGCATTAGCCTGCTTGGTTTGCATTCCTCTCCTCTAGCGAGCGCACTTTCCTCATCCCCTACAGAACACTACAATCATGTATTCAGCAGGCATATATCTATAGTCCGCATGCTCATCTCCCGCTCTCCTAACTCCTATCTTTCTGTGATGAATGACACCCATCTCAGAGCGGTTAAGAAATGATTCTTCATTAATCTGAGTTGGCTGCTGTCATTCTGTTCACCGCTGCCAACGCAGAGACCCTACGACCCTTTTTCACACCAACTCACCCTGAAACAGGCGGAGAGGCAGCCGCAGCAGAAGTCAGAGCGAGGCTGTTGTCACCATGGCAACAGGCAGATTGACACATGGCTCTACGCTTATATAATTAGGCAGTTAGAGGAAATTGGAAGAAGTGGCAATCACACTTCACTTTGACACATCCCAAGATGCGTGTTGTATACATGGTGGGTGGAGAGTTGTTATGTATCAAGATATACTGATCTTTACATACAGCAGTTCATGTGTATTTATTTTGACTATAAAAAACAACAGTTATTAAATATCCAGTATGAATAAAGTGGGTAGGGTCAAGTTATCATCATGTTTACATCAGTTGTAAGAATTATTACATTGACTGTACTTTTGCAGCATATAAAGAAACCATTTTGCAGTCAAAGACTTTTTTTGGAGCTAAAATGCAATTTGCAATTACCTTTTGTGGAAGGAAACAATAATATTTAATCTTATGGAACATCAAATCCAAATCAAAGTTCATTTTCAGGGATCGAAGTGTTAAAATCCCCCATTAAAATAGTTAAAAACGATACATAACACACTATATAACACACTTCAGAAATGGAAAAACCCCAAAAATGCATAATAGGGCCTATTATTTATTCAATTTGTGTGAATACAAAAACATTTTCACTGTCACAAAGTGGGGACACGCATCATATTTGAAGAAAAAAAAGCATGCCCCCAAAAGGTAACCCATTTTATTTTAGGCTTGGGACATCAAGTTTGTTTATGATTTGGGTTAGGTAAAGGTTAGGGCTTGGGTAGGCATACCATTTTTAAGGTTAAGGTCAAGGAAATCTCATATTGAGTTAATACAAATGTAATCCTTAGTGACTCAAACATGTGTATGTGTGTTTGTGGAAACCCAATACTTACTCTGCCAGCTCTTCAAGGCTCCGGTACACATCATCCTCATTCAGAGCTGTGTCCTCCGATGGAAAAGGCCTGGAACACACAAATACACACAGAGACACAAAGAATGAGAGGGAATGCAAGCTGTGAGACACACACAACAGTGTCCCAGGTAGAAAATAACCAGCGTTTTCTCTCTGCCAGCTTGTCACTCTTCGCTCCATCACTTGGGCAGCACAACAGCAGGATGTATTTTACCAGACGACCCCATCAGTCACAAACAACATGGCCAAAACACATCAACACATTGCTGCTGACAGATAAAAAACCTCTTCACACGGCCAACTTTCTCAGGAATTCAGGGAGAAAAACTGCCTTTTTTTCCCCACCTGACGGATGGGCAGATGCCTAATAAATCCTCTCAGGGGGTTTGAGCAGCTTTCAAGGACCCTCAGGGGCATAGCAATTCAAAATATTGAAAATGACAGTTTAAAGCTGTCTTTCCAGCAAAAATGAGCTTGTCATCACTGTATACACAACTTTTCAATATAAGACAATGACATGCAGAGAAGGCCACATTAGCATAAATGTCCGCCCATCGCATTAATAACCTGAACGATTCCTCGCGATCCCCTTCTTGAATGTATCATTCCCGCCCACGCCGCGTCAACAATCACAATACTCCTGGGAAGTATAAATGGATGACTCATCGATTAGCTCATTAAGCGGGGTGGATTTATTTCTAATCTTTGTGAAGATATATCTGCTTTCCGCTAACATTATTGTGAAGTGCATGTTTAGATCTCGATTGGCCGACATGCTTTATGATGTGTTTTTTTTCTCCTTTTGCTGCTACAAATTATAGCCTATTAGCTTAATGTCGTGCACAATTGAAGCCCATCAAAGTCATTGAGGTAACGATAAGCACTAATCGTCAAACAAGCTAAAGTTACTGAAACGGAAATGTTGTGTATTATTAAACTAATCCCTCATGTTTATAAGAGATAATAACAATTATTTTTAATGATACAGGCTATTTGCATCAAGCGCTAAACTAATAGGGATGGTGAAATGTTTTAAAAATGCACTCATTAGCAGCTTTCAAAGTACCCAAATGCGACAATGCAAAAACATTATTTCAGTTTAAGTGTTTCTTTAGGCCTGTTGTGTTGTTTTCATCATTATAGCAGCATGCTGTTGTTACCATCCTCTCCTCAAGCAATAAATCCCACGCACAGCAGCATCCAACAGGGATTCCTGTTGCGGTAAACAGCCCTGTATGGTTGACCTTGACTCCTGTCTGAATAATGTAACTACTGAACACATGATTTGTTTTCTTTCTGTCAAAGAGCCACTGGACACATACACACACACATACACACACACACACACGAAGGGTTCTACCATTATTCAAGAAAGAGATGGAGAAAAGGATGAAAGGGGGCAGTGAGGGTTTCAGGCTCATGGGGAAAGTGAAGAGCGAGATACGCCTACGTGTTTGACACATAATCGGTAAAAAACAAAGCAATTACTGGACTGTGAATTTTGATATACATGTTTTATTCTCACCAGCAAAGTAAGTCCCTTCACAACATCTTCTGGGGGTTTGAAGCAATGGTTTTTGTACGTTTAGACATTTGTACTGTCAGAATATCAACAGTATTTAAGGTGCATAAAGACATTATGTGACTTCATCATTGACGCTAGAAATATTTATAAAGATAGTCGATCTGCAAGGCCATATGTCATTGATTTTGATCAGTAACCATATTGCTTGTTCTTACAAGAAATGCCATAAAAGAAAAATGATATTGGCTGAAAATAATTAATGTTTTCTGACAGTGCAATTTAAAATAATTTGAGATGAGGTACTGTCTTTTAAAAAGGCAAATAGTGTTCATTCTCTGCATCAGCCAATCAGCTTGCTCGTTCCTGACTGTGAGTTGGACCCAGGTACCCCTCAACAAAAACATGCCTGTTTGCTATCCTTGCTCCAAAATGGTGGAATGAGCTCCCCATTGACATCTGTACAGCAGAAAGTCTACATATCTTCCATCGCAAACTAAAAACCCACCTGTTTTGCCTGTACCTTGGCCAATAAATAAAAACAAACAAAAAATGTTTAGCACTTGAAACCAATCCACCAGTACTTCAATGGTTTGGCTTATTCCAATCAAACATAAGTGTACTCTTCTTGTTGTTTTGCGTTTTTATCTTAATCTCAAGTCGCTTTGGATATATGCTTTAGCTAGATGAAACGTAATGTAATGTAATGGTTGGTAGAGTTGCATGCATGTTTACCTTGAAAGAAAGAAGGTGGCTTGTGTCTAAATAATAGCCTCATAGCCAGAAATGGCCTGGTGATTGATATAATACACATCTATTGTATACATATATGGATGTGAAACAGTTCAAGGAAGATATAGTAGCAGGAAAAAAACAATAAAAAAACAACTGAATCTACATTTGTGTTGTAGCTGACCGTGAAGTTAGCGGTGAGAATTGGACAGTTCAGTGTCAGGGGCCAGACGTTCAAAGCTCTCATAAAAGCCCTCCACTCTTTATAAGCACTCAGCTTTGACATCTTTTGACTGTGTTTCATCCGAGATACGATCAGATGAGTGACGCTTTTATTGTGGTTCCCTGTCCTTGTAAAGATCCAATGGCGCTTGCCTGTTGGTGTGTGAAGGCCCAATATCGTACAAAGTGACATTTACAGTGTGTGGGTAAAAAATAATCGAAACAGTACTCTATCTTCTCATTTTAAATGTGCATATGTGTAAGTGTGTGTCGACCTGAGTGTATCTGTGTGACACCAGCAATTACCCTTTGTGTAATGAAAGCTGTGGTCACACTGAAAAGAGTGTGTCAGCCATCAAGTTAATGAATGCTCAGCTATATAGTCAAAAGGTCAGCTGGACACCCTTCAGGCATGTGCACACACACTCGCCAATACACACATTAACATGCAAAGAATCCTGCAAACTCAACACTTTTCTCTGATTCATTAACTTTGCTAACTTTACCATGTCTAAGTGGCTGACTTAATAAAAACGTATGTTCGTCCACGAGCTAATTACAAGTATTAATATGAAGGAATAATAACACAAAAACTGCCTCGTCTGATTTGTTACTTTCTCACTCACAGTTATGAGCAGAAACACAGAGCACAGAGGGGGGCCTTTCTCTGGAGTGCAATAACACAGCCGCGTTGATGATCCCCTCCAATGAAATGTGCATTATATTATAAGTTATTAATGGAGTCCCGCAGGGCTAAATTTAATTACATAGTAGTTTGCGGAGATGTGAGCTCGTATGCATCACCTCGGTGTTGCGGAGCCGAGCGTTGCCCAATGCTGCCGTTTTCATTTCGCCTAAATGGTACCACCAGGTGCAATTGAACCGTGTTTATAATTTGATCAGGAATCAGATGATGAGCCGTCTCTTGGCTTTTCAATAACGCTCTATTGTCTTTCCTGCACGCGTGATGTTCAGGCCTGTTCGCTGGGTGGTATACCAGAGTGGAAGCTGTGGTTGTTTTTCTATGTAATCTGTTGTCTATTCACATAGTGCAAAGTGTTTTTGGTTATCTTTTACACCTCTGATTATCAAGCACTAATGGTATTCATAAGCCCCTTTGAATTGGCTTATTCATGTGCTTTTATTATGTTTTTTATCCAAATGTTTTGAGACAAATTGAGTATTTAAGGTATTAGGAAGAAGAGTTTAAGTAAGGTATTTGGTCCGTACAGCGGATACATTATTTAAAGAATCCTGTAAAACTAGCTTTTTTTTAAAAATCTTTCTTCTTTCGGATGATTTCTCCATTTTCATAGCTTGTGTGTTTTGTTAGTTTACTTACATGTCTTTTTCATTACGTCCCATAAGGAGGTGATTTCTTTGGTCAGTGTGTCTGTTTTTCATAAGGATCACAGAAGCACTAGTGGCACAACACGGGGTGTAAGGATTTAGCATTGGAAAATATAAATAATAACCCAATCCATTTTTTTTATATAAGTTATACCAAATGAAAATGTTATTTTAAAGGAAGCTCATAGGAAGTCATAAGGAAATCATGGACCCTTACCAAAAAGCATTGCCTGTTTTTCATCTAGAAAATGGCTTCAAAAAGCAAATGATGGATTGGATTTGCAAGTTAGTTCGTGTTTTTCAAACATAAATGAAAAGTAGAAATATGTAAGCAATGTTGTAGCATGTCTTGGAAGGTAAACCCATGAAAAGGCCTCTCAGGGCATTAAAAAGCTGAAAAAACCCCACATTTCATTCTCAAATCTCCTCCATCAAATTATTTAGTCTTCTACCAACGCCTCTCTTATTGTCCTGCCTTTCTTTGCCTCATTGTATCATGTCTGATCTCTTTTTCCTACTTCCTTACAGCTAGTGCATGCATGGATGGAAAGTGTGGTCCAAGCTGGTCCCATTGATCCACTATTGTCGAAACAGCAGAACAACAGTGTAGCTGTTGGGTGTGAACGCAGCTCAAATGGTCAGCGTTGGAAGCAGTTTCACGTCCCAGGACACGGCTTTGTTTCTGCAGGGGTCAATAAATCGCTGGAGCCTGAGGAGGCTACTGCACTTTGCCACTTATTGTACCAAGCCTGCCCATAAGCCCTTGTGTGTGTTTGTTAATATGTGTGTGCAAGATAACCAATGAGTAAGAGCCTGTTTCTTTGCATGTGTGACTTTTTCTCACAACAGTAACTAATAACATTAGCACATGCATTCAAACGTGAGCAAAACATGAGAGTGGATGTGCATTGTGATAAGAGCATACTAATGTGTGTGATGTAACTCAGTGGCGTGAGGGGGCAGAGCTTTGCTGACAGGAAGTGGGAAGGGAGGGAGGGAAAATGCAAACATTAAGTCCTGACACTTTGCCTGCTTCTTCTACTCCTGCTGTGCACTGCATCCCACTAATCTTAAAAATAAATGGATGTCCAATTGCACATCCATATTGCCTCTGCACTGAGTATGTACAGTATTTCATCAAAGCAGGAAAATGTCTGATTTTGTATTAATCCTGATGGAATATATAACCTTCGTGTCACAAATGGCGTTTCATATACCACAGA